AGTTCGGATATGAGGGGGAGGGTGTAGCGATTCTTTATGGTAAGTTCATTCAGCTTGCGATAGTCTTGGACAGGGCGTAGTGAGCCATCTTTCTTTTTGATAAAGAAGAATGGTGATGCGTAAGGTGATTTGGATACTCGAATCCGTCCACTTGTTAGATTTTCGTTAAGGAATTCGTCTAGATGGTGTTGTTCGTCTCGGCTAAGAGGGTACGTTTTGCAGTCAAGACCATTAGCCTCGGGTATTAGCTCAATTGCATGGTCCCAAGGACGTTTCGGGGGAAGTTTGTCAAATGATTCTTTGGTGAAGACGGGTTCGAATTCATGGTAGATTGGAGGAACGACATCTCGGAAGGTGAGCTTTGACTTTGCCTTTTCGGAGGATTCAGCGATTTGTTGACTTTTAGTGGCAAAGGCGTTCAATTCTAGCTGTGTTATCTCCATAATTCGTGTTTCAAGATCGACGGCTAGAACTTTATCCCCTTCTTCAGGATGATACTCCGGATCATCAGTAGGGAAGGTAATCTTGTTGGTCCGCCAATCAATTGTTGGATTCGTCAGTATCAACCAGTCGTATCCAAGCAGTATGCGTGGTGAAAGTAGAGATGCTACGATGACATCTATCAAATGTTCTTTCCCTTTCACATTGATGTGAAGAGTGACATAGTGTGTTACTTTCTGGGATCGACCATCGGCTCCCGCAGCGTCAAGAGGGACGGGCAGAGGCGTAGTATTGAGGGTATACTTGTCAACCAGGCTTCGATCGATAACCGAGTTGGTGCAACCAGAGTCGATAAGGGTTGGGACGGTGAATGTCTGTCTGTCGTCTATGGTAGTGACTTGAGAAATGATATGGAGACTTCGTTTTGACGTAGGGTTGTGCGGCGAGGTGTAAGCATGGATGCGTTCTATAATGTTCTCTTCGTCGTGGTTCTTTAGCATCTGTATCGCCTGCAGGGTGATATGCTCGTAGTGATCTTTATGGGCCCAGTTTCGTAACAGAGCTCTTGCTCTTTCTGGTTTCTGGTCTTTGATTCGTCTGGCCAACCATTCCGGTGAATGTGGCTTTGCGTAGGTTTCGGTTACAGCACGTAGATGTTGATCAACTTTCTGAAAATCCTTCGGGGGTGCTTCGATTTCTTTTAATGACGATGTAGTGGGAGTGTCTTTGGTTTCCTCCGTTTCCATATATCGTATTGCCATCTTTCCATGTGGGCAATTTCTAGCAATGTGGCCTCGTTCGCCACAATTGTAACAAGTAACATTCGGGTTGGGCCGATGTTGTCTCTGCGTGTTGGAACTCCCAATCTCCATAGGTACACCTGATCCTCCAAACGTTCCTGCTGTGTTTGGATGGACTGCATTCTGGGGCGGTGGTCTATGAGATGGAGTATAATACGGTCGCTGTTGGATATACCGTGGTCTTCGCGTCTCTGTTTGCGGTACTGTCTGTCGATGCTGTGGTGGAGGGTAGTCTTGGTTCTGCTGATAGCGCGGTTGATATCGTTGGTACTGAGTTGGCAGCCTCTGTTGAGGTGGTTTATCTCTCCTCCTTTCCAGATTAAGTTCTTCATTTCGCTGTTCCCATTTCCTTGCCGCTGCCTTCCACTCTAAGTACGTGGTGGGTAGGTTTTCCTGTTGCGAGATACGATCACGAAGGAATTGAGAGAGGTTGCGGCGAAGGATACTGTGAATGAACGGATAACTTTCTTCTGCGTCTGGTGGTAATCCTGCTTCCATAAGTTTGGATTCGAGTCCTCCAAAATATGCGTCTACCGTCATCTCTCGTTGTTCGTAATCGTGAAGGGCAATCTCTGCTTTCAACTTGAGATGGGGGTCCAGGAATTCGTTATCTAATTCCTTGATGAATTCTGAGATAGTTCCCCAATTTCGCGGTGCAAATAGGTCTCCTAGCACTGCGGTTTTGTTGTTGAAATTCGCCTTCCATGTATGACAGGCGTCATTGGCTTTATCGGACGAGATTCGGGATAGTGCAAAGAGGATTTTGGAGGAGTTGGTTTGGAAACTTCTGGGATAGGCGAAAAAGTAGTTTGCTAAAGCGTTCTTCCAGTCAACGTATGTTTCCTTTTTACCGGTGAATTCGAATGGAGGAGTGGCAAGGACAGCTTTGCTTCCTTGATTTGTTTCGTCGGCCATTGCTGCTGCTAGATCAGGTTCAAGGTCTAAAGATTCCTGATCGAACCAATCGTCGGGTTGGTTTTCGGGTTCTGGAGTCGGAGGTGGGGGAGGAAAGTTTTCTGGTCCTGCTGACTGATACAGTTCGTCGGGTTCTAGAGCTTCCGCAGCAGCTCCTAGAGATTGTGGGGGGGGTGTGTCGGGAGTGACCAGAGGACGGGGTTCTCGATAGGGCTCCAGATTTTCAACGGGTTAGATAACGGATTTAGATAACAAGTCTTTCTAGATAATGAGTCTCTTTTTTATTCACTCAAAGTCTGGGTCAAACGTAAAATTACTAGGGAAGTCTCCTCCTTCTGCTTCTCGGGGTCTCCAGTATTCTACGTCCTGAGTAGACCCTTCACTTTCTGACTCGGTTTCGCTGCTAGATTCTCCTCCAAGTATATCTGTTAATGAACTTCCTGTTTCCCGTTCTATCCTTTCTGCACAAGGCGCAAAAAGTTGTTCAACCGACGGGATGAGCGGTGCTTCTCCTCTTCGACCTTGGTAGGTGTAAGAGTACTGCGAATAGATACGAGTTCGTGAGCTATGGTTGATAACGGCCCAGAAATCGCTTTGGAGAACTGTAACAATGAAACGTTCGGGGTGATCAGATTGTTGGTTAACAACAAATGGAGTGAGGATTTCTAGGATCCAGTAATATTCGTCGACGTATTCTGAAACGTGTCGAATGTTGTCAATTTCGGTCGTGTAGTCTTCTCTGTCACGGGATTTCCTCTGAGCAGTCGCGATGAGTTGATCAAATCGTGCTAACGCAGCAACAACTCGTCGAATATGATCTTTAGTAGAGGGCGTGACGATTATAACAGAAGTGCTGTGTTGAAGACCAAACCGCGGCCCGAATGCGTCAAGATCTTGGACTTCAGGGAGGTAGAGAGTTCGGCGAAGTCGTGTCAGATATTGGACAATAGAAAGGTGGTCCAGATGATTGCCGATGCAGAAGTACTGGATGGGTTGGTAACTGACAGGAGAGGCGGAGTAGGTGTCGTAGTAGTCAGATGTAAAAAATGAGGACGGGATATCGTAGGTAGGTTCCTCGTTAGGCCTCTTCCTTAACACAATGCCACAAAGCAAGGTGTGTTCGAAGTCGTAAGGGAGGAGGCGGCTGGGTATGTCTGGAAAAACGAGAGGGCGGATTCGATAAAGATCGAGGAGATCTGGGATGTGGCTCTGCGAAATAAGTTGCAGGTTTCGTTCTTGTACGTTGGCTATTCCTTTCAAAAGCTTAACCCTCTGAGTGTTCTCGTAACTCGGGCGTACTAGGCTCTCGAAGTAGTCTATCAACGGAATTTGTTCGTGCCGCAGGGATATGAAGATTAAAAGTTCTCTCCGTGCTTTGTCGGAGATGTTGGAGTATCTCCTCGAGACTGCGAGAATTTCTCCTACAGATGGCGGAATGGTAAAAGATGGATTGGGTGAGAGCGAGTGCGTCGTTTATGTCGAGGATGATATCCTCGATCGGATCAATTGGAGAAGACGAAGCAGAGGAGTCTTGATACAACTCAGTGATCTGTTCGACCGTTCCTTCCGCGTCTGGAGTACGGGCTTTGGTAGGGACGGGGAGGACCGGGAGCGGTTTGTTGAGAGCTGCGAGGAAATCTTTCTGGTGTCTGCGGTCCGCTTCTGATACCCACTCTTCTGAGAGCTGTTGGGAGGTAGACACGATGGAGGTATACGACGTCGCTGACGAGTCCGGTTTGTAGGTATCTGATGATGGCAAAGAACGCAAAGAATTGGACGAGAGCGGTGATGGTAGAGAAGGCGTCCAGTTTGAGAAGACTGAACGACAATAGGTGTAATGGTGTGGATAGTGAGAGGTCGATGACGATAGTGAGGAGAGGGATAGGGATGGTAGAGAGGTGGAGAAGGTGATGATGAAGGTTTAGACCGGTGCAGTGGCAACGACAGTCTTTTTCAGGGTGTAAGGAAACGGTTTTCCAAAGAGGGGCTCTGGAAAAGGATTTGAGGTAGGTGAGTTCAATATTTTGTCAGGCAACAAATATGAAGCTATATAACAAAGCCCAATGTCTGGTCAAGTCCTTCCTTGAAGGCGGTGAATCAGAGTATGAGAATGAAGAGTATCGGTAAGAGCGCAAATCCAAACTAATATTGAACTGGAGAACAATACATCGAGTATGTACTTCTCTATATAGTGAACGACGATGGTCAGACCGAGAAAGGGAAGTACTAAGAAAGTGGTCTGACCAGCTAGTTAACCAATAAGGAAAAAGGAGGAAAGTGGTCCGATCTATCGTCTTTACTAATCGTATGAGAAAACGTATTGGTAAGGGATGTACGATTGGCTGTATCAGTAAGCCCATGAGAAGGCGCTGACTTACAACCTTCTTCGCTTATCAATATTCCTCCGAAGTATTCCCAGACATAGCACTGGATCGTGACTATGTCATCTGGATATCTTCTCGAGGGTCGACAACAAGTCTACCTCGTTGTAGATACGATAGAACGTGAGTGTGAAGAGAGAATAAGAAGAAAAATGATAAAAGTAATAAGACACCTGCTGTAATCTCTAGTCCAAGGGCAAGAGGAGTGACGGGGATCGAGTCTGCTAACCACGACATGATGGGAATGCGATAAGAAAAATCGATTCCTCACATACACAAGATTGGAATCTACCAAAAACCCACAGATTTCCACCACATGTTGATCGGATACTCACTGGGTGTCGACGCGCTAAAATGTGTTTGAAATGGATGCATTATCCATTCATTTTTGATGGATGTTGAGCAGGTGTCAAGCAAGTCCATACTCACTATAATATACAAGGACGCTATAAATGAAGCATTTATGAGAAAACTTGGTATCGACAAACTCAAAGTGAAGCACTTACCAGATTACCCGTTGTCAATTGATCCCAGTCAACAGCCAGAAGACACTGCCACTCAAAAACCATTATATTGTTATAACTGGAAATTATCAGCTGACGACAAAGCAAATAGCAAAAATTTAGTAGAAATTCAACAATGGGTCATGCTTAACGCACCAGTAGAAATACCATCAGTCATAGGGATGCTTCAGCTTGTGCTACCAAAGGACCTGAAGCATCAAATTTGTGTGATATTCCAACATATGGCAAGGCAGTATTGTTTGAAATTACAAAAGGACGAGGCACTGGCGAGTCGAGAGAATGAAGATGATAGGGACCTGTCTGACACTCAAGAAGAGAACCTTGTAAGCATGTCAGTGTCCAAAGCGCACAAAGACTCTCGTGCACAGTCTGTGAGTGTTTCAGACAATGATATGATGATTCTTGCACTCACTTGTTCCAAAACAGAAACTTGACCAATGAATTTGCAAACGGCCATTTTCTACTTACACCAACAAGAAATTTGATGCTGTATTTATCCTAAATGCTATGTCTGATGATGAGGTCAATCCGGATTATCGGCCAATGTCAGATGAGGTTAGGATATTCATTAGTAGGGCCCCAGATTATAGGAGTGAAATAGTAAGTCATAAATCATATAAACTTCACAAAACACTGACCTTTATAGCTCCAAACGATATATGACGACCCTGAGAAAATCATCAACAACTATCCACCTCCTTCGACAAAATTCCTCAAGCATCGGCTCCATGCGTGGCAGATCAAGCCAGAACTACTGGCCTTGGCTGAATATAGCAATAATCTTGGTTCTTCAAGGCTTGCTTACAGTGGTACAGCGTGGGGTGACAAAAAAGATCCAATTGATGATGGGTTGAATGGGGTTGTGCACCACAAACAAAAATGATCAGCCAAAGACAGCGACAAAATTTTTATATGAATAAAACAAGTTCCAAAAAAAGACATCAGTACAAAAGCACAGAATAGCCTTGACAAGATACTAGGAAACACTCACAGAGATGAGCTGTTCAAGCAAAATGGTCGTCCAGAGCGAGAGTCTTCAGAATAAAGGAGCCTGTGGATAGGATGGGATTATTCTTGTGAGCTGTTGAGATCTTGCTCAATTCCGTCCAACCAGTCATTGCTAGGTGGTTCAACACTACTCTGTAGAATGTTTAGATGTTCAACACATGTCAAAAATAGATACTTACACGATCAAACGAATGGATGATCCAAAGTTTATCAGTAAATATGTCTTGATTGAGTATGATGGGGATCACAGCTACAGCAGATGTGAGTTGATCACTATCAATCACTTCCAGCCCCTGGAAACGATCTGCATATGCTACGTAGATCCCGAGATCTGTAGAACTAGAAATTGGCAACAGATATTCAACGAGTACAGAACAAAAGCTGTAGCACTTACTATAAACTCCATGGCAACAAAGGGATTTTATCATCTGCAACCATCCGACGTATGATAGAGCAATTTAACTCTTGTTTGTTGGGGATGGATCTTCACTTTGACATGGTAGATAAGTTCGCAAGGAATATAACCTATAGAAAAATCAACAGTTGCAAATTGATCAGCTTGTGTATGAGTTGAAGTTGTACAGCCATATCGGATCCCAGTTTTAACGACAAATGGGAACACAGAGACTGAATGGCGAGAGAAAGGTATAGCTCCATGTTGACTTGTCATGTCATCAAAGATAATAAGGTCTGGCCATTTCTTGCGAATGAATTCCAGAAGCAAGCTATATACTTCGACATGTGGGAGTCTCCGGACATTATTGTATTTCTTGATTGGCTTTGGATATAAAAGGCTTGTGCAAGAGAAACCTGCAATATATGAGCGCAAAGTACCGCGGTTAAGGCCTTTCTCTTTGACGATGCAACCTAGTTAATAAATCTAAGTGAAACTCAGCTGCTGCCCGAGAGGCTATAGAAATGACTTTATCATTTACCTAAGTGGAACTACAATAGATGTTAGTTTAAGGTGATCTCTAATAAATGTAATGTAACATACCTCAGCTGCTGCCCAAGAGGCTATAGAAATGACTGAGGTATTCCTATACTAAACCCCCTACTACTTATAGTTGGAGGTGCTACTCGCTACAGTATAATGACTCCTAGGAGAACAATGGTGACTCCATGGAGTGGTGGCTATGCTCCATGGAGAACAATGGCTGCTTTAGCAGAGACCGGGTTTATCCAGTTTTGTCACTAGTAATTTATGTTCTTTTTCTGTTGTATTCTCAGGAAGCAATACAGACTGTAACAGAGAACATAGTTAGAGAAAATATGAATATAAAAAAAGAACTTACCATCTCATACAACCAGTGCTTCTCGACACAATCTTGCAATAGTGTATATTCCATTTCTCCATCTGCATGTCCATTCAAATTAACCCGCTCAAGCTCACCATTGAATGGTTCAAATGCAAACAATCACCACCCATATGCAGGACCAAAGCACTTGAAGATGGAGGAATAATGCATTGAAAGGTGGTGGTTGATAGTTAGATGGACACCAAGACGCTGGAGAGCACTAGAATGTAACTGTAAGTATTGTTGTCCACATTCAACTTCATCTTTTGATATTGAGCAAGACGCTAAGATTTCTGAGGACAGATGTATTGCAGCCATGTATAGATCCGGAAGGCTTTGAGTGAACTTGGGAGGAGATTTTGATTGGGCTGGTACTGGTGGGGCACTAGCCTTGATCTTGTTGTCTTCATCCCTCCAGCAGACATATAGAATGGTCGGGAACAGGGTACAGAGTTGTCACCACTGATCAGCCTTCTGGAGAGAGTGGTTTTCACCAAGCTGCAATAATTGAGACGTAAGCTCAAAGCGTACTGAGGTTGGGAATATGTGTTAGTTTTGGTGATTCTGCACCTAGTTGTGCTATCTATTTTCCTTTCTTTCTAAATCACTTTCCTCTTTACTCTTTTTGCTCTATTGTTCCGTATTCACTGAGCATTCTATAATTTTGCCTTTGTGGCTGATTTGTTTACCTTTGTTTACAAAATTTCGGACTAGTATTGCAGAGTCCAGTATTCCTATTCTTTAGTTACTCATACTGGACTCTAGGTACTGTACACATTCTGTACTCTCTGATAATATAGTTACTCATACTGGACTCTAGTTCTGTCCCTGTTAGCTCTCAGCAAGTGGCTAAACACTTCCCAGAAGTTCTCAATTGAACAACAAGATGCTTTGGACTCGGAGTACTCGACAAGTTGCGCTTGGAGTGATAGCCAAAGTCGAGACTCTGTGCCTGGATTTGCGATAAGGTTTCACTATCTTCGTCCAATTGATATTCATATCTATATCCTGGCAGGACGAGTTAAGTGGATATTTCGGATTGTTCAAATTCGTCTTGAGTAAGGGAAGTCATCTTGAGGTGGTGGTATAATATGAAGAATAGCTTAGCTTATTTTCAAGACCGATGAGGGTTATCCTATTTACAAGCTAACTAAAATACTAAAATAATAAATCATATTTATGGAACTCAAAGCACTCCAGAAAACGACTAAGTCCTTCATGAGTATCTAGTTGAAATGTGCAGAAAACCTACAGGTTTTGTGTAGATCTCTAGATTCGGTTCGAACATGCAGGCAAAATCTGATTGAAATGTGCCGGAAATGACCGGGTTTTCGGGACATTTTCATGATTCGTAATCTCAGGTTTTTCGCAGTGCTGAGAGCCTCCTCAAAGTGCTGAGCTGCACATTACTGTAACATGTGCGCAGATGTTGAATGGACTGTCATGCATTCAGCGCATCATGAGGATTTCTTACGTTACAATTGCACCACTTATTCGGACGAGCATGAATAAATAGATTCAACTTTCACTTACATGCTACCGTGGATAAAAGTCTCGCACACTGCTGTTTGAGACTTTCTTGGCCTAGGAAGACATTGGGAAAACCATGGATTCGGAGAAAGGCCTCCCTCTTCATCGCAACCTCGATCGAGTCCCAAGAAATGTGCGCCCAGTACAAAAAGCCGGCAAGACATTTGTACTCCTCGCATCTCTTTTGACTTTACTTTACTGCTACGCCGAGTTTGCCTCTCTTTCATACGGTCATCATCATCAGACGATCACAGTTCCCTTGCATGCACAGGAAACCCTTGTTAAATGCCGTGCACTAAACACGCGACCAGGAGCATCTACCAACGAACGTTCGCAATCAGACAGGTTCCAGCCAGGGACAAACCCAATAGTCATTCGTAATGCCTCTATCTGGACTGGCTTGGACAATGGTCTCGACGTGCTGCAGGCAGACTTGTTCTTGGACAAGGGTCTCATCAAGTCAGTTGGAGAAATTGACCTAACCATACTTGCGAAGGATCGTACAAAGGAAATCACGGTTATAGATGCCCACGTGAGTTCTTCTCTAGCTTTTGCCTTGACAAGGTGTATTTACCAGCTGTATGCGCGTCTTAGGGAGCTTGGTTGACCCCAGGGTACGTGTCTACGTTTTCCAGCGCACAAAGATAAGCATAACACTTGGATGTAGAATAGTTGATGTGCACTCGCACATTGCAGTTGATGCTGCGCCTGCACTATCAGGTGCAAGTGATGCCAACTCAATGAAAGGGTTGACTTTGCCTTGGTTGCGCTCAGTTGACGGCCTAAACACCCACGATGATAGTTACGCTCACTCGATCGCAGGAGGTGTAACTACTTCGTTGATTCTTCCGGGCTCAGCAGATGCTATCGGTATTATTTCCCCAACATTTAAATTACAAATCTGCATACTGAATATACTCTCATAGGCGGGCAAGCATTTACTATTAAACTGCGTTCCACACAAGAACGATCTTCGTCGTCTCTCTTGGTGGAGCCACCTTTCGGGTTAAATGGCTCAGATGTCGATTTAGAAGTCCCTCCTAGATGGCGTCACATGAAGTCAGTCTCTTTGCCTCTATTGAACGTTTCACTAATCGCATCACTAGGCACGCGTGTGGTTAGTCTGATAAGTTTGCTGTGTTGCGTCATTGATACTCATGATCTTTCGTGACCACAATAGGAGAGAACCCTTGTACGTTTGTCGTCATACTGATCTTCCTAGTGCAATTCTGACAAGTCCGCAGCGCGATCATATTCTGGGACACGAATGGATACTGTCTGGTCCTACAGAGAAGCGTGAGTAACTTCTAACTCGTTTCTCCGAGCAGAGCAACCTAACCATTTGTTTCCAGGTACAATCGAGCACGCCAGGTCAAGAATTCTCAAGATGAATATTGCTCCAAGGCTCTTGCGGGGGATTGGACCGGTCTTGGATCATTCCCAGAAAACTTTCAGTGGGAGGCCCTTGTTGATGTTCTAAGAGGAAAAGTCAAAGTAAGTGCATGCATATATGCCTATTTGGTCCCTAGATCTAACAGGGCTGGATAGGTTCATACTCATTGCTATGAAGCTGTGGATTTCGATGCCTTCGTCAGAGTATGACTTTTACTTGCGATTTTTGGCACAGTTATTTACCAAACGTCCTTGTAGCTATCCAATGAATTTCAGTTCCCTGTCGCAGCATTCCATCATGCTCACGAGGCTTACCTTGTCTCAGATGTTCTGAAGAAAGCATACGGTTCGCGACTTTGTCTTTCGTACCACAATTGTGCTCAAATCATTTGTAGAGCACCCGCCTGCTGTCGCTATGTTTGCCGCATTTTCTCGGTATGTGATTGCAAATTGTGACTTTTCTATATGACCCTCCTAATTACTTCTTGTAGGTATAAACGCGAAGCTTACCGGCACTCCGAGTTCGCGCCTCGACTATTGCACGACGATGGCATCAAAGTCATCATGAAGGTTCATCACAACACATCTTTACCATGATATCATGATTCACTGATATTCTTGTTGTTATCAGAGTGATCATCCTGCTATCCAGTCTCGTTACCTCCTGCATGAGGCACAGCAGGCTCACTATTACGGTTTACCTGAAAACGTTGCACTGGCTTCAGTCATCAGCACTGCTGCAGAAGTACTTGGATTGGACCATAGGCTGGGATACATCAAAGAAGGTAAATCTATTCTCACTCAAAAATGTGAACGCCGTTACTAACTTGACTCTCAAAGGATACGATGCAGGCTAGTCTGAATGCACTCACAAATATTTTGATCACACTCATTTCCTTTGTAGATGTTGTTCTCTGGGACAGTCATCCCCTCGCCCTAGGAGCAACTCCCTTGCAAGTCATTATTGATGGTATCCCACAGATATCTTCTCCTCATGCATCGATCAAGCCCGCTTCCCTCCAATCTTCACCCACTACCCCAGATTTCGAAAAAGAAGCTGCAGACGCGATTAAATACGAAGGTCTCCCACCTCTGGAGCCTTCGCGTACGGTAACAGATTTAGTGATTTTCTATAATGTATCGAGTGTATGGACGCGAGAAGCTGGCACTGTACAGGCGGCATTCGGGGTCCAAGAGGGCGAACCTAAGGGCGTGGTTGTTGTCGACAACGGACGAATTGTCTGCGCGAACGTGCTGGAGGCCGCTTGTGCTTCTTACATGCTATCAGGCTCAGCTCAGGTCGATTTACAGGGTGGATCTCTTGCGCCTGCCCTTGTGGCTGCAGGTTCTGCGATCGGATTGCAAGACATTGCCGGGGAACCGTCCACTACGGACGGCACTGTCTATGATGCTATGAAAAGCATACCGAGTGTTGTTGGTGGTGATAGCAGTATCATCAAAGCAATTGATGGTTTACAATACGGCAGTCGCGATGCATTGTAGGTCATCCATAGTTCTATATAATGCTCATTGCACTAATGTTCATCTCAAGGATCGCTCACCATTCTGGTGTGACGACCGCGATCACTGCGCCAACTTCGGACGGACTGCTTGGAGGGCTGAGTGCTCACTTTTCTTTAGGATCAGCTCATAGACTCCAGCAGGGTGCTGTCATCAATGATGTAGCTAGCGTACATGTAAAAATCAGGCACGTAGGAGAGCCCAGCGTGAGCACACAAATCGCCGCTCTGCGCCGACTCCTTCTGGAACCTCAAGGCGGAGAAAGAGGCGAGTGGTTGAAACAAGTCACAAAGGTATGTTTTTGTGGTAACGACTTAGCGTCAGTTTTACTTAGCCTATGTTGCTATTCTTAGGGAGAGATACCTCTGGTAGTGGACGTTAAAAGTGCAGACATCATCGCGACCCTTCTAGTTCTGAAGAGAGACGTTGAAGCCGCTTCTGGCACTCCCATCAAAATGACCCTCTTTAGAGCGGCGGAAGCACACCTTCTCGCCAAAGAGATTGCGGAGGCAAACGTAGGCGTAATTGTGACGCCTCCAAGGTCATTCCCATATACATGGGAGGGGCGACGCATGTAAGCACATCAGCCGTTTTATATAGATTCCATGATACTGACAATCGATTCTTTCCAGTTTATTAGGACCACCTGTAACAGAAGAAACGGTCGTCTCTGTACTCACCTCTCACAACGTCACTGTGGGGATTGGTCCGCAGGGCGTTGAAGAGGAAGAGCCAATGGCAGGTTGGGCAGTACGGAACTTGAAGTGGGATGCAGCTTGGGTAAGTTGCTCTCTGATTTCGCAGGGCTCATCTATCTTAAGCTATCGTGTCCGAATAGGTGTCTATTGGTTCTCATGGGGAAATAAGCAAAGCCCAGGCGTTAGCAATGGCATCCACCAATATCGAAACATTACTTGGTGTGCAGGTTAATCCCATCGACGGAGATATCGTGGCGACAAGTGGAGGAGACCTTCTTAGCTTCGAAGGGAAAGTTGTTGCTATTGTTTCACCCCGGAGGGGCCTGGTAGACATATTGTGACAGAGGGGACAGCTATCCTATTAGAATGACATCTACAGAAACATAGGAGAAGATGGGTTATGAATTGTTCATCTCGATGAGTAGTGTTAGCATTATATCAGTGCAATGTAAATAGATGTACGATGCAATAGTACAAGTGTATTCGAGCTTCGATGGTATTACAGGTTGCTCTTCCCTATATTTCAAAGTTCGTTCCTGTTGGGGGAGACAACCTCACCCAGGCGCTCCCACATCTGCAGAAACACACCGAGGCAGCCCATAGTCCGCTTCTTGCAAACCTCAATCAAATATTGCAGTTGGAATTGCAACCTGTTAATGAACTCGGGCCTATGGGACAAAGTGTCATGGCGCGTAGGTTCACCATGTCGGGGCTAACGACGTAACATCAGTAAGTCGATTAAGGGTTTCCCGAATGGTGAATAGGTACATACATTACCGACGACGGCCCGCTCAGCCTCGTTGATCAATCTTCTTGAATCGAAATCGCCAGTCTCCTTCCACATCTTCCTGAAGTCCTCCACCGCTTCTAAGCTTTCACTAAACCGGTGTAGGGTGTTGACCAAGGCAACTACTTCTGACCGTTGAAGTAGTTTGGTATTGCTGTGTGGACTAAAGCTAATATAAGTAACAGTAGGTGCACGGCAGATTGAGAGGGACATACTTAAGCGCCTTTTCATCCATCTCAAACAGGATCTTCAGCGCTGTGGCTAAGCCCGTCGTTTGAACCTTGCCCCACAGCCTACATTTATCACACCCAACACAGTCCATAATTCGAGAGACATTGCGGAAGTGATTTTTGAATTCTTGTTTAAGAACCTTTTTTGAATTTATTAGCATAGTGCATTCTGTAAGGTCTTGAGGACTTGGCTTACATTGGCATTTTCTCCGCGGAACAATACGCTCTCATCAAACTTGCCTACATGTTCAGCGATAGTAATCACGTTGGAAAGCTTGTTGAGAGTGTCATCGCCTTCAGGATTGTCAGAGTGATCGTGTGGAGTTGGAGTGGCGAGAGAGCAGTAATCATAAGCGGAAAGGTAAGGCCCAATACGTGCAACAGCGCGAAGGAGAAGGACTGTGTTGAAGTAGATGTATTGGAGCCTTTCTGGGTGTGAAGCTACGCGCGTAACAAAGCATTCCAGGTTTGGACTCTAATAACAGGTGTGAATATGCGAAGGGGTATAACAAAAGGGACCCATTAGCTCACCATTTCTCCAGTGGTTTGATTAAGATATTCACGGCATATATGCGTTGAAATGGATGCATGTAAACCTTTGATAATAAAACTGGTTCGATACTCATGGATGCTACCAGTCCACTGTTGACTCACCGGACACGATTTTATAGTAAACTCGCTTCTCGAGGCACGCTCCCGTACTTTCGTCCTCAGCAGCTGTGTCTTCCCTTAAAACGTCTGACATGGTGTCAGGAAGCGTGACAAGGGATGGAGATTGGCCTGTCATGAGGTTCAGTTCCGACAAACCAAAGCAGTTTTCTTCATAGATTGACTTCCATACGCGGTGTGCCGAAGGACCTGAATAACCAGTATAGCGCTCGGGTATTTGAGATAGATCAACATAGTCCCCCTCTAGCATACAAGTAATCAGTCATTGGACATAAGGCAAGAAAGGGATTATGAGAACTCACCAGTCATATCATCTAAGAAGCAGTAGTCTGAATCACGATAATAACATCCTGGTAGCTGTATCCGCTGGATTATACGTCAGAAATGTGTGACAAGAAAATGGCAAGTGGGAGCGCTTACTTGATCAGGTGGAGGAAGGTCTATTTTGCTGAGGGATGCAGCTCGCCATTTCTCAGGTATTTCGCTCTGTTATGGTACACCATTTAATTAGCTCAACCTTGCAATACCTGTGTAACGACATACCTCATCTACTGTTGTGATACCACATTCTCTATTCATACAAAACCCATTTTCTTGCCAAAAGGGACAGTCGCGGTATAAATCAACCTAGGATGCATAAGCATACAAGTATAGATCAGTGGAAGTGGTGTGTACTCACCTGAAAGTATCTGAAGAACGGAGTATGCACAACCTCGTGTAAATTGCGATATAGCTCCGAATTTACACTCTCTATGGTCTCGTAATCACACATTGTTGTTTCTATTGGACCCGCTTGCTGTGAAAGTAAGCAGCCGAAGTCGGTGAACAGATATTAAACAGGTGCAAGAACAGGACGTACGGCATGTTGACAGAACGACTCTTTTGCAGGTTGATGTTCGAGGACATTCTGCACTTGACCTTTCCGTATGAGCGTGTCTGATAGGAACGAAGTAGCTTCGATGCCCAAGGGGGAGAACACAAGCGCAAGACATGCTCTCTGGAGGTGCGTATGGCGCATTGAAAGGCGGTAAAGAACGAAAGAAAGCCTTCAATAAGGTTTATACGATGTGGTTGATAACAAGGAATGCTTGAGATTCCTGTCGAATGGCTTGCGCTAGAAAACCAGTGTTGGGTGTTTGCTGAATAAATGTTCCACGTCGTCTCAAGCGTCTCCAATAATTCAATCGGGTCACGTGATGTCATTCGATCTACAGACTTCGGCTTGCTCGGCTCGGAAGACTTGATATTAACGCTCTTGATGCATGGTCAAAGCTATTAAGCTCAGTGCTTTATCTGGAGGTCGAAAAAATGCAATACGAACGAGTAAATGTGTATATTATCATGACATGCTTATGCTCACCATAGCGCTCTGCTGTTGACCTCATGTCTCGTGTTCAGGTGGTCACGAGAACTCTGACATGGACGTCCGTCTCCAACCCATTTATCTCTTTCGGTCCGCTTTCCCAGCAGATTCATATTTAGGTCAGATATACTGTACCAGAGATTCGGACACTTTCTTGCCTCGCCACCACCTTCAGCTTTATTGAAACCGTCACAATGACTACACCATTTGTGCCCCTATTGAAATTGAACACCGGGGCATCTATTCCTGCTATCGGTGCGTTCTTGATCGAAGTCTATTGAATACATGTGGAGTACTTACTGTGCTTGCTTTCCCCAAGGCCTTGGTTGCTTCACAGGACACGACGACGAGAAGAGGAGGAAAGTCAAAGACTGGGCACTGACCGCCCTCAAGGTATGCCTGCTTCCATTAATGAACAAATGGCTGACTCCAACGCTCGTACTACAAAAGGCTGGTTACAGGCATTTGGACACCGCTTGGATGTACGGTAAGGTGCGTTTGGTTGGTTCTCATATTCACCTCACCCATTATTATACACTCGATCAGGTACCGAGAAGGCTGTAGGAGACGCTATAAGAGAGTTTGATATACCCCGGGATGAAGTCTTTGTGACGACTAAACTACCGTGAGTTTTACGCATGTTATAGCCAATACATTCCGGAAGCCGATTATTGATATCTCGCATGTTCAAGTTGGCATCATCCTGGGTACGTTCATGAGTCTATAGACGAAAGTTTGAATAGTGCTGGCTTCGATTACTATGACCTAGTAAGTCGATGCTATGTTGTCTTTGTCATAGTTTTGAAGGATCTTTCGGTCTTTACAAGTACCTTGTCCACTTCCCTCAAGCATGCGAATATCCTGGTAGTTCTTATGTCCCTTCCTTTGCATTTCATGCTCACAAGTTTCTAGAGGGGCGCGGAAGACCGCTAGACCCTGACGACCCGTATGCTATCAAAGCACTCGATAGCCCTACCTTCAATGATACATGGGCCGACATGGAAAAAGTGCTTGCCAGTGGCAAAGCCAGGGCCATTGGCGTCAGTAACTTTTCCATCAAGACGTCAGTAGTGTTAAGTACTAGATGAGGCGTCGGCTTACATGCTCACTATTCGTCCTTGCAGACTCGAACAACTTCTCAAGACGGCCAACGTTGTTCCTGCTGTCAACCAGATAGAGTAAGCGGCTGCAATATTTCACCTGTCCGCCCGTCGTTCAAGTTCTTAATTATTAGGCTGCATCCTTACTTGGCACAAAATGACCTCCTGGAATACTGCAAAGAAAAGGATATTCTTGTCACAGCATACACTCCAACAGGTACGCAAGGGAATAACTTCTATATCATTTACTTACTGCTGTTCAACACATTTGCATTAGGCTATGAAATAGTTCGCAACGATCCTATAGTTAACCAGTTGGCCTCTAAGTACAATGTAACTGCCACGCAAATCATCTTAGCGTGGCATGTCGGGAGAGGTTGTGCCGTCGTCCCCAAGAGCGAGAACGAAGGACGTCAGAAAGAGAATATCAATGTACGAACGATTTCTTCCATGATTTTCGAAATTTCGATTGTATAACTGATTCCGTCTCACAGTTGCCAACGTTGAGTGCGGAAGACATGGTGATAATAAGCAGCTTGGATCGGAATCAGAGAGTGTGTAACTTTCCCAATGAGTTAGGCAAAATATACGGCTGGACGCCGGAGCAGTTCGGATGGTAGGAGCTGGTATGTACGTAGTGGTTCGTATGCTGCCTCAGTTCCTTTCGACATATGCAATGGAATTTGATCTTGTTTTCGCGAGAGTCGGGGTAGGAAGTACGAGTTCACTCACCGAAGGGAGTTGAAGAATTGGAACGCACAGTGGCTTTAAACTGAGAGGCATGGAAATACTCGTCGTGTCAAGTGCAATCTGCGATTCTACAATCCTCAAGCTCGAGAATAAATTAAGACTATATCGCTGATCTCTACCACACACTATGTTGACCCAAATATCAATGTCCATGGCCATGATGTGGAGCCTGCTCGAATTGCAATCCGCTAAAATGGAGAGGCAATTTAAGAACATGATCATCTATGAATGTGCATCACTCACCAATATCTGCAAGATAAGATTTGAGACACAGTAAATCAAGTCTTTCGTTATCACTTTACGCAGGTACTTTGTACACTTACCCGCAAGGACGTGGTCCAGGTCGGTCCTATCGTGGCAGAATGGCTTTAGACATGCTGAAGTTCAACAAGTGATAGCCGCTCACCAAATTGATATATATCTTCGGGTGCCCGAGCGGCCCTCCTCCTGAAGCAGAAAAAGTTAACTTCCACTATAGTGAATCGTTTAAAGAAGCACCCACCTCCATCACATACTGCTTTTCGCCCGTCCACAAGCCTTATGGGTTCCTGGTTAATGAGATCCATCGCATTCACAGGATTAGGCTGCAGCTCCATGGCAGTCTGCTCGAAACGTGGCCCGACAAGGGGGACGGTGAGTGGGTTCTTGGCTACTGTTGTCGAAGGAGTCTTGGGTGACTCTGCAGGTGGGGCGGATGGGAGGAGCGTGGATAACGCGGAAGACTGATAGGATGGTGATGAAAAGGCAGGAAATCTGACTTTTGTAAGTCGCCGAGTGAGGTTTGAACTGAACATTGGTGCCGTTGGACAATCGTTGTTCAGTATTACACTTGTTTTCGAGGTTTGCTACGATCCCGAGTTTTCGACGTGCCGGTAACTTCCGGGCGTGCGTTGTTTGTTCGTTGTGGCATAAGTCATCGTTGGGCCACAATGAACTCCGCGGCGGCTCGTGATGAACACTATGTCATCGGGCCTCCTATCTCAAGTGTACTTTTGCTTCTCACATATTCTCACAGGCGGGGAATATTCAATACTCATCAGTGCTCTGTCAGCATACGTGTATTCTAGAATATAAAACAAACATACGACACCCGCCCTAGTACCGACATTTAATCCTAAACGCTCTCATCCATGGCGCAAGAATCAACGTTTGAGATCGCCATCCCCGACAAAAGCCTTGAAAACTTACGCGCAAAACTCGAACTCACTACTTTCCCGGACGAGCTTGAGGATGCAGGCTGGAAATATGGTGCCCCTCTCGCTGATATAAAGCGTCTCGTAGGCAGGTGGAAGGATGGTTATGACTGGCGCAAGCATGAGAAAGCGTTGAATGACGAGTTGCCCATGTACACTCGTGACATCGAGGTTGAAAACCATGGGGCGCTGAACATACATTACGTCCACAAGAAGAGTGAGGTGGTCGATGCGATTCCATTGTTGTTCGTTCACGGGTGTAAATTCTTTTCTCTTTGATTCGGCCATTCGTTGTTCATGAATACGGGTTTCGTTCTAGGGCCGGGGAGCTTCTTGGAAGTCCGCAAAATACTACCTTTGCTAACAGAAGTCTCTCCCGAGCACCCAAGTTTTCATGTCGTTGCTATGAGCTTGCCAGGATATGGATTCTCAGAAGGCCCACGCAAACAAAATTTTGCAGGGTCTCAATATGCCGAGGTACACTTAGCCTTTACAATTTACCGTAATGATACTGATGTCGGATAACCTTTTACAGGTAGGAAACAAACTGATGCTTGCTTTAGGTTACAACGAGTATGGTAAGTCCAGACGTTTGCATCGGACTGAATGCTACAATATGAATTCACTCATCTATTCGCGATGCTCTCAGTTACACAGGGTGGTGACTGGGGCTACATGGTGCGTCTTGTTCTGTTTTCGCTCTTTTTCATTCCGCTGAGATAGGAAGAATAGATAACTAGAAAGATAGCTAATCTCTACGGCGGAAAACACAGCAAGGCATGGCACACGAACCTTCCTGTGTGAGCCCATTTGTTTCCGTCTTGTGAACGTCCTCGTCGTCTTACGCTGCAATGATATGTATAGCGGCCAGCCACCCCAGTTGCTAAGCTCCCCTCTTTCCTTTTTGGCAATGCTTGTGAAGCCTTTCACCAGTGCAGAAAAGGCTGGGATCGAGAGGACCATGTTGTTCAGACAAAAAGGATCAGGATATTTTGAGGAACAGAGTACTCAACCTCAGACCCTTGGGTACGGGTTGTCAGATAGTCCGGTCGGCTTACTGGCATGGATATACGAAAAACTTGTCAACTGGACAGACGAATATAAATGGGACGACGATGAGGGTGAGTCTTGGCGGCTTCATATCTTTCGTCATTGATTGATGAGGACCCGTCTGAATGCATCAAGTCTTAACGTGGATATCAATTTACTGGTTCTCGCGTGCGGGCCCAGCGGCTTCGGTAAGGATCTATTTCGAGGTGATGCACAACAACGATAGAAGCAAGGTCATGCTCTCGGGGCCTGCACCTACTATTCCGATGGGTGTGTCGCATTTTCCCAAGGAACTGGTAGCATTGCCTAGAGCGTAAGTCACACATCCTAAGCCCTTGCTGACTTGCGCCGGTAGCTGATGATTACGGACAGGTGGATTCGCTCGACGGGAAATTTGGTATATGAAGGTGAACATGATAGCGGTGGTCATTTTGCTGCACACGAGAAGCCGCATGAATTGGTTGGAGACGTCCGTAAGATGTTTGGGAAGGGAGGCCCTGCTTTTGGAGTGGTTTCAGGAAAAACAGGTTACGCGTAAACCGTTGTCAGGATCAAATGCTCGGTTCGAATCGTGTCATACGTACAATTCCTTTTCTTGTTGTTGCATTACTTCAAGTTCTTACTACAAATTACTGTCGGTCTGCAAGCTGGCCTGAACCGAAATCATATTTTGCTGGTATAATACCCCGTTAGTGGGTGAGTAGAGGAATTGTCGGATATGAATTAGTGCTTTTCACGAGGGAACGATGCGACTCGTGGTGCTCAGACCGATGAAAAGTAGCGCGTGCCAGCTTTGATTGTAACCATGAATTTTAACAATCAAAGTTGTTTATACGTCTACCCGCGCAAAGACTATCTGAGGAACAGATTAAGCCATAGCAAACAAGAGGCTCGAGACGAAGTACCTGTACCATGTAGTGCTCAACTTCATTTTCACGCTAGCTTCGGTGGTGGACGTTGTTCGTAGTGAAGACTTGATCGACGGGTGGATCATGATGACCCGGAGAGGAGGGGATTTAACGAACTGGAACAAAATAATTGACAGCACATATGCCAATAATCGGGTGCATTCTGGGGTTCAAGTTCATCTCGTCATAATGAACAGACCGTGCCATGCCTCATCGTTTCCATCCTCAAGTTGTAGTCGTAGATCTAGAAATGCTATAATAGCATTGAGCGCCCAAAATGCATACGTGATGCATCCTCCTCGCATGGATGTGCTCGGCGCACATTATGGAGACGAATACTCTTCCGAATGCGAACTGGCACGTTTCATAGCACAGGTGCAAATGATTAGTAAGCCCCTAATTTTTTCCAGTAAAGTCGCATATTGTTCAAGTTGTTTTCCTAACCAGGCATGATAGACACATGCATGTGTGGGATACGGGGCACGAGGGAAGAAGCACAGGAATGGGTGGACACCAAGCACAAGGGTGAGGACGGTGAGTGGCCATGACGAGAATGACAGTGACTAAAACGGTAGAGACGAAGAAGATATGAATCGAGCTTAACGACGAAATACCTGTTTGAGAAGGGTATGGGACTCTTTGTGGTTCCATCACATCACATTGCCAACGATCAATGATCAAGAGGCAGTCCAAGGAACGGAATGGTGCACTTATTGATATACAGTCACACATACATCCCCTGATAGCATTTTTGGAAGGGACAAAAACTTGATACAGACTCCCTCAGGAACCTGAGTCGAAGAAAGAAAAAAGGTATACGTGACGAGCTATCACAATACTCATTGATCCAACGTCTAAGGACTTACCGCATCAACTTGAATAAACACAGTTTCAAACTGGGCTGAGCATATCCGAGATCCTAGTCGTCACGGTGTCCGAAGGGGGGAGGTCTTTCAATTGAAACTTAAGTACTCACTTTAACCTTATTGGCAGCAGAACGTAACCAGGTCTTGTATAGCATACTAGCTTGTTTCAAGTGAGAGCAATGTCCAAAAATTCACATCATGACTTGGTAGACCATTCTGTTGATGCCCTTGACACCGCGGTTACGATAGTTGAGGCCTACCTGTGACCAAAACAGATGGGACAATTGAGCCTGCCACCATACAATCGTATGCTCAGCGCTCAACAGACTCGGATGCGAAGTGCAAAAAATACCTAAAGGATATATATCGTGAGTACGGTTGTGACCGTGACTCTCTTCCACTGACTTGGACATGTACGACATACTTATACTAGTAATTACTGACAGGCCATATACACATGCACAACTTGCTCTTCAAAGATACATTAACGCTCAGTAATTCTGATGCTGCCTCTTCGGAGATAGCATTGATGGCCAGAGTCCTATCTTGTTTTATAGCGGCACAGAGCTGTCAGATCGTTACCTTTCCCCAACCCGTCAAGGACGAATAATGCTGCAATACGTCTCACTCCTTTCCTGTGCCCTGTTCACTCTTTTTCTGTCCTTCGCTATATCCAGATATCTGAGAAGGCCCAATGTATGCTTGATTTTTCGTGTTTGACCAGTCCTCTGATTAGTCGATCATAGCTTGACAGCATCCCAACGGTTGGTCCTGGTGGTCTGCTCACATCATACTGGGGGGCCTTGGTGTTTTTATTTCATGCCCGCGAGACGTTACAAAAGGGATATACCAATGTGTGTCCAATTTCTGTCTCACCGTGCCTGCCTTTGATCTGACGCGCCTTGTTCAGTATAAGGGCATGGCCTTCAAGGTTCCGGGTTTATTCTACTGGAATGTCATCCTCAGTGGTCCCAAGCTTGTTGAGGAAATTCGAAAAGCCCCAGAAGATTATCTCTCTGCTCGTGAGGGATTCAGCGATGTGTGTAGCTTGTTTATGTTTTCTCTATGATAAAGCTGATGTGTTAATCACCCTGGAAGATTTTGAAACCAAAGTACACATTAGGCCACGAGACTATACATAACCCTTACCACGTCTCAGTCATCCTAACTCAACTCACTCGTAATCTTGCTGCTCGATTCCCCGATATTATAGATGAAATCAAGACTTCATTTGATGATAATATCCAATTAGTTGACTACGGTATGTCCTTTGGTTTCATTTCACGGCTGGCTTTAATCATGATAATTAATTACTGCCTTCGTAGAATGGAAAAGCGTGCCTGCATATGAGACCATCGTGCGGGTCGTATGTCGGACGAGCAATCGTGTCTTTGTTGGCCTCCCTCTGTGTAAATGCGCTTGTCTTTCTGGCTTATACACCATGATCATCTGACTTACACCAGGTCGTGATCCCGACTGGAATGACCTTGTATCCGGATTCGCCCTCGACGTCGTCAAGGTGGCCGTCACAATTGGTTTATTTCCTGACTTCGTGGCGCCGTACGTATCAGCGCCTCACGCCCTCCCAAATATACCTCTTATAAATGATTCCTTGGCAACATACACAGTTTTGTAGGAAGACTTCTTTCGAACCTGCCTCGATCCGTCCGGCGTGGGATGAAGCATCTGCAGCCTATAATAGAGGAACGTCAGAAGAATCTGGACGAATACGGGAGTGACTGGGATGAAAAGCCGGTTCGCTGTGCCTGAACTGATCGCTTTGCGCATGCCCTCACGCGACCCTTTTAGAATGACATGTTGTCATGGCTCATGGATGAAGCCGAGGGAGAAGAGTGTTCGGTGCAGAACCTCACGAGACGTATGCTAACAATCAATTTTAGCGCAATCCATGTATGTCGTTGCCCCCGAGTTCTTTGACAATTTTTTGCTGATCGTCTACTGTTCATCGCAGACGTCTTCGATTGTACGTTCTTATTTCCCGTTGATGTTGCACCAAAAATTCAGCACTATTATAGAATTTCACACATGCATTATTTTATTTGGCTGCAAACCCTCAATATGTCGAACCATTGCGAGAAGAAGTTGAAGCCACCATAGAGGAAGAAGGTTGGTCAAAAAATGCTATTGCAAAGATGCGAAAGGTGGATAGTTTCTTGAAGGAAACACTAAGGTTCGAGGGCCTTTCTTTCGGTACGTCTTCATGCACCAGCAAGCTACGCTGTTTGGTTGATGAATTGATTCCCCCTTGCAGTATCTATGCTCCGCAAGGCTGTGAAAGATTTCACGTTTTCCGATGGAACTCTCGTACCCGCTGGCTCTATGGTGTCTGTCGCATCATTCCCTACGCACCGTGACAATGAAACGTATGAAAATGCGGACGTATTCGATCCTTTCCGATTTGCAAATGAGAAGCAAGTGAAAGAACAAGCTTGTCAACAGATGGTCTCCACTAATCCAGAGTTCCTAACGTTCGGGCATGGAAAAAATGCTTGGTGTGTTCTTCCAAATGATGCCCAATCAATCAACATTTATAACATGATTTGTATGATGCCCAACAGTCCAGGACGCTTTTTCGCCGCAACTGAATTGAAAGCGATGCTAGCACACATCGTCGTGACATATGATGTTAAATTCGAGAACAAGGGTTTACGACCAGCTAATATAACGTTCGGTGCAGCCAATTCCCCCAACACGAAGGCAAAGATCATGTTCAGGAAACGTGTAGTGTAAAATGACTTTCGGACTAGGACTGATGGAGGTTGGAGATGTAAATCGATACCATATAGCTTATAGCTCGACTCTTTTTATTTCTTTCATTTATATATAGTCCGTTTATTTTGTTTTGTCTGATTCTTAAGCCCCTACCAACACTTCATCTTTGATCCATTTCAGTAACGCATCCGATAAATCTTTGGGGTGGGACAGTATAAACCAGTGATCAGCTTCAATCTCGTATAACGTGGCACGCGGGCAATATTTCTCCATTGTAGCTTGACCAAGCTTCGGAACGCAGATGTAGTCATACGTCCCTCCACCGTAAAAAGTCGGCTGGGTGACAATATAATTTTCTTGCGGGATAGCTATATCACAAAGATAAACAAAAGAAGTCAAGAGGTCAAAGAATCCATAGGAATGTCAATCTAAACATACTTTCATCGTCTGCAGCCATCAAAGAGGGTCGATCCATGACAACTTTATACCAACGCAGGGGGCCTTGTATTCCATCACGCAAGATGTACTTCGAGTGTTCGACTTTATCCTGCGTTCATAATGGTGTCCAGAATATGAGCGAATTGATTATTAGTTGAGACTTACCTCCTCCGTGAAGTAGGAGGGTAAGGGACCCTGCATATTAGCCAAGATATGGCCTTTGAAGGCTGCATGGGGATCGGCATACGTGTTAGGGGCCGGGTTGTTGGGGTATGCGACGCTGAAGAACGAATCCCACTGCACGATACGGATACATATACAGAGGCGTTGAGATATAGAAACACAAAAAATGACTTGACGCGTACATGTTCCTCGACGATTTTGGGTGCGTTATCATCCGCAAAGAATGCCATGTAACTGAACTGATCGAATCCAGTAGCAGCTTTTGTTGTTTCCAGATATTTTTGATAATCAAAGTTGACAAAAGGAGGGACATAAGCGACAGTCAAGAACGCGAAGGCGATGAAACGCTCCGGGTGAAAATTTGCGAGACGAGTTGCAAACGTTGAACCCCTGCAAGTTGATACGGTGAATTCCCGCCGTAAGGACCTCATAGCAAAGACATACCAATCATGTCCTACGACGATAGGTTTGCCCACATTCTCGACATCGACAATCTCGATAACATCCTTGCACATCTTACTCACAACATAGTCAGGGGTCTCGTTTGGTTTGTCTGTGAGGCCGTATCCTAGTAAATCGGGCACCAGTACACCAAAGCCTTATTTGATGAAGAATGGAACTACGCGATGCCAACCATAAGAACTGGAGGGGAAGCCATGCAGGAATAGTACTGTTGGTTTCGAGCTGTCCTGAGGAGGGGATGAGAAGTAGTGGTATTTGAACCCACGAGATGTGGTTGTAAATTTGTAAAGGGAAGCGTCCATGCTGTCAACTGCATACTTAAACTTATCCCAAGAGTCTTTTATAGAACTGCGATAGCAAGGATAACATAAACGTTAACCCAAGAGGCCACAGCTTTCCACTGACAGTTAATATTAAGTACTGACCACATGATCGTTATCATGACACAGATAGTCAGTATGCATCACGCAGTTTCGTTTGTGGTGTCGGCTTCATTACTGAGTAGACGCAGGGTATGAATCCACATTGCTTATGGGTCCACAAAAAAGAGTAAAGCGTTGTGGTTGTGGTGAGAGGACAAGCGCGTTATTGCCGGTCGGATCATGGCCAGCCCGCCACGTACAAAAATGGCGTTTTACCGCGCTCGTTGTTGCATTCGTCGGCCATCCATCTCTGTAAAGCATTCTTAAGAAATACCGGTGAGACCACGAACTGCAAGGATGTTGACTGGGATGATCCGGAGAGGTCCACGTTCTCTTCCCCGCACACTCGGTCTCGGTGCAATCTCGTCCGAATCAGCAATACGCCCGTCAATTCGCTATCGCCCATCATTCCCGAAACAATCATCATATCGTCTACTGCATACCTCCTTACCCGCCATGTCTGTCCATCAAGGTGAATCGGCAGTTCGCCCAGAACCAGACCAGCTCCTCAAAGACATCGCCGACTATGTCCACAACTATCAAATCACTTCGGACCTTGCTTTCGAGACTGCACGTCTCTGTCTCATTGATACCATAGGTTGTGGTCTTGAAGGTCTTCGTTTCCCTGATTGTGCCAAACTCCTTGGCCCAGTTGTTGAGGGTACCATTGTCCCAAACGGTATGTACTCTGTTGATTTGAAGCCAAACACATATTCTGATAACAGACATAGGTACCAAGGTCCCCGGAACTAACTACCAGCTCGATCCCATTCGAGGTGCATTCAACATTGGTACCATCATTCGTTGGTTGGACTTTAATGACTGCTTCCTCGCTGCTGAATGTACGTGACCGATTTCTACAGAAGCTAGGAACAAATTTCTCCTGGCTTGGGATACTATGTCTTCCAGTAAGACAAGTACAGGCGTTATATAAACGTTCCGTATTTCGCTGATGACTCCAGGAGTGCTGTCTCGTACCTGTATGCAAGAGGCTCCAGCCTAATGGATAGACTTCATAGTTGTTTTGGATTACGCGATGCTTGTTTCGTTTTCTTGATGTTGCAGCTATCCTTTACTTAATGAAAAGTGTACACGAGCATGCTTTCTAACGACGCCATGCATTCTATCTACAGGGGGCCATCCATCCGACAACCTCGGCGCTATCCTCGCCGTCGCAGACCACCTCGCCCGTCAAGGCCAGCCACTCACCGTCCACGACATCCTCGAGGGCATGATCAAAGCCCACGAAATCCAAGGCAACCTCGCCCTCCTCAACTCCTTCAACCGCGTCGGTCTTGATCACGTCGTCCTCGTCAAAGTTGCCAGTACCGCTGTCGTCTCGAAACTCCTGTCAGTACGCTTAGACGAAATTTTTCCGTTGATTTTCATTTAATCTCACCTACGTCACTCTCTTCCCATAGCGGCCTTTCGCACTCCCAGACGATCGATGCTGTTTCGCAGGCTTGGGTAGACGGACAGTCGCTCCGCACGTACCGTCACGCACCCAACACCGGCCCTCGTAAGTCGTGGGCTGCAGGCGATGCTTGCTCTCGCGCCGTCAACCTCGCTCTGCTCGTCAAGAAGGGTGAAAAGGGTCTTCCGTCCGTCCTCAGCGCCAAGACATGGGGCTTCTACGATGTCCTCTTCAAGGCGCGTTATCCCTAGTTTTGTCCAAATCACGCTCATTCATATCTTCGTATGTCACAGGGCAAACCCTTCGAGTTCCAAATGCCTCTCGGCTCGTACATCATGGAGAACGTCCTATTCAAAATCTCGTACCCAGCTGAATTCCACGCACAAACAGCGGTAGAAGCAGCCCACACCATTCATGCACAGCTCAAAGCTTTGGGAAAGTCTTCAGATGACATCAAGAGCGTGCGCATTCGGACTCAGGAGGCTGCTGTTCGTATCATCGACAAGCAAGGTCCTTTGGACAACTTTGCGGACCGTGATCATGCCATCAACTACATGGTTGCTTATCCCCTTATCTTTGGCGAACTCACATCGGAGAGTTATACCGATGCATCCGCTTCGGACCTACGAATCGACGCTCTGAGGGCGAAGATTTACTGTGTGGAGGACAAAGCGTTCAGCGTGAACTACCATGATCCTGCCCAACGGTCAATTGGAAACGCCCTATTGGTGGAATTGAACGATGGAACTGTACTAGATGAGGTAGTGGTCGAATTTCCTGTTGGACACAAGCGAAGACGGACAGAGGGAACGCCGCTCCTTGTGAACAAGTTCAAGAGGCATATATCTTATCATTTCGACGAGACGCACCAGAAGAAGTGAGTAACTAGCCACTGTTGCAAGGATATCACTAATTGTTGATGTCACACCAGAATTCTGGACACGGTATCTGACGCGCCATCATTCTATAAGCTGGCAGTAGATAAATTTACTGACATGTTTGTTAAGCCTTAAAGGAGCTTTCCGATGTATTCGTGTATCTTGTTACGATGATCATCTCATTTGTCACATCAATCTAGGAAATTATATGAAACGAAACACACTGAGCGTTTCGGAGTCGATGAAAATTAAGTGCGATGGGAGGGTACAGGTGGAAAGTGGCAACATGATGCTCACAAACGTAATGCCGAAAAAACACAGTGAAGAATGCATGGAAACAAAACATCGATTATAAGAAAACACTAACGAGTATCCTCAGCTGGGGAGGTTTGTTACAATAACATTTGAAACGTTCATGCGTTGGCAAGCACAGTCTGCTGATTTTTCATATTTCCTCGTCCGGAGGCATAGTTTGGTCTAATCTTTCTTCCACGCTGTTTCAATTTCCTTGACGATGCGTCTCTGGCTAAAGTTTGTTGTGGTCTTGTCATAGTGTCGCCTTGATTGTCCCTAAACTCTCCAGCTTCCGGTAGGTGACCATTACTCTGAAGGAGATTAATCTCCTCTATCTCGCTACGCGCATACGGTAATCTCACTTTCGCTTGAGCATTCATCCACACCCTTGTGTTGACAGGTGACGATTGTGATATGTACTCCCTACTAAGCGTCGACAAGGCCGGTAGATCTGGGCTGGGCGTCCTTGAATAATACATGGTCGATGGAGGTTGCAAAAAGCTCCTTTGCTGTTGCCTCGACGCTTGGGAGTATTCGGGTATCTGCCCTTGTGAGGACCGGCTGGGTAACCGTTCGGGGGATCGGGGTTGCTGCTGTTTGAATGGAGATGGGGAACGTGCTTGTGATCGGTCCAAAAATGAGCTGAGATCTTCCTCTGGCACCGAAGACAAACGACGCTGTACAAGTCGAGCTAGTGGGACAGAACGAGGGTGTTGATAGGAGATGCTACGACTTCGTGCTTCTGGAGATACAGGCGACGGGGGAGTAGTTGTGATACTTGTAGATAGTCTGCTTGATCTATTGGCAGGATTGCGAGCAGGAGTCATAGCAGGGACTGGAGGCAGTGGTGTATTGGGTGGGGGACCAGGAGGCGGGGGTGAATGTACGGAGATAGGAGAAGATAGGAATTCCAGGTGTTGTATATACTTCGCAAGTGTGCTCGGGGCGCCTGAAGTGTGTTGGGCGCTAGAGATACTGTTCACGTTCTGGCATGTTTGAGAGGCTTTGATATCTGATGCATCGTTGGGAGTCATATTTCCCATACGCTCGTAGACAAATCGACGCAATTGCTGAGAAGAGTCGTTTCCGTTTCCTTGACGTTGCTTTTGCTGGGGTATGTTGGTTTTATTTGGTACTATTGGTGTCCGCAGTAATGCAATGTCTGGAGAAAGTAAAGAACCTTGATAAGGGGAGAAATTTGATGACCACTGGGGTGATGAAGAGCTTGGTGGTGTAGGAAGCATGTTCTGCTGTAGACGCAAGTGCTGCATTTGTTTCTTCTGGTATTGCTGAGCTATCTCAATGGCAGATTGGCGGCGAGGCGGACATGCAGCAGGTAGGGTATCGTTCGCACGAGGCTCCACAAATATACGAGGATAAGGTTGAGAAAGTTGTGTTGCCCGAGCGGGAGAGAAAACAGGAGCCGTGGGTTGAAGACGATCGGAATAATTGGTGGCATAATCTGGTTCGACGGCAGTGGTCCTGAGAGCTTGTTGTGCAGCCAGGGCCATTTGCCATCCCAATAGAAGCCCTTGATTTGCGGAAGGAATTTCAATTTCGTCGTCCGTATAACTTTCGCTAACAGAGTTCCGATTACAATGCAAATAGTTGAAAGCAGCAGCTTCTTGGATAGCATTATTTCGTAGAAGGTCTTCATAACCAGTGGAAGAACGATAGGTATTATTGCGTTGTTGAGGACCAAGGCTCTCCAGGTTGGGGGGATGCTTGTTGTATGTTCTTCCTGCTTTCTCAGTTAAGGCAATATGCTCTAAGTTTGTACCTCCCGTTCGTGCCTGGGGATGGGAGACCGATTGCCCTTGCTTCTTCTGCGTGCGAGGATGAACATGAGAGTGGTGAGCTTGAGAGGCTCCCCTATGAGAGTTGTCATGGACCGGAGTGTGGGATCCAGCTCGAGATTGGGCTGACCGAGGATCGTCTGGTCCAAGTCCCCAAATCATACGCGACATATTGTCAGGTTCTTCTATAATCGTACCTTCAGCCCCGCTGGTAAAAATCAGCAAAGTTCGGTACAACAATGAACAACTATATATAAAGCAAAACGTACGAAGGGCAACGAGCATAGGGTAATGAGAGTGGGCCATGTAAAGCTGGTATTGGTCGGGGTGGAGAGCTGGCCCAATTGACCCAATCTGTTTCTGTACGAAAGGGATGAGGTGGATCTCATGCACATGTATAACCATACCTTCGTCGTCATCTAGGTCAACAGACTCCGCAGAGTATTTGCGACGAAGAAAGGAATCCGGTAGCTGCATACTGTTTTCAATAATTAGAACCGAGTCCGGAGACGAAGGTGGTGATGGGGTATAAGGTACGTCAAAAGGTGGAGGACAGACACGAGCTCGACTGCGTAGTCGACCAGAAGACATATAGGACGATACCGTAGAGTTGGAATCCATTATATCTGGAGGCCATTCAGGAGACGGTCTGAGGCGATCTGGCATCGATACAATGCGCAAGGCAGCGGACTCGAGCAGGGACTGCGTTGAAAATTCCGACAAGACCTCTGGCATCGACACTGTCCTTTGTTCCCCTTTATACGAGTCAGACGGACGCATATAAGGCAGTTGTTTGCGTTTGGGAGTGCGGCGCGTGATAACTGTTTGCCGGATGGGACCACTGGGGCTGTCTGGTAGTAAAGAGTGACTATATGCGCCTTTAACCTGGCTAGAGTTAAAAAAGGTGGCTTGCTGGGTGGAGGGTGAACTAGAATCCGGGCTATGCTGCATGTGAGCTGCCCCTGTTGCAACTAAAACTACCGCGCGATCTGTCTCGGGGAAAGGGGACTGAGAACAGGTTTGTACACCGCGGTCAACGTATTCCTTAATAGATCCCATTGTAGCTTGCGTATGAATGGGTAATACAAGGAGCTTAAGCGTCGGGGCTGCGAATTGCAGAACACAAAGAAACCCAGAGATAGAAGGGGAAATGGGAGAATGACGAGAAAGGGAAGGTGAGCAAGATGATATAAACCCCGACAGCTCGCGGGGTGGTCGGAGCTTTAAAGTATCCTTCAAGGTGTAAGTAGCACCCCAAGATATTGTGTAGGAGCGATACATGGGACTATACAAGTTTATGCATCTGCCTTCTTGAAGAAACTCGACAGCTTTGACATCCCATTTACATTTGCCTTCTTCAACTTTTCCACGCCATTTGATGATTTAACCTGGTTTTTGCGTTTCTTCCCCGTGTCCTCTTCATTTGTAGCTGCATTTTTCTTCTTCGATTTGCTCGTATTGGCATTGGTCGCAAGAAGCGCTGCCTGCTCGTTTGAAAATGTTTTGAGATAGGCATTCAGCGCGGTGAAACTGAAATCGAATTAATAAGATGATAAACAAGACGAAAACAGATACACGCACTCGTAGGATGACAGTAGTGTCTGGTATATACTTGGTGGAATATATTGAGAGATAAGATCACAAGCAGCTTTTACACGACCAACTGTTAAGAAAATGTAGGAGCCATCAAATTCTGGGGGGGCTCAGCAGTCAGATGGAATACACAAACGTTCTAGCAGGTCCTCTCTTCCATCCTCCATCAACCCGTCCTTAGCCATGCTGCGTATCAAGCTACGTGACTTCTCGAGAATTTCAGGTTTTGATAGTCTCTCTACTTTTGATCGTAAATAGGCCAATAAATTATCTGGTGAAAAGCGGTACACCGTAATTTCAGTTGTTATCTCTAGGAAATAGACGTCAAGTAACGAAATGAGTACTTTAAGAAAAGTAGTACCTTTCACATCGCAAATACGACTCATGGCTGCTTTAATGCAGTCCAATGAAGCGAGTTGCATGATATCCCTCTGAGATGGTATTGCGGATGCATCTTGTACGGCTGGAGTAGATTCAATCGGCGTTTTAGCGAGCTTGACAGCAGCTTCTTCGAAGATATCATCTATTGGTCGAAAATTTCCAGGTGATCCGTCATTCTGTTCCCAAGAAGAGTAAGGGTAAGGTGAGCAGAATTCGTAAAATGACAAATGACCAAAGTGGCCTTTATACGCACAGGTTGTGAAGCAAGTAGTATCTGAATTATCAGGAAGGCAGGATCCACAGGCGTCATTAAGAGCAATTTCCCATCTACACCTCGTTTTGATGATACTGAGATTATATGAATTAAAGTCCGAACACACCTGAAACTACTTCCTCCCCGATAAACCATGAGCGGGTGTTTGGGGGGGTGACAGACTGTATTTCTAGTATTGACATTTTCTGTCTTGGATGAGACGGATCCACAAGCTTCTCTTGAGGCAAGAATAAACATGCAAGGCCTTGAGAGTTGAACCATGAAAATCAATGATTGGATATGGAAAATAGATGAACATGCACTACCAGTACGGGGATGGGGAAGGCGCCAGAGTGGTGCCGCAGATTCGTTAACCTTGTCATTCAAGTGAAGTGTGAGGGCATCAATGACAGCTGTGAGTGCGATATTCTAAGTTCTATGTCAGTGTCAAGCCACCGGTAGTAATGCTTACAAAGTGGTAAAATTCCAACGTGGGCGGTCATTGCGAAAGCCAAGTTAGTCTCAATGAGTAATGTATCTGTCGATACGTCGTTGGACAGTCGAAAAGCGTGATTTGTGAGCAGATGCGAACTTCAAGCAAGTGAGCGCGTTGTTTGCGCGTTGTTTGGCATAAACAGTGGAATTCTTACCATACCGTAGTACCGGTCAGTACCAGTTAAATCATTCATATGTATTTCGCCGCATATTTTATTACCAGTACAGTAGTAGAGTCGAATCATGTCATCGTCATTGACTTTTCATAATAAACATTACATATTACGGGGTTACCGTTGTATCATCCGAAGACATGCACATTCCTACTACATCTCCGTTACTGGCAATTGCGCTCATGTCCCCATTAACCAAGGTGCCATCAGTACACGGAGCAGCATCTGTTGTCGTCGAACCGGCGGGCACAGATCCGTCCGTTGCTGGAGTAGTAGCAGGAGCACCACCATTAGCTGAGGTGTTCGGATCTGGAGCTGCGGAACCGTTGTCAGCACCTGCATCAGCACCTGGTTCACCAGAATTGGGATTAGTATCAGTTTCACCAGGTGGGAGAGCACCGGAATCACCGTTGGTAGGGGCACCGGCAGCACCAGGGTCACCAGAGGTGGGAGCAGCGCCGGGTTCGCCAGGAGTGGGAGCAGCACCAGGTTGACCGGGAGCGGGGGCAGCACCAGGGTCGCCAGGGGCGGGAGCAGCGCCGGGTTCGCCAAAAGTGGGAGCAGCACCAGGTTGACCGGGAGCGGGGGCAGCACCAGGTTGACCGGGAGCGGGGGCAGCACCAGGGTCGCCAGGGGCGGGAGCAGCGCCGGGTTCGCCAGGAGTGGGAGCAGCACCAGGGTCGCCAGGGGTGGGAGCAGCGCCGGGTTCGCCAGGAGTGGGAGCAGCACCAGGTTGGCCGGGAGCGGGGGCAGCACCAGGGTCACCAGAGGCAGGAGCAGCGCCTGGTTCTCCAGGAGTGGGAGCAGCCCCAGGTTCTCCAGGGCCGGGAGCAGCGCCGGGTTCGCCAGGAGTGGGAGCAGCGCCAGGTTCGCCGGGGGCGGGGGCAGCGCCGGGTTGACCAGAAGCCGTGTCATCGATAGCTGGAGCAGCGTCGTAATTTCCAGTGGTGTCAGCAACGGAACAGTCAGGAGGGGTAGCCCTAGTGAGCAAGAACCTAGGCAAGTTGTTTGATCCCCCGTTACTTTCCTTGTGCTCTTCCACAGAAACGCAGCGATACGATACATTGTTGAACTCCCGCCTGAAGATTCCGCCAGAGGACACTATGTCGCGCTTGCCAAAGAACATGGGGATATGTTCTTGCTCTCTGCTGCAAAAGTAGCGACGCTCGACATCCTCCGAAGGAGTCTGAAAGACACGTATAAGTATGAAATGATTCATGTAAAGACAATCTCACAGGTTGAACCGCCCGCCGTACGGAAGCAATAGGCGTAGCGTTCGTGAATGCTCTGAAGAGAAGAATAAGAGTTATTGTGGTAGTAAAGGAGCGCATTGTATAAAGAATGTAGAGTAGTCGCGTTGACTGTGGTAAATAGTTGTGGTGGTTGATGAAGAAGGAAAGGAATGCTGAAAATCGTATTGGAAGGTGTCTTATATACCATGCGGTGAGGAGGCTGACATTGGGATTCGCAGAGCTGACAGTCCAATGGCATGACGCGGTTGAGTGTACTAACCATTTTTATTCTCCGAAAATTGGCATTCCAATTTGGCGCTCACCTGAGTTAATCGTTGTTGATGAAATTCGCCTATCGCACCATGACGCTCATCCGACAAGATCAAATGGTGTCGATGTCAGAGGCACCCATCCGCGACCTATGATCCCCCAATAACCGCAGACACGTCCAGTCCCTTCCTCCGAGGTAAACTTCCTCGAGGTAAAGGATTGTAAAAACCTGAGCCGTCAAAAGACAGATGAGCTCGGAATGGCGATGATACGGTTTCAGAAACCAGCGTCTGGAAGTTGGCTACAGTCAGTGGTAAAGTCTGGCGGGAAACTTGAAGCCAAGCTGAAGTAGTTGTGTTGAGCGAGCCGGTGTGCCGAATCTGAATTTATTGCCCATATTCCCACGCCACCGGCTAAATGCCCTGAGCACAGATGACGGTAAACTTGAACTGTCACAAAGTCTTTCAATCCATACTACTCACAATGGCTTCCTCATCTGGTGCGTACCTACTTCAAAAGTCATATCATAAATACTCATTAACTTATCAAACAGCTGTCGGGAAGCTTTCTCGCGAGGAATTCCGTCGCCAAAAAGATCTCGATGCCGCTCGTAAAGCTGGAACCGCACCTGCAGCTCTCGATGAAGAGGGAAGACCCATCAACCCTCATATTCCTCGTAAGCTTCTTTACATTTTTACTATTCGTTGTCACACTGAACCTTGTCCTCTCAGAGTACATCTCACAGGCACCTTGGTATCTCGACACGGGTGCTCCCTCTCTAAGCCATCAACGGAGACCGCAAGATGACCGTACTTCAAACAAACTCGAAAACTGGTATGACCGTGGTGCAAAGGCCGGCCCAGCGGCCAAAAAGTACCGCAAGGGGGCATGCGAGAATTGCGGAGCCTTGACTCACAAGAAACAAGACTGTCTAGAACGACCTCGAAAAAAAGGTGCCAAATTTACAAACCAGGATATTCAGGCGGACGAGATAATACAGGAAGTTGCTTCGGGATATGATGCTAAGCGAGACAGATGGAATGGGTTTGACCCAAGCGAGCACAAGAAGATTTACGAGGAGTATGCCGCAATCGAGGCCGCTAGGCAAAAACTAAGGGAAGAGGAAATCGACAATCAAACAACGACGGACCTCGCTGCAGTACGGAAGGTAGCAAAGGCAGGAAAGAGGGAAGATAAAGAAGCTGATCCTGACTTTGGGTCAAGTGAAGAAGAAGATGCTGATGAGGAGAAGTATGCGGATGCAGCCGACGCGGTCGGTCAGAAGCTTGACACAAAAACACGTATAACCGTTCGAAATCTCCGTATCCGTGAAGACACAGCAAAATACCTCATTAACCTGGATCCTTCAAGTGCTTATTACGACCCTAAAACTCGCTCCATGCGTGATGCTCCAGACAAAAATATTCCCGCGGAAGATGTGAGTAAAATTCATTAAATCCTTGGTAAAATAACATGATTGACATGGTGTGATATAGGCTGTATTCGCTGGTGATAACTTTTTCAGACACTCGGGTGAAGCACCAGATGTTCAGCAACTCCAGCTTTTCGCATGGCAAGCCTCCGCCCGAGGCAACGATGTTCACCTTAATGCCAACCCCACACAGGGTCAGTTGCTCCACCAGGAGTACAGAGAAAAGAAGGAGCAAATGAAGGACGTGTCCAAAGTCAGCATACTCGCTAAATATGGCGGTGCGGAATATCTCGAGAGAGCTCCAAAAGAGCTGTTGCAAGGTCAGACAGAGGACTATATTGAGTATTCGCGTACTGGTCATGTCATTAAAGGGAGAGAGCGTGCCAAGGCAAAAACGAAATACCCTGAGGATGGTAAGTTTTCTGAGTTGTGTGATAAATTCATTTTCTTACTTTTACTCTAGTTTATGTGAATAACCATACTGATGTATGGGGCTCCTGGTACGACATGTCAACCGGGAATTGGGGCTATGCATGTTGTCACTCCGACATCCACATCTCTTATTGCGCTGGTCAAGCTGGTATTGAAGCAGCCAAGGCATCTAGTGCCCAGGTTCTTCTCTCTTCATCAGTAAATCCTCCGACCGACGAGCAAAAGGAAGAAGAGGAAACCGAAAAACCTGGAGAAAGAGTAGAGCAGAATTTCTCCAAGAAGCGAGTAGGAGAAGGTGATGTCAAAATAGACAAGGATCGACTAGCATATGCTCTCAACGAGGAGAAAAAGAGGAAAGCAAGGGGTGGCGGCGACGATGAGGACAGGTTCAACAAGAAGAAGAAGCCCTTAGAAAGTGGTAGCCACGATGTTACGGAGGAGCAACTTGGTGCGTTTCCATCATTTTATTCTCTATCCACTTACTCATTGTCTTTACAGAGGCCTACCGTATGCAACGCCGGAATGCAGAAGACCCGATGGCTAATTATGTTGACAACGAGAACTCATATTAATCTATCTTATATCATAATGTGTTTTAGCATGCCATTACCATTCAACCAACTGTATTTTATGAACTGTAACTTAGTATTCATCTCAGTGATTGTCTACCCTTCTTCTGCCAAGGTATTATTGTCACGTGGAAGGTTGATACCGCGAATCGGTTCATCCGCAAGTTGAACTTCTCACCCGTCAAAAATAAGTACATTTGTATAGACCTGGACAATGGCACCTCTGTCTCTCTGACTTCAATGCATTTCTCGACAGCGGCTGCCCTGCTTTTTGGGCTGGGGACCCGCATCGTGCTCGACAAGTTCTACTTCGATTCGTCTGCTGAGGGTGTGGAGTCAACCGTAGGGGATGTCATCTTGCTGGGTGTTATTCAGGGCGTCGGGCTCTACTATGCTCTCATGGAATGGACTGAGCTAGCGTTCGTAGTAGCCTTTGGCATAGCAGCCCGCCTCGCCATGGAATTCGCACTCCTACAAGACATGTCCAAATGCGCTCTTACCCTACTCGGTGTTGCTATCGGAGTGCTGTTCACAGACGTCTTATCGCAGCTCATCGAGGACGGGTATTTCTACGACTACGACACGAGCAGCGAGCGTGGAAGCGCGTATGCACCGGCAAAGCGGAAGCGTCTCGTCAAATTCCAGCGCAGTGACGAGTATACCGTCATCGAGAGCCGTCAACCTCCCAGTCGGTCTCGCCGTGACTCTGATGCACGTAGGAGAAGGGACTGGAATACCGATTCAACTGGGCCTCCGTCTCTATCTTCCAATTCTGATACGGTCGACCCCACGTTGCCCCCGCTGGAACGGGAGGTTGCGGTGCTGCGCGCTCGTGCGTCGTTGGCAGACAGTGAAAGGAGACGCTTTAAAGAGGAGAAGAAGTGGGCGATATCGCAAGGAAACCTTGCCCGTGCATCACAAATGAGCTGGCAAGTGAAAAGATACAGTGCACTTACGCAGAGTTTTCAACGAGAGGCAGACGCAAGGCTCCTTGAAGGTGTGTATAATGTGGCGTATGAATGTGAAGGGCCTATCAATATAATTGCTCTATAGTAACAGCAGTACGCGCGCAACAGCAGGAGATCAGAACGACGACACAAAGGACAGAGAGATACCACAGTGAAAGACACACAAACCACGCTCGCCAGCAGGCAGGCACTTCTTCAACCCGACAGATATTTACCCGCGAACCAACTCAAGAGGTTGTATTGGATCGAAATTCCAACGTCACCCTTGACTTTGGGCGCCATCAATCCCAGCGGCCCCGAAAGCAGAGTGGAGGGACCCTGAAGTCCGCCATTCGTCTTCAAGTGCGATAACTACAAGTGTAAAGAGTGGGTCGACCGTTCTCTCACCTACAGTAACGATGAGCTCATCTGATTCTTTCGCTATTTCAGTACACATGACTGTAATGCTTACGTCGATTATCACCATGATCATGACTTTACAGCAAGGGTTAGCACTACGTCCAAAATTACCATTGTATTACCAGATCTTGCTTGTGATATAGGTTTCGAGGTTAAACCATGTTTTTTGCTTCATTGAGGTTAATATTTGATATTCAAGCTAAACAATATTTGAAATACATCCATGGTAGAGCACTTGCGATTAAGACAGCTATTGGTGATGCGACAGTACGAAGGTGAGTGGAAGAAAAAGAACAAGAGATAGTAAGAAAATAGGATAGAATCCAAATATAGAAAACAACAGGACGATACATCAGCGAAAGGACGACTTCCCATTCGTCCTTATCGAAGGACTAGATACAGAACCATTCGTCTTCGCACTAGTGTTAATACGTGGCTTCTTATTGGCGATGTCGGCTGATGCTCTAGGAGCTCCTTCTTTCATCACCATTTTCGCATGTATCTCCTCCAGTTTGGATGCCTTGACTTTCTTTGGCCAGAAGAGAGTAACAAATCTATTTGCGACGTTATTGTCAAAGAGGATTTTTTTTACAAAGAGAAAGGCCAGTCACTCACGCCCACAAGTGACGACGCCATCTTTCGGTATCTTCACCGGCAGCCTGCTTGGCGGTGAGAACAACCTCTATACGTCGACCGATGGCAGCGAGAGAATCCTTCAAGATAGCCACTTTATCATCTCTAGGCATATCTTCGCCCGACAATTTGAGTTGTTTCTGAAAACATATGAGCAGAACTGGAATATTATAATCACAAAAACCACTTACAAGTTGCTTCTTTACAGGACGCAGTTCCTCCTTTGTCGCAGCTTCATCCATCGAGGGGCTTGAAAAACAAAAGGTGAGAAAACGAATGATGCGAAGGGTAATCCAAACATACCACTCGTCTGATGACTCCGAATCAGTGAAAGTCGGCGTCGGTCGACGTTTACGTTTCTTCGTGCTGCCGTCATCGACAGACGCAACAGCTTCGCTTTCGGCTCGTCGCTTTAGACTACTTGTCGATGATGACGCTACGGCTGTCGGGGGAGGAGTGGCTGATACTTTTAGCTGTCCCTTGGTCCGCAAGGAACTCTCATACGAACGTAGCTTCTCGTCGTGCTCACGAAGTATGCTCAACAGAAAATCTCCCCGGCGTACCAAGTGGATGGCATTTGGAATTGGTCTGCTTGCAGAATCTTCACCTTTCTTGCCTTCTTCTAGGAAAAATTTGCCTTCTAGACCTAATCTTGAGTCTTTTGCCATTGCCTCCCAATTTCCAAAGCCATAGAGAAAAGCACCAACAAGAAGCATAGAATCTTCCTGAGGCCCCCATCGCCCAGACCAATTCAAAGTAGGTCTGATATTTTCGATGGGAATGGCCCAGTTATAAAGCTCCTCCGTTGTTAGATCGCTCAAGAAATTATACAAGATGCGTAGGTCTCGATGGCGTGACAGAACTGTTTCCGCGTTGATATTGCCCACATTACGATAGGAGACCAAAACAGCCTTGCTCTTTTGCGCATTGGTAAGAGTTTCTCCAGCTGCTATTCGTGCACGTTTTTGAGAATTGTTTTCTTCAACTGCGTTGGAACATATCTCGATGATGTCATCCGAAACATCTATCATCATGCCTTTGTTCTTCTCCGTGAGTTTGGATTCATTGACCTATTGAAACGTTAGCGAGATGTTCATAGTAACGCAACTGAACCCAACATACAATAACGTCATAACGTTGGCGAATATCCCCCCAACGTTGCAGACTGCGAATAAGAACACGGACATCGCGTTCTTTCAACTCCATGGCTTTTTGGCTAGCAGTTTTCCTCGTAGCTCCAGGGGCTTTGGGCTTCTTGGGTGCAGGCGTAGTCGTCGGCTGGTCGACGTCCATACCCTCGTAGGACACTGGCGCGTGTGATCGCTTGCGATCTCTTGAATCTTGCTGAGCCAGCTCTTCCGCCTTCCGGTGATCCTCCTCTTTCTCAAACTTCTGGCGCTCTTCCATGGGAATGATGTCTTCCCAGCTCATATCATTCTTGACGTCGCTCACGGCGGCAAACTGTGCGAGGAAACCTTCACCACCAAGCGATGTACCGCCATCACCATTATCAGCCAATGTTTCGTGGTCTTCCGCGCGATTCAGAATGTCATCCAAGTCCATCTCATCCAACTTTTGGTTTTGTTGAGAGTCGTCCTTGTCAAACCTGAAAGGCTGTTAGCCTTGCCTAACTCTTAAATATAACAAGGACGATACTTACATCTTTTGAGCACCATACTTTAGGACAGCGGTAAGTTCATCTTTGCTGAGGTTGTCGGGCTTGCTGGCCTCCTTAACCTTCTCGATCCCCTTACCACTCAAATGAGCTTGTGAAGTATCCATTTGATTGATGACTGAATAGAATATGTCAATCGAATTACTTCAGATTGCTGCGAAACTATGTACTTACTAGCGTATTCAAGAACCATCTTCTTTTTCGCTCGCTCTAGGACATCCTCTTCCATTGTATCTTTACTGACGAAACGATACACGCTGACATGCGACTTTTGGCCTATACGATGGGCCCTTGCCATAGCCTGCAGGTCATTTTGGGGATTCCAATCGCTCTACATGGATGTGCCAGACATTAGCGAAATGCGACCCAGTCAAATAAAACTTAAAACCACTGACATCGAATATGATGACAGTATCAGCAGTCTCAAGATTGATTCCCAATCCTCCTGCACGAGTTGAGAGTAGAAACGCAAAGTCAGGCGAACCAGGAGCATTGAAGTGAGCAATCGACTTCTTCCGAGCCTCGGATGCAACCATGCCGTCCAAACGCTGGTGCTGGTAACCCCTCAAAGACATGTAGTCGCTGAGGATGTCCAGCATCCGGACCATTTGACTGAATATCAGGACACGGTGACCATCTTGTCGAAGGCGAACCATTAGTTTGTCAAGTAGCACCATTTTCCCGCTGTTCATGACAAGACCCTTGAGGGTCTCCTCGGAGTTGTCTGTGCGGACCTCGGCACCGTCAAACAAATAGGGGTGATTGGCGGCCTTTTTGAGCTCCATGGCTGCATCCAGACCTTTAATAAGAAGCCAGGACATGAAATCGACTCAAAAGCGTACCGATGTTAAGCAAGCTGATGTTATTATTGCCATTTGCACTCTTGATGAGGCCTTGGAAGTTCTATGAAGTACCATTTGAAATCGGAAATCTGTCACGCCTGATGTCATGCACATACCTTCGTCAAGATATTTTTATAGAAATGTGTTTGCAATGCACTCATTTCTACTCGCAGAATACGCTCGCTCTTGGTAGGCAAAGACGTGAGCACATCGCGTTTCAGTCTCCTCAACATCAATGATTCTAATTGCTCGTGCAGCTCCTTTATCTTGGCCTCATGGTCTGCGTCGTTTAGATCAAACTCGTTACTCAGCGCAACTGCCAATCAATTATGAGCTATGCCTAGGTTGTCACGCAATGTCAAATCAACTCACATTTCTCAGGCATCAAAAAGTGCATCAAGGACAGCAACTCTGATGGAAAGATTGGTGACATTCATTTTATAAAGTCAATGTGACAGCAACTTACCTTTCACGTTGTTTTGAAGGGGAGTACCTGTGATGAGGAGCTTTGAAGCAGCTGAAAACGACCTTAATGCTTCATATAACTGGCTCTCCGAGTTTTTCAATCGATGCGCCTTTCACCATATATCCCGTTAGGATGATATTTACAATAACAACTTAAACCGCCTCACCTCGTCCACAGCAAGAGCATGCCACTTGATATCTGCTAGATCCTTGGCGTCCCGAAGAGTAAGCTCATAAGTAGTGAGCAATACATTCATCTTCAGCCTCTTATTGGATGGGCCGAACTCATACGTCCGTATAACTTCACGGGCCGCTGCGGTGCCAATGTACGTGATGACATTGATGTCGGGTGCCCATGCGGCGAATTGTGTTTGCCATGCGGTTATAGTTGACAGCGGGACGATAACAAGGAATGGTCCGTACTGATGCATCTCGTGGAATAAATAGGAAATAAAGGCAACCGTTTGAACAGTCTAGGAATGATTCATCAGTCGCCGAGGCTAAGGCTAGTTAGGATAGAGCAGTACCTTGCCAAGACCCATTTCATCGGCCAAGATGCCATTCTCTCCCTTGCTCCATAGATAAGCAAGCCAATTAAGTCCAGTGAGCTGGAAATCCTTCAACTCTCCACCGGTGGCAGTGATATAGTCAGGATCTTTGGTAATCTTTTGGAAAGTAGGTCGTTGGGTGCGAGCATATTGCATACTCTTATAAGGGAACTTGGCCTCCGCTTCTCGTGATCGGTACGCTTCAATTTGAATTTTTGCGATGGGTCGAATTTCGTCCTGCGTCTCCCAAGTGCAGTGCTCGTAGTTAAGGCCTGTCCACTTACAAAAATATTCAAGCTGGCCTTCAACATCACCACTGTCTCTATGCGAAACAATGCGCTCAACGATTTTGTAGGTTTCAAGCTCTTCTTTTTCTCGTTCCTTGTCCAGTAAAAGTGCTTCAGCATCTTCCCGAGACAGACCAGGAGCGGATAGGCGGGCCTGATAGAGCTTATAAGCTTTGATATAATTATCGACACGCTTCAATCCTTTGAAACGTTTTAAAAACTCATAAGTTTCATCGGTGTTGTGCAAGTGTGAAAAGTTCTTCCACTTGATGTGGAACCGCTGAAGAGTTGTGTTAGCTATATATTACGTAAATACGACAAGAATGTCTTACAATGTTATCCGACCATAAATCTTCGGAATCATCCTCGCGACCTTCGTCTCTGCAGTGACTTAAAACTGCCTCGATCTCATCTTCCTCCTTGAACTGAGCATTTGGATCAACGTAGTAGCCTGTTTCCATCTCCTCCTCCTCAAGTTGCGCCAAGTCCTGAACGTCGTCGATGTAATTTGGAATCTTACCGCCTCTGCTGGATACTCGAATTTCGTCGCCAGAGACACGGGCTTTCTTCTTTTTCTTGGAACGTGAGCCATACTCAGAGTCAGAGTCGGAGGATGAAGGGCGGGAGACTGGAGAGTGATATAAGTACTGAGAAATGATCGACACGAGGACCTCATACCACCTTTTGGCCTGGGAGCTGATGAGGAAGGGAGCGACTTCTTTTTCCTCTGTACTTTCTTTTTTCCGTACTCATCATCAGCATAAGAACCGTCCTCTTCTTCATCATCGTCGTCATCGTCCACATGGTCTTCGTAACCCTAGAAAAAAATGGTTAAGAATCTGAGAGAATGGTAGTAGAAATGGAGAACATTGCGTACAGAATCCTCGGCATCCTGGTAGAAAATGATGAGTGAGCTTAATTTAGAGAAAGAGAAGAGGGGAAAGAGCATTTAGGTGACATACAGAATCCTTGTGGGCATAAGTTGATGGGCCAGCGACGGCCTGCTCGATGGTGGGGGACGGCATGTCCTCGACGTAGTCACCGTCGGCGTCGGGGTCATTGTCCTTGTTGTGGTCGCTGTTTGAGTCGATCTGCATGCTGTCGTCGCTGTCGTAGTTGAGGTTGAGGGTGTCGGTGTTGAGCGCCATGGTGGAGGTGATGAGGAACGTGGGATGGGGATGAGGGAAGAGAGGGGGACGTCAAAAGGGACGGTGTTCGAACCCTGGGCGTCACGTCGCCAAGGATTGGTTCACACGCGTGGCCATCGCTGCAATCGCTACGGGCAACGCCGGACAAGGCCCCATCGTCACGAGCGGTGTCGAACGCCGTTTACCCGTGGTCCTTCCTGTTTTTGTCCAATTCATCTCGGATTCCTTTCCATTATATTACACATCGATGAGAGTCTGGTTCGAAGCTGAGCAGGCACATCAGACGACTGCAAGCCTATCCCAATTACTGCCGCTCTCCTGTCTATCCTTTGCGGTGCTACCTGTACACCTTTGACAGCCCACTCAGCCCCGTGTTTCCCCAACCACCCTATTTGCTGATAAAGGTCCTACTCGGGAACCCTGTCTCAGTCACCCACCCACCCACTATCTTTACATGTCCTCCACCCGCGCTCGTCGCCGTCAGCATTGTTCCCGGGAGTACCCCACACCTGTCACAGATAGCGTCACGTCACGGATACATTGCTCCCACCCCATTTTCATCAAGACTCTCGGCGACGACAGGTGGCCCACACTCGCTGTGCATTCTCAGCGTTTATTACTGCTCAAGTGCTCCACACAGATATCAGACCAGTCGTAACTCCATTTGTCGACAAATCATGCGGTAGATGCCATCTTCTAAGCTGCAGCTGCGTCTGGCAGACTCTCATGGGCCATCTGCTGGGCACGCTCAAAGCAGCCATCGTGCTGATCTCAGTCACACGCACGGCCGCCCATCCATCAATGTTCACAGTCGCCGCTTCAATCTTGCCTCGCCCTTACCGGTCGTCGTCCCTACTCCGCCGCTCGACGCCCGCTGGGTTAGGGTCCGTCCAAACACGTCCACACACGCTACTCGTCGCGCCATATGTCGAGGATACCCATCTTATATATTTTATTATGTTTCTGTCATGGAAAAGGCTTCCCATTTGTCAGTAATACTTGACCTGTCTCCTACACAATGGCATCTGTCTGCACAGTCAAGTAATCAGTATCCGCTGTCAATTCACAGTTTTCTCTCTCAGCTGCTTGCTTTCTTGAACGCCCACATTGCCTCGAAGCATGAAAACACTCTCGCCGTCTTTGGCGCATTTCCAGGAAAGAGGTTGGCTTTGCAATGCAGCTGATCGTAAAACACCTTCTCATTCAGTTTGCATCAGCGTGATGCTCTACTCCTCAACCGACCCAGTCGCAGATGATGTCCCTCCTGCAGACGCTAATTCCTATTCTTCATTCAAAGTCGTCGACTTTACTATTGTGAGAAGCATAATGAATGAATTCGATGCACTCGGTAATCTCGATGAAGAACGTATGTCAGCTCTCACTCCTCGGAATAGCTGATCAGACAGTGCTTCTAGCACCTTGTGCGTTGGTCGGAGCATTGACAAAAGCTCTATGCTGCAAGTCCATCTCAGCACATTTCCAGTATCCAATTCGTTCAACCTTGTCTTTCGTGTTTCAGATATAAACAGGATGACCCAATTCTCTAGCTCCCCAAATGCCGTGGAAGATCCTGCTGTCCTTCCCGACCCTCGCATCTTGATCCTCTCCGTTTCACCGGACTTGTCCACATCTTACATTCCAATAATGAACTCTATATTCTCAGCACAGAAGCTCGTGAGTTATGCCCTGCTCTTTTTACCTCAATTGTATCAGCGACGTTAATATCCACATCGTCTAGAAAGTAACGATAGATGTCTGCAAAGTATATGGCCCGGATGCAGTGTTTCTTCAGCAGGCCGCCCATTTGACTGGTGGATCATATATCTTTCTGGAACGTCGAGATGCGCTGCTACAATATCTCACTGTCAGCTCCCTTTCATAGTTTATTGTGCTGCTGCTCGTTCTTATCTCGATCTCAGATGTCCTTCCTATCTCCACCAGCCCTCCGCCAAGTCCTCGCAGTCCCCAAGCAAGATAAGATAGACTTTCGTGCAGCCTGTTTCTGCCACAAGAATATCGTGGATGTTGGTTTCGTGTGTTCGGTGTGTCTATCAAGTAACCACATCCTTTTTTACGTTGTCAAGCTTTGGTTCACCTATATGTGTACAGTCTTCTGCCAACCCGTGCCAGTGTGTTCTACGTGTCGGTGAGTTGCCCCACTTCGTGAGACAAGTGACTCTTGACATAGCATAATCCTTATCAGAACTAAATTCCCAATGAAAACACTTCAACGTCTCAATGCATCCCGACCTTCCGCGGCACCCTCAAACCCACGCAGTGCTACGCCGTTATCTAGTTTGAATGGCTCAGGCACTCCTCGATCTACACAAAATGGTACACCAAGTCTACGGTGATAATATTGCGTCACTTCGTTAGGTATTATTGTACTCTGCGCTTTGTTAGTGTATTCTTTTATATTGGACTGATAAATCAACACTATTTTCCTATCGGCAGTGCGGTGATATATATCGGTGAATTCGTAACAGATCCTGCATGTGAATTTTTTGGGCGACGCAGAATAGAGGACTGAATAGGCTCGGTTCAGATCCGAACAATATTGTCTCTACATATTGAACGTACCTTAGGCGACGTGTCTCCAGGCTCGGAAGAAGCATATGCAATTGCCATAGTCTCTGTCGTGAAAGCACACCATAACCTGGCTTTTGAAAGATCGAAGAGGGAGAATGAGTACGTGGGTTGTGTCACTATCACTGAGTTTAGCTCACGAATGGCCTGACCGTCATCAATTTCCTTCGTCAACAAAAGCACTCCAGCATTCGGCGTTGGCTCGCCACGTTCATGGATCGGTACTTCACATGGCGAGGTCAACAGGTGTATCATACTCGACACACTGATTCAACCCAACGTACCCCAAAATTGGTCGACAAGAACTTGTTGTAGTACTTCGTGTGTGTCGACATCAGCTGGTTTGCGCAATGCCTCGCCGAGTGATCGTGCCAGCATGGTCCTGACGATGTACTCTCCTGTACCTGCATGTAGTCAGGAGGCATGCACCACAGGTAACGAAATGAGGGGTGACACCTGTAATGCTGCACGCCATACCACCATCTTCTGATTGATGGGCCCAACACCCAGATCCGAATGTGGCAGCCTATATTCAGGCTCAGTCTGACATGGGTTGTGATACGGGCAATCACTTACTTCACCGATTCGACCAGAATATTTCAGCAATATTCCGCCGCTATCAAACCGTTGAGCGATCGAAGGATGCATGATAGTAATGCGGTATACCTCGATACACCAGCAGCCATGTTACCTTCGCCATCCCAAGCCACCGCACCGACGGTATCTTGCAAAGCTACCGATGTGAACTTTTCCTTGGCACTCTCGTCGCCTTCAGAGTCAAGTCTTGTTTTCCACTTCTCCCAGTCTTTCTTCGCTTTTGCTGACACTAGTGACTCTGGAGGGATGATCTCGAGGTTCTCTTTCGCTGCGAATAGACGAGCACCCTCAGATACCAAAGTTCTTTACAGTAAATGACAATCAAACGCATATACATTAGAACGCGAATAGCCCTTGTCAGATAGGGGCGACTGACAGGGGAGGAATACGTCCCAACTGATCGCGTCTTCGGGATGCTTGAAGGACAGCATTGGCAAGCTTGACGGGGTTCTTGACACCTTACAAGAACTGGTGGTTGTAGATTACTTAGATCCTTATGGGAAGGACCGAGATATAGTTTACCAGATACTGCTCCTATGCTGCCAAAGTCCCCAGTTTGGCCATCCATGATCGCAGCATCGCATTCAACAGTTCCATCAATGGTTAGATTGGATCCGTAACCTGTAGTCAATAGAATCCATTGAAATGTCGCTCAAGGTTCACAAAACGAAGTCCAGGCAAACCTGCGTTAAGACACTCTTCATCCTCAAGGACGCTTATTGCCCTTTCTACCGCAGACAAGGCTGAAGTTGTCTTGAGAGCCTCACGACATGACCTTATGTAGTCCAGTATGAGTTCCAAATGAAATCTTGAACTCTACGATATGTGCTCACCGTCGTAAAGCGTGCTTGACTTCTCGCTCTGATGTATGGCTGTGATAGCCAGCACCACCGTGTGCCGCAACATGAAGAACTCCGTGACCTATGTTTGCACCATCCATCGACTATTCCAGGTCTAATTAGATCACCAACTAGAATGGCGACTGGCAGTTCTACTGGATATATATGATGAGCTCAGTGATTTCGCTCCAGCCAGGGATGCGGTACCGTGACCAGAAGCTCTAGACTTTCCTTACTAGTCAAGGTCTACGACTCAGCTGACTAACGAAAGAGATCAACTCCACTGACAATGTGTTTGCCTCACCATAGCCATTCTCAAGGATCCTGGTTCATACTGGTACACAAGACAAATTGTACATCACTCGTAGCTCGTCAATGCAAGAACCCAGTCTGTCTCCAAGCAGTCACCCATTTCGCTACAAGTGCATCGTCGGCTATCGGTGCATTTCTCAGACTCTCGCTGCCAGCCTGCGTCTGCGCTGTCACCAAAGGATATCGAACGGGCAACACCTCCGGGCCATATTTATTCTGGTAAAATTGAAGCAATTTTCGACTCGGGTTGAGGACCTCGTCGGTGCTGCTCTCTTGTAAGGCGTCAAGCCACTTGCGCCGGGGAAGGACTTTGAATGTCAAGCCTGTTCGTCGGAGAGACTCGAGGACGGAAGCCCAGGGGACCAGTTTAGGATGCAGCACGTGCCATACAGGAGGCTCGCCTACAGGAAGAGAAGAGGGAGGCAGGTTAACGAGTTCTACAATAGTTTTCGCCGCGTAATCCACCGGAAGCCATGAAACGTTCTCTTCAAGGTCTGGAAGGACGCCAACAGTGTTCGCACACTATTATATTGTACGATCAGAACAAGAAGTGGAATCGAGAAAAAGACTGGATACGCGCCTTGAAGATAAGAGATATTGCTTCTGTTTCGTTCCATATCCCATTTGAAGAGTCACCGACCATTTGTCCAATACCTAACAGGAGCATCGTTATCAGCGATGCTACATGACATTTACATCACGCTATTACTCACGCAACACCCCGGCGCGTAGAGGTGTCGTCTGTGACGCAATTTGGCATAATTTCTCAGTGACCCACTTCGATTGCGCACTAAATTATACCTCGTACAATCAAAACAATCTCTGATGTTGAGAGAAAGGGGCTACACACTATCCGAGGCCTTGTGCGACAGATGGGTCGTTTGTCACAATTTCAGGTACAGGCTCGGGCCCTGGCCATGACGCCACGGCGCTGTTTGAAGATGCAAAGTAGAAGTCCGCCTTGCGTGGAGAAGCAAGCGCAAGGTTCATCAAGTTGACAGCGCCACGAATGTGAGTTTCAAAGCTGGAAATAGAGAGCATTTACAATTGAGCGCATCAGATATGTCACATCAACGTACCTAGATATTCCAAGATTGAAATTGACCGCCCACGCATTCTAATCAAACCTATCAGTGCGAAATGATGCGGATGGGCGACGAGAGCGCCTACATGTATGACCAACGTCGCCCGGCTGACAATTTCATCGTATACATCGGGCTGTAATCCGAGTCTCTCCGCAGCAGATTCAGAAGCGAGGGCGACAACTCGGCCATCACCTGGTGAATATCGAGAGAGCAATCTACGGGTCTTCATTGAAGCATTCACACGAGCTGCTGCCTCAGTGTCACTCTTTGCGCGGCATAGACAGTACACTGTCTCCACAGACGGATCAGCGATCATTTCATCAAGAAGGTAGGCGCCAAGCGACCCTGTCACTCCTGTCATGACGACCTGCATGGGCTAATTAGGATATAGGGGCCTCCACCACGAGCTTAGGCAAAACTTACAACACGAGATGAATGAACGCCGTTCGAATGTCCGTTGGTTCCATTCGTTTTTAAAGGGATCTCGAAATGCCTGTACTTCTCAACAAGATTGAGCATAATGTCCTTGACATTCTGGCGTCCTAGCTCCGATTCATCGCCGGACGTGAAAGCAACGATGAGTTTAGCAATCCTAGAATATTGTGAATTGACAAGATATTGCACAAGAAGATCAGCTTACTTGGATATTGATGGGTTCTCGAAAACAGCGTTGGAGGACAATTTCTTGCCATTGAGGTCAGCACCCTGGAAAATGAAATGAGCGATGGTGTCGGACGAAGGATGATTAATCCATACTCTCTGAATAGCATTACGAATTCTGGTTGACTGTAGAGAATCTAAACCCCATTCGAATAAATCTGTATCATCCTCCAAATTGTCAATGGGCCTCTCAATAGTCTCCCCAATTAGCTTCTTGACAAAACGTCTGGCTTCTTCTTCCCCTTCTAGTTTGGTCTTCTTGCCTCCATCAAGTTCACCCTCAAGGCGCCGATACACTTCGTCTATTGTCTTCTCAAACTCCTTGTAGATCTTTGGTCTCAGAATGCTTCCTTTATCCGCACGCGGAATTACTGTACCATATGGTAAGAACACTAAAGCCTCAGCCGCAAGCTGAGAGTGCGATGGGGCATCAGAATTAGCGAGTGCAACCGTCGGCGCAATAGCATTTGTAAATTCAACGGCACTGAAATCCTTTGCAGCTTCAGTAGGAAGGATGAGGCCACCAATCTGAGTCCGTGCAGTACCAAATATTATGGCATCGGCAATATATGGTGAACTGCGTAGTGTGAGTTCGATAGGGACCGGATTTGTCTTTTCACCATTGACCTGAAATAAAATTGTATATTGGATAGTTCAATGCAATAAATTAGAATTACACGCACCATCACAAGTGTGTCATCTATTCGGCCTACAAACTTATAGGCATCAGGTAGTGTGGGGTGCTTGATGAGAAGATCCTTGGTAGCATATGAACCGTCTGGTTGGTTGCTCATAACCTGTCATCCCTTCGGTCTAGACTAATTTCATTAAGGAACATTACAAAACTCGCCTTTGTATGCCATCCGTCCAAGACATAGAGCTCGTACTTGCCATCACCTCGATCTTCGAATCTCATAAAATCGTTCACGTTACTCTTTACATATGGGCCTTTGGCTCGCACCCAGTTCCACAGCTTGTCATTCTCGAAGTCTCGGAAGGAGGTCATAAGTTGGCCCATTTCAGCTGAGAACGACGAAGGTTAATACGACATAAACTTCCAATTTTATGGGACATACTTAGTCCATAATGCCCAAGGAGACGTACACCTTGCGCCACGAGAAAATCGCCTAGTTCATCTGGGCATGCACTACCCCCGAACATGACCAGTTTCAACTTCTTGAGAACTGCAAGACCTTCTGAGGTTTCAGCAAGAAGCTTCAGCGCTAAAGGAACACCATAAAGTCCCTCCACGTCGGGAGCTTGACCTAGTAACTTTATGACATTGGCAGACGTGAGTGGAATGCTGCCAGTAGGAAATAGATAGAGTGTCTTGGCAGAGTGAATTGCACGGAATAAGTTGGAATGTCCATGACCCTAGCCAGACAGATACTCAGAAGTCTATATAATTTGACATGATATCTTGGAAGCTTACATGATACAAAGGTAGAGTAGTCAGGCTGCAAAGGCCGAAATTGTTTGCACAATTACCTATAGCGGCCTTGTTCGTTGCTATAATTGGTTTGGGAAAGCCAGTAGATCCACTGGAATGAATGACTGTTACTGGTAAGAAAAATTCATCTTTCCAATTAAGTATTGGTTCCCAGGTAGTCTTTTCGGGATTTTTAGCCTGAGCTGAAGAGTCGTAGGTACTTGATGAAGGCTGGGCGACGAGTTTCACTGACGAAGGATCAGGTAAGAGAGGGAGAGCAGCTGCAGCTGACGGCAAAAACCCGTCATGAAATATGATGTGCGAGGCACTTGTTGCTGATAGTAAATGGGCAATCGCAGGTGGGGAGTTATTCGGTGATATGAATAGTACGCCTGTCCGACAAATACTTAATAACGATCAGTTCGAGCTCAGACAAAGCAACTTACAGTAACCCATTCGGTAAAGGGCTAGCTCAGTGACGACGTAGTCTATGGTACTGGACCCAAGGAGGCCAACCGTCATCTTACTGGTGGCATCTCCTTTAGCACGAGGAGGCACGAGACCCGTGTCCTTAAGGTGATGTGCAAGGAGAGATGCAGAAGCATCGAGTTGAGCGTAAGTGTACTTAGTATACTGAAAGGAAACAGTCAATGGAGAGAAGGTAGTAGAGATACTAGACCATAAGACGTACATTGAAGTTCTTGTCTGGTATACCGAGTATCTCTAGGTTCGGATGATCACGAACGCGCTCTGAAATGAGCTGATTGTAGGACCATATCTGCGACATAGTACACGGGATTATCAAGCAAGCTGTATGCACTTCGGAGGTTCACTGGCGATTGTTCCAAGTTGACCATGTCGAAATCCCATTATTAAGGTCCCCTTGAGCGCTTAGGGAGGTCGGGTGAACTGATGGTGCTCAGATATGCCGGGATTCGTGTCACAGTGCATGAGAATAGAGGCCTGAGTTCGGTGTTTGCGAGATGCATTCGCACCGTGAAGTATAACTGTAGAGGTCATATGCAAGGAGAGAGTGAAAGTGGAAGGCAAGAGCCGACAAGCCGAAGAGGGATAGGGATCAGCGGGCCGTTTTCGAACACCAGTATAGACCAGCGATGGCGTGTCTACGGTCTCAAAACAATCCTCATATCACTATTCTCCGTTAATGTGCTTATTACTCCAGAAAAGCAGTTTCAGAAACAAGACATCGGTTGTCCTGATAATTTTGTTCTAAAATTCAGTGTCTTTGTCTATTTCGAACTTTGAACTTATGTTTTCCTCAAGTTGGACTCTCAACAATGTATATCATGGTATGGCACAGGAGCCCTAAAATCAGTGATCCCAGTTGTGGCATAGCGAGCTTCCCTGTTCTTATGCCGGAATTCACACGGGATACAGAACTGTGTTGTACCGTCTGAAGGGAGTAGCGGGAAGACATCTACAGACGCCTGCTGCAATGGGAGTGCAATCATTTACAAGTGAGTGAATCATGTCACAGAACTGAGTCGGGCATGTAAGTTATGTCTTTCATGCATAAAAGGCCTTATCTATCATTGGTTAAAGGTCAATGTCAGCCTCCAGAGTGTCAGCCTCATGTTCTTTATAACCTTTTATGGAGCTCTGTCTCTTACATCTCCTCCCATCGCCCTCAACAACTTTACACATCGACAATGCGCTTCTTCAAATCCTTTCGTTTAATTCATCGTCGCACCAAGTCTGAGGGTGACGTCCCTGCACTGTTGCCGCTGTCTTCCTCACCGGCACCTCTAAAGCCCTCACGCTCGACGCAACACGTCTCTGATGTCAGTGCAGGCCATACACACGGAGGTATCAATAATAGCTCTCCTTTTCACATCCCTGGTAGTCCTATATCATCATTTCATCCAGAACAACTATACTCTCCTTTTCAAGTTCCCTGGCCCGACCCATACCACCTACACGAAGTCATAGACACATTCAAGCTGCGCACTTTCGAACTAGAAGCCGAGCTTCGCATGGTAAAAAAGGCCAATATTACAATGAAATTCGACCTGGATGTTCTCGAGGATGAACTGTCTTCTACCCGCGACTGCCACTACAGAGAGATGGTCAGGATTGCACGACTCCAAAGGCAAAATCTGTTCGATATCCAGCAAATTACCAAACTTGAGTCGCGATTTAATCAGCTTACAGGACTTCTACATGCGATTGGCTTGTCACCAAGCGATATAGTCACAGTCTGTGAAGCTCTTGAATTCTCAAATGAGAATGCCGAAGATTTTTTGGTGAACGCCATCAAAGCTGCTGTCAATCAGCCTGGAACTCCTCTGGCGACGATCAAGCCTATCATCGTGGGGCCTCGTACACCCGAACACTACCGTTCAGCTTTGACAATGACGTTGAGCACTAGGAGGGAGCTCAAGAGCTCAAGAAAAACTACCAAATTCTGGAAGAAACTAGCGCGAGAGGATGGCAGATATGCTGATCTAGTCACCCCGTCGTCTTCCGACATCTCGTCAGTTCACGAGCTCCTGAGTCCTCAGCGCGAAGACGCCCTGAAGGCACTTATCGCTAGGCGTCAACAAGCTCGCGAGCTCAACCTATCGAATGGCGAACTTGGGTCCTCTTCTAGCGCTGCTTCGGACACTCGCCTAAGTGCAATCACCATACAACTTTCGACTAATGCAAGGAGAAGTATGCCTACCCACGTCTCTACATCGTCATCGAACTCGGTATCAAGTTCTACTTCTACTGCACATCTCCCCTATCTTGCCTCCCTCCCTCAAATCGCAAGCCAGTCCATCAAGGAAGAACTTGCTTCTCGCACTTCTACCTATGTCTCCCGTCCCCTTTCATTCTCTCGTCCTACCAAGCCACCTGTGCTAGGGGAAGTTGACACGAATGTAACCAAATTCGTATCCAACAACGCATGGGAGGTACTTGACGAGCGGGTTTTGACTGAAAACCAGGAGGCTGCTGGAGCTATGGTTTCAACATCAAGCCAGGATCTTAATCAGGTGCTTCTTTTTCTTTATCATTATCCGTTCTCTTTGTTTAAAGTGGTTTTACGTACTCTCGCCTTATTTTAGAACAAGCACAACACATCTCTCAATCTTGGTCATCGACGCAATACGTCAGTCTCATCGCAACGTTCCAGTAGATCCAATAGGAGCTCCTATCGCCTCTCAACGGCGTCACCGGTTCGCTTCTTGGTATCCGCGGTAACCGATGCACTTACAGAAAGCGTCAATGTCCAACCGGAGCGTACTATGGACTCAGGACATTCCCGTCGTTCTAGCGATATCAGTGATAGCAGTCTGCCTTTCGACAATTCCGTGTTCCACAGCTTGCTTTTCGGGGCCAACTCTAATTCCTCTAGCAACTCTCCTCTGATCGCTGGAAACAATGGAGGTTTTGTTCCTACTAGTGTAGCCCCTGAATCTCGCTTCATCGAACACGTGGGTGTGGACAGCACACGTCTCGGACCGGATCCCTCAATGTCGACCTCAACTATCAACTCACCGGGTCTGTCCCCTTGCTTGAGCGGGATCAACGAAGAATCCAAAGAGTCACTTTTCAATGCACATGATACGCCGACTACAGGACCTACTACGCCGTCGAAGACACCTCCAGGGTCTACTCCCACCAAATCGAGTCGTCTACCGGTTTTGAAGCACTTCCGTCGCTTGTCAATGTCTACTCCGACTCCAGAAGCCCTTTTGAACAAGTTCCGTTCTCGTACGTTTGGGACCCCCTCAAGTGAGAAAGCGCGACCAAGAGCTGCTTCGGACTCGCCGAGAAGCCCAACTGCGGGCTCAACCAAGCCATCTTCCATCCCTATCATGAATCGGAGGTTGACTCTAGTAGGAAGGAAACTTTCAATATCTTCAAAGCGTGGAACGAACAAGACAACACCCTAGGCTTGCAACGAACTTAGCTCGTCTACAGTTAATGACGTCTGCATCTTGTATATATAAATTCTGTCATATAATCATAAGACTGCTCTATTCCCTGAGTCTGATGTGAGATTGTACAATGTGTAAATACTTCCTTGTCTTTCTTCGCCACCGTCTGATTCTATACAATAGCACTTAAATCAAATATTTGACTACCTTCCTTCTTCACTGCAACACCTTTTTCTGTTACGATAGCTGTAATCAGCTCCGCTGGTGTCACATCAAAGCTGGGGTTGTATATCTCGTATAGATCAGTTGGAGTAATCATGACTTGTGCCTGCTCCTTTTGTCCCTGTGCGTTAAGAGTGGGTGGATGGAGAGCACCGCGGACGATACAGGCCTCTAGTGGTGGTCGATGCTCGATCGGTATGCTGCACAAAAGATTTTAACATTCAACTTGAATTACAGTAAGAGGAGCAGTGGACTCACCCTGAGCCATCTGCAACATCAAGGTCTACTGTGCTGATAGGGGCAACAACGATAAAGGGAATTTTGTGACGAGCAGCAAGCACCGCTGCATTGTAGGTTCCAATCTGAACGATGGGAGTTTAGCCTATGAAAGGTCCAACGAGGTATATTTGACAGACTTTATTGGCAGTATCACCATTTTTTGCTACCCTATCAGCACCAACAGCTGATTTTTTTCCGTCAGAAAACACTACCAGGAAAGTACAGAGGTAACTTACCGACAGCATGGATTTTATGATGTTGGAACAGAGACCCAACCATAGTATCACATATCATCACAGAAGGTATTTGAAGAGTCTTCAACTCCAGTGCAGTGAGTCTGCAAATGTCCATACTGGTGAGAACTGGTGAAATGTTGAACAGACGAATACTTCATACCGAGACCCTTGATGGTATGGTGCAGTTTGAGTATAGTAAGCTTTTCCAAGGTTTCCTACCTCATGTAGGTATGTGATCAGACCCAATGCAGTTCCGTATCCCTGAGAATACTGTATTTCAGCGGAGCAAAATAAGAGTATATGACTATATTTACCGACGTGGCTAGCGAACCAGTGTTACAGACGGTCAAGACATTCAAGCTCGTTCCGTCACCTCCAGCCTGTTTTACCTGGTCGATCAGCCACTCTCCACCCCACTTCGACATTTCCTTGTTTCTCCCGACATCCTCATCCGCAACCAGATGGCTTTCCGCGATAAGAACAAGAACGATCGATCTAGGGTCCTTGCCTGCGTCGATTGATGACTGCAGGGTTTTAGTCAACCGGCGTGTTGCTGCTCCTAGGTTTACAGCTGTCGGGCGTGCGGTAATTAGGAAGTCCAGGATGGGTAAAACATGATCTCTTAAAGCCTCGGGTGATGCGAGGTATTCTGGTGCAGGCGATGCCTCGAGGCCCCGAGAGAGATAAGCTCCAAAGGAAAGTGCTGCCAGAGACGCAATAGCTGGTGCACCGCGTATCTAATAATATGTATCAGGACCATGGGCGCAGTGGATTCGATATCGCATGCTGAACCTTCATAGACTTGATTGCATCGTGAGCTTGTTCGATGGTCTGGATTTCGATGAATTCTGTTGTGTGAGGTAGAAGCAGCTGGTTGACGATTTCTATTTTGTCTCCAGACAGCCTGATGGATGTCATCGGTGCCATGTTTTCTGAGCTATGTTGTTTGTTTTCCTGCAAAGACAAATGCAAGTGCCTGATATGATGGTCGTAGAGAGCAACTTACAACGCTATCTTCGTTGAGATCTACGCGAGATCTGTAAATTTTGCATGTGGCCACGTGGGGGTGGCGATGACGACCCCAGGCACTCCCCAGGCAGAGACAACCAGAATAGGCAGGTGCATATGTGGGCAAGAATCACATGCAAACAGGCCCCATAATAACGACCAGTGTCTGAGCCCCTCCTTGTTCGCATCTACTATCATGATTGACCATCTATTCGGTCGTCCTAGTCCGTCTTGGAAACGTACTCAGGTATGTGTTTCTCTTGTCTGCATGCACTGCTATGTGCTGACCCTCCATGTCTTTCCAGGTCTTTCTTGTCATATTTTTCTGGATATGGAGGATAGTATATGGAAATCCCGGAGCTCCACGATTTCTTTGGCTCCGAAAAGCTAACAGGACTTTACGTATGACCTCGTACATCTTGTTTTTGACAGTATGGGTCTAATCCGGGCCCCACAGAACGATTTACACCGTGGCAGATCATAGCAAGCACACTGACCGCAGTTTATGCCATCAGAAACCTCGACAAGGTCCTCGGACTAGGCTGTGCGTAGATTCTTATCTTGCTTGCATGATGATGACCTACACCACACTTCTCTAGCGCCGGAGCCTCTAGCGCATCTCGTAAGTTCACAGGTTTTATTCGGATGCCGATCACTGAGAATTGCCCCCTTTACTAGTATTCTCCATCATACTATCGTGCGACGTGGATAGTCACAGGGCTCGATGCAGGTTTTGCAACAGCCATGTCTATTCGCCCTCGATGGTTAAAGGATATTTGCTCTATATTATTTTCCGTATATTATATCATTTGTGCTAATGAAGCCGATGAAAAGGTCAGTACCCTCTTGAGCATTGAGCATGTACGTATCAGCAAACTTACTCCTATGATAGCTTCGAAGATTCAGAGCTGTTCCAACCGTAGAGATGCTCCGCACAACATGGGAAAAGACTACTAATCCATATGTATATATACACACCTTCCTGGCATGCGTTTCATTTCGCTAACCTTCTTTCAGATCAAAGCCGTATCTCATTATCCTCGCGTATCTTTACGTCGAAAGATCCTACTCCCAAGACCAAAATCGTCGTCACAGGACCGTCCTCTTACCGTGTATATTTACTATGCTCCTCCTCAAGAACAGTTAACCCGCTGTACAGATCTAATTTTAGACTTTCCTGGCGGAGGATTTGTGGCAATGACTCCAGAGCATCATGAAGAACGTCTGCGACTGTGGGCGGTAAGGACTGGTAGACCAGTTTTAGCGGTCGATTATGGCAAAGCACCAGAATGTAAGGAGAGCGAGGTTTGTATTTCCGTTTCTCACACTGATAGTCCTTGAATCCTAGATCCGTATCCGTTCGCGATCGATGAATGTTTCGATGTATACCGTATCTTAGTGGAATCATGTGGGGCTGCCATCGGGATGTCTGGAAAGAAGCTCAACGTCATATTTTCTGGAGACTCTGCGTGAGTCTTTTCATCTATTCCATAACGATAGCGCACATTACTCATAGCGTTGCTTTGAAAGTGGAGCTACGATCGCAGTCAGCGTTATGATTAGGATCCTAAGCTACAACGCGAATCTCCCACCTTCTGCTCAACGCCTGCCAAACCCCCTTGCCCTTGTCCTGAACTATGCCGCCCTTGACTTCAACTTTACCTCTTGGATGTCGCCAGCTAACCTCCGCGTTCTAAGGTCAGAGCAATCGTCGGGTAACCTTCCTGGGCTGCGTGGACTGGCACAGCAAAAGGATCACATGCAACACGTAAGCCCCCTAAGCATGGTCGGAGATCATCGCCGCAGTAAGGGAAGCGGTAGTAAGCGTCACCTTAAGAGACGCTCGAGTTGGCGAGATACGTTGCTGGATTTCACGAATAATACAGCAGACGTGGAGCCGACAGGACACCCACCACTTCGCCAGCATTATTCCTCAGCTTCCGTAAAAAGAAAATCATCTTTAAGGTCGTTTACTGGGCGGCGCAATCGAGCACAAACGCAGCCATCCAAAGGTGAAGACAAAGGTTTCTGGGCCGATTCAGAAAGCGAGGATGACGAAGATTTCAAGCATCTCAAAGAAGAAGACCGTCCTCTCCAAGCTCGAGTCCGATACGTGCACGCAGATGTGACGGGGAAACAGGATGATCCTTTACATGCCACTCCTTCTTCATTGGAAAAGCAACAAGAAGAGCTATCTGCTGCCGTGGCTGAGGCTGACTCCAAAACATTATGGGCAACGGGTGCAAAGGAGAAGGGAAAAGGGAAAGAACGTGAACCTATCGGAACGAGACTCACCATGGCAAGCCGGACAGGATATTTCCAGGATCGAATAATCTCTCCCAGCATGGTAAGCAATTCCAACCCGTTTTCACCAACAATTGATTTATGTTTCCTTTAATAGATGCGAGCGATGGCTATCTTATATATTGGTCCACATCGCAACCCTGATTTTACCACCGACTATTTTATTTCTCCAATCCTCGCACCCGCACACCTTCTTGCACAGTTTCCCCCACTGCTCATGCAATGTGGCGAAAAAGATCCTTTTGTAGACGATACAGTCATATTCGCCGGAAAAGTTCGTGAGGCAAAACGTGCACGAAAAGTTGAGCTTGATCTTGCACTCGCTGGGAAAAGTGCGCGGTTCGGAGAATCGCTCAGAATGAGTTCAGCTAATGCAGAACATGCGCATCCTGGAACAAAGAACTCCGAAGTGGCCGACCTTGTGGCGATGAAGGTAGAGCGGGACAAGCTCGCGAGAGAAACTGAAGATGACTGGGTGCAGATGGTACTATTTTCAGACTGGAGCCACGGTTATTTGCAGATGCCAGCCCTGATGAGCGAGGCTAAAGCGGTGATTGACGACTTGGCAGATTGGATGGAGGAGGCCTTTGTGTTGCATGCAGAAAATGCAATGAACGACAGACTTGATGCTGTCAATGTCCCCATGGATACAATAGGAGGTAAAAAGAGGGTCGAAGGGCGCAGGCACTCACCCCCGTCACAATCACAATCGCCTAGACGTGGAGTCAATGGTGAAATAGGGCAACCTTCCCCGCAGAGACCTACCAGCGACCCAAGTCCTTTTACATCGGAGACCGAGACTGATGACTCGGTGATCACGTTTGTCCCAAAAAAACGGCCAAGTGTAACAATGAGGGAGCATGAGGGGAATGGCATTGGCGTTCCAGCGACACCTCCCACACCCAACACGTCTCGGCCGCCATCTGATGATACACTCCGCGAGAGGTCGGACGGTAGCCATAGTGGAGGCAGTGTCGCCACGCTGGTTCACGACATGGATGGCGTGCCCGATAAAGTCCCCGAGGGTGGCAAGCGCTTTGAATCACCTACTCGTGCAGAAGCGGACGAATCTGCTGATAACGTGGCTCGTCGGGGAACTAGTACTCCAAGAGGTGGTAGCTCTGCAAAAGTTGGCCAAAGGATCACCGAAAGCGAGCTGATGAGACGCCGAAGACTACTGGATTCGCATATCTTTGACTGAATATCACTCGAATCTCTGGAAGAGTCGAGAACTCGAACGATTCTGTACCTATATTTCAGCCTAACATAGTACAATAGTGTACAGTAATGAGCAATGGAAAAGCCTACAAATTTAAAGGCTTTTATTTTCCTGAACTGGCCTTTGAAATAAAAATATGATGCGGCTTTGCCCCTGACTGCCAAGCTTAGCTCATGGCCCGCAGTGCATTGCTGTGCAGACTAAATTTTTGAGTTACATTCTACGGGTAGATCTCCAGTTCGCAGGTCTGTTTCTGGAAACATATCTACCTCGAGGCTTTTGCGTCCAAACTTGATACAACATGTCTACTCACAGATAAAGAGGATAAATTAGAAGAGGGCATTAATGTGGGCTTCCGCTATTCTCGTGGCGAACTGTTACCGATCGGCGCATAATTCACGTATGACAAAATATAACCAACATAGGACACTGAGCTGAGAAACCATATTATAAGGCCGGTTCGGACGAGAAGTGAGTGGGATTGGTTACAGGTAAACATGAAGCCGAGGTTGATGTTCTGTGGTGGTCGTCACCGAGGAAATGCGAGGGATATTATGTTTTCGATTGGCTCGCTCCTCCAAGAACGACGTTTTCCGGATAACCGACTGAATGAGCTGCTCGCCATCGTGTACAGTAAGACTGGTTCATCCGGAGAACATTAATTGCGACAAGCGATCTTGAGATGAGCTTCGGGCAGGTGCCAGCAGCGGCTGACTGAGATGCTATGTCAGCAAAGAGCAGGGTTGCCGGTTGTGCCGCGGTGAATAATAGCTCACAGCTGCACACGGCAAGCAGTCCTATTGGCTGCCCCATGGGCGGATACAAAATATTGGATACCCGCTTGGAGGCGCGCACGCCACGAAGCGGGTGGAGTCTGGCGGTGAACGCGGTCTGGCTGTGTAAGAAGCATTTAGTCAGGCGGTTGTGCAGTGTTCGATAGTGCGAGAAATGAAAGCAGCTTCGAGTGAGACACCCTTGTCTATGGTATTGGTATTGGATGGCTGTTCTGCGAAGAAGTGCTGGAAAAGCGAGTAAAGGACGTAAGGGAGGCGGAGCGATGCCGGACTAGGAGCAGATACCGCTAATCCAAAGGAATGGGATCGATGGCCTGTGTGCATCGTGTTCGGCATTGGGCGAGAAGCTGCTGTTGTGTACGGCCACGTTGGTGGCGACGGTGCATCTACAGGCGTGGACATCAGCGCGTCTGACAGCTGGAGACATTTGGCGCCAGAAGATAGCTGAAGGATATAGAGCAAGAAGGAGTACTATTAGGAGCACAGCATCTGACAAGATCTCGACATTACGAATATAGCAGCTGGAGCCACCCAATGCGGTGCTGCTTAAATTGAAGCTAGGCACTGCCACCACCCAGCCCGGCTTCCACTGGTCTCTCTGCAGCACTCGGGAAATGTCTTGCAGCGTCCTTGTCTCACAGATCCACGCCCCAGCCCTCCTCTATCTCCAGTCCGGTTATCTCTTTATTTCCGTCCTCGTTAAAGCTCCCGTTTTTAACACCTTTCGAGGAACTTAGCTCGAGGCTGTGCATCTTTTTCCGTGCTTCAAAAGGCGCCAGATCCCCATCCTGAAAAGGCTGCATCGTTCTGTAAAGAACAGTTATCACCAGCACGGATTCGAAGCCCTCGTCGCTTAAATAATAAAAACCACACCCCCTGCCGCCATCACCATGAACATTGATTCATCACGCGTCTGGTCTTCCTCTATTATCGTCCCTTCTCATCCTGCCACCGAACACGAGTCGCACAAGTATAACCCTCACAATCCTAACCCTCCCTTCGCCCCTCCAAGCATGTCACAACCTCAGCCCTCTTACATCTCTGATCCCAATTCCGCCCACCCAGCTCCCCACTCTTCTCACTACCCGCCCGGTCACGCGTATAGGAGAAGTCACAGCAACTCGCCGTTCCGTCAGACATCCCATCCTTCGCCTTATCCCATCCCATCCACTCCCACCACTCTCCCCCCTCTATCACAGACCCATTCTATCCTATCTCATCATGATGGCCCACGAAGCCCCAAACAGGAAACTTACTATCATCCAAGCTCTGCAGAGCTCTTCAATCACGCACAAGCTTTATCATCCTCGCCATCTCCTGGAACAGATGGTTCAGCAGGCCCCGGCCAGTACAACTCTTCGAGCTCTGTCACGCGCCTTCCACCAATCTTGCAGGTCGAAAAGAAGCAGGTGACGACTTCAGCTACCTTGGCTGCCAGTGCTAGTAGGCGAAGGAATGAAGCTAATTTCGAATGCCCTGTACCTGAGTGCGGAAGTACGTTCACGCGACGGTTTAACTTACGGGGTTTGTTTCAATACAGTGCCATTCATAGATTCAAATAACTAATAGCAACCTTGAAACTCAGGTCATCTACGCTCGCACACGGAGGAACGACCCTATGTATGTGAATGGCCGGGCTGCGGTAAAGGTTTTGCGCGCCAACATGACTGCAAGTGAGTTTCTGATGCGCTAGCTTTTTCTTACCCACGCTGAGTGCTTCTAATAGGCGACATCAAGCATTACATACCACCAGACCTCAGTCAAATATATGTCCAGGATGTAAGAAAACATTCAGCAGATTAGATGCACTTAACGTAAGCATTCGTTATCTATCCCAAAATGCACATCTGATGTCCATCTGATGTCCTGTAGCGACACTGTCAGTAAAACCCATCTCATTTCGTTTCAATCAATCAGTGATACGACATTGACACTTTTCTTACAGTACGATCCGAAGGAGGCGCAGAATGTAGACAAATAGCAGAGGCACATGCCAATCGTGTCAAGAGCGAGGGCTCGGACACCCAGGTTGCCCAAAGCAAAGCTGGTACATCATCCGGATCTACCAACTAGTCCACCACCACAAAGTTCTTGACTAGGCTCCCTATCCGTAGGATTGCATATATGGACGTAACGCTACTGTAATAGACTATCATGATCACGGTATTACCCGACGGATGTACTTTCTGTGTAAAAAAACAGACCTCTACACGAACTCATGAGTGTACACTTTGACACTGCCCATATAGATTACAATATGTACTTTCGTAGTACAGTATGACATGATCGAGACGCTATTTCTGGTAGACATCCAAAAACTCTGTCTCTTCAGCTGTGCTTGCTGCGTAATTCCACAGATCGAAGCCGTCGGGTTAGGGGTTAGATGCTTACGTGGGGTGGAATAAAGTCAAAATCACGTGAAACTCGTGTCCGGATATAGATTTGGAAGAGTTCCCTGGAGTGCTTACACGTTCACTGAACAATAACCTTGGTCATTTTTTACAAGTACTCATTTCATCTCGATAGCCATGGCTTTGCCAATGCTTGTTGGAGGTGCTGACTGTGGACCTTCTAATCCACTCCAAAATCTATCCAAAAGGTTTGATCAAGACCGAGGTATCCAGCAGGTAAGTAAATGCAGTAATGCGTCGCACGAAAACCCCCTTTAATAACTTTTGTCAAACTCTAGGATCATTTTGGTGCCAGACAGGCTGGATCTTCTAGTCAAGTTAGTTCTCAATCTCTCACAGAGTGAACCCGTCTGACGATCTTGTGCCAGACATTCCGGACACATAACGCTCCCACCCAAGATGTGTCGCAAGACGTTGCACGATTCTTTGGAAATGGTCAAGCTTCTGCCTCTCAGTTTTCCGCAGCCCGTCCTTTCGACTTATCTCTCCTTCACGAAACACTCCCCTCCACTCACAGTCAACCTGCCGTACAATCCCCGCAGCTAACCCAGAACCCATTCTCTGGATGGGCAACCGACTTCCTAAATCATCAATCACAAGCACCCACATCAGCCCAGATATCTGCATCTCAGTCAGATATTCAAAAGGAGCTCAATAGAAATGCATCCCCTTTACACACCGGGGTTCAAAGTTAGTCCGTACGTTTTAACCAAGTGGCATGATATTGACGGATCGTTATGCTGATTGTTAGATGGAATGCCTTGGAGTCCTGGATATGCGGGATACAGGAGCCCGATGATGAACTTCATGCCTGCGATGCCGATGCCGGTCCAGCAACCGGCTGCTCAATCTGATCGTTCGTATCTCTGCCCCCACTGATCTTAGTTATTATAATCAGAATAACGTCTTCTTCACAGAAATCTCGTGGGACAAAGAATTTCAATCTCAAGAATCTTTGTTCAATCAAGTAGATTCTGTCGGTGCGATTGCACCGCATACTGAAGTGTTCCAAGACCAAACGCCACAAAAGTCTCTGCCGACAGACGATCTTGCACGCACAGCGGCTATGTTGATTGAATCCGTGAAAGAGGAACAAAATCCCAAGTTTCAACAGAGCCAGTTCATGGGTTTCATGAGACAGCTCCGGGATGGAGAGGTTGTTGTAGAGGGTAATGCTGTTGTAGAGAGGGATGCTGCGCAGGCAAGCTCGGTAGGAGTTGATGTCAAGGGTAAAGGCAGAGCTATGGACCCAATTTTGAATCCAACGCAGACAACCGGGCTTCTCGGGCCTCGTCCAAACGAAAACATTGCTGCAGAAGCTACAGGAGTTAGGCAGGAAGATCCTAACGAGTCTTATTTCCGTCAAGAAAATGAAGAGTTTGCTCGCTATTGGCAAGCACACCATACCGGACCCTTACCAGTGTCAGGATCAATGAGCGAAACGCAGTCCTGGCATGAAATGCAGCAAAACTGGGATTCGTTCGAGGCAACTGCGACAGGAATCAAACCCGTTGCCAACTATCAGTTTCAACCTCACAACCCCTATGTTCTCGGAGATTCGTCACGAACACACAATCACGCTGTTCACCTCGGGCAGTCGCAGACGTTTTATGAGGTAAGGAGCGCGTTGTTTGAGCCATGCTGTAACTAATAACACAAAACTCCATCTTTCGACCGCTTGTTATCTTTTTCCAGAGCGTGTTGGAGTTGGAAGCAGCTGTACAACGTGACCCTACAAATGCGAATGCATGGTTCGAGTTGGGCGTGAAACAACAGGAGAATGAGCGGGAGGCGATGGCTATACAAGCTCTCCAACGTTCTTTAGAACTCGAACCCACCCATCTGCCTTCGTGGCTAGCTCTTGCGGTATCTTATACCAATGATAGTAATCGAATGGGAACACATAATGCCATCAAAGAATGGGCGCTGCGGAATGACAAATACAGGGATATCGTTCAGCAATACATGGCACAATCTCCTAAAGATGGAATCATTTCCCCTACCGAGCTCTTCAGTCATCTGATACAATGTCTTATCGCGATGGCCCGCAGTGCTGATCAAAATGGTGTAGATGCTGATGTGCAGATAGCGCTAGCGGTGTTATTGAATACTACCGAAGTATACTTGTCCTGCACTGTCCACGTTCCCTCATCTAATTCCCTTTCTTGGTATCAGGATTATGCAAAGGCACAAGACTGTTTCCTCACTGCTCTGGCTGTGCGTCCCGAGGTACATCAATCTTTGCCTGCTTTCTTCTAGCGGATCTGTCAATGCTGAAATATTCACGTTGGCTCCCAGGACTGGCTTCTATACAACAGAGTTGGTGCGACAATGGCAAATAACGGCCAAGCTGAAGAAGCGCTTCAGTATTATTATTCGGCGCTTGAGTTGAACCCAGCATATATTCGTGCTAGGTGAGTATCCGCGCCGCACGGGACAGGTGACAGGAAGAATTAAAACTAATGGAGAAAATTTACCAGATTTAACCTCGGAATTTCCTGCATAAACCTTCGCGTACGTCCTTTATTTAATTGCACCTCCTGTGGAACCATCACTCACATGGTCATTGTAGAGATACGACGAGGCTGCACAGCATATACTGGATGCTCTCGTGCTGCAAGATAGTGATGGTGTCATGGAAGATACGGGAATGAATGATGCACGAGGGGTGACTTCTTCAGCCTTGTGGGATAGTTTGAAGACTACTTGCTTACACATGCAGAGGGTTGACTTGGCTACAATATGTGACCGCCGGGATCTTGATGGTACGAAGTTTCTCCATCAGTCGGATCTCAAGCTGACCAGAAGAGCACAGGTTTCCGTAACGCCTTTCACCATTAATGTCGGAATACAGTCATACAAGCTTAAAGAATCTGATATCCCCTCTTTTTCTTGTTCTCTTCCATACTTCTGATCCCAATGCTGACATGGTTGATTACTTAAATTGAAAAATTTCTTGGACACGTTCATCCTACGGAGCTCATGAGATGTATTCTTTGATTGCAATGGATGCTAGTAGTAGTAGCTTACTTGATGTAGTTTGACTTCGTTGCATACCTAGCCGCCTTTCCTTCTCTTGGCGGGTAAGTAGGGCATTATTGAGATTTTGTAAGACCGAGACGTCTTCTTCTTGTATGTCGGTTCTTTCCGCCACCTTTTTCATTTTCAACAACGCTTTCTGCCTCATCTCGTACTCTGCATTTTGTTTTGCCACCAAATTTCTAACATCTTGTACATCTGTGTCGCTCATTGGAATCATGGTTGGGTTACGTCGAATCATGTCACGAATGAGGTAGAAGTGTTTAGGTGCAGTACGCTGTAACAGAGAAGGTGGTGGTCAATGGTTAAGTGTTTGGGCGATGTTCTGGTTGTGTTGTGACTCAATATTCGATGTTGGGTCACAGCATAATGAGGGTGAACCTCCACCAGTTCAGCAAGATTGACTCTCAACCTTACTGAACTCGTAAAGTTTCATCGATGCTCATTATACAACCCGACATGCTCATAATGCCAGGTCATGCACAGACTTTCAGGTACTAGTTTTGTCGATCCTAGCTGTACCAATCACAAGACGGTCGTTTTTCCATCCGAGAGGGCTGAGATGCAAGTGAAAATTGAGAGTCGAAGATAGTCGCAGGCCGGGTAGTAGACAATAGCAGGCACGGACAATGGCGTCCAGGTTATTTTTGCTGATAAAAGCAGATTTTTATACCACAGAGTATGATACATTGTTCTAATCCTTCGTACGAGTATCAGCTATTGTAATGATATGAAGGTCGTGTGTTCGGATGAGGGTTTATAGTTTGGTTCAACAACAATCAATTTTGAGACGTGTTTGGCTGCGGCACAGTGCACAGTGCACCGCTTCTACTCCTCCCTCGTAAAACTAGCCCTTCGCCAGCTGTATTTTTCAACTACTGCGCCGTCTTTCTCCATCACCCATATTATACCCTCTTCTTTACTTTATTGTTCCACCACACAGCCATGGACGCTTTACTTCGAGTCACTGATGCCATGAAGTCCTTCAGAGTGAGTGGCAAAACTTCCACGTTGCAAAAGTATAATACTGAAGGTTGATATTTATCTCAAAGGAAACTCGCCTGAGTGCTCTACGACCTCCTACGGAGTTCTTTGATTACCATCGTATATCGAGACCAGCAGATTTTAACCAAGCAACTTCGGTAGGTCTAGCAACTTCAGCCTCTTTACCGACAGACGCCTGATGTTTCTGCGTAAAGCGCATATCCTACAACACGCGGTATTTCTCTGGAAATTATGGTCTGATTGTAGCTGTTCTTGCGGTGTATGCAGTGTACGTATATTGGCCTAATCCAATGGAATACAACTCATTGCGCAAATACAGTATCGCCAATCCTCTTCTTTTGCTATCACTTGCCTTCCTCTTCGGAGGTTTCGCCGCCATTAACAGATTTGGTAGGGTTATTTTTTCAATCGGACTATGAAATAAATCACTCATGTATAACCATTCATTATCTATGAACAGCACCAGACCCGATGCAAGTTGGCGATCATGTTGTAACCCAGAAGTCTCTCTATACAGGCCTTTTTGTCATTGGCATACCCCTTCTGTGGCTGTCCTCGCCTCTGGGCACGTTCTTCTGGCTCGTCGGGGCCTCGTCTGTCCTTATCCTCGGACATGCGTGCGTAATCGAGCCAGGGATCGAGAGCGAATACGCCAATATTCAAGAGTCCGTGTGAAAACCCGAGGAGAGCTTTGGTTCTTTCGTTGGAATTTGAGGTGTACGTACGCGGGAAGCGGGAGACGAGTGTCATCAAGCAGGACAATGATTTCACTAGTCGACTATTTTGATTGTTAATAACCTTTGAACTTCAATCCATAATAGAACCTGTTGTATGACAATCCACAGGCATGAAAAATACTATAGAATGTCCGATTCAGATAGCAGTGTATGAATGCGAATGCAGTATAAGCGTTTCAGAATACACAAAAAACCAGACGAGCTAGCAAAATAAGTGCAATAAATCATAACAAAGGAAGCCACTGGCCTACGCTGAACCGTTAGCGATAGTCGACAGCTTGAGAAGGGAAACAAAGACCTACCTATAACAATACTAGGAAGATCGAAAATATCTCTGCGAATAGAGAAGCAGAACGTCGCAGGAATAGGAGCACCTGATGGTTTCAGTAAAACGCAATGAGAATATACAGATTTTGTCGTATTTTCAAAAGCATGGGACGCAAAGCTCTCCCAATACTCAACGACAGATTGGTTTTCGAAAAGCTGTGCAAAAAGCGGAGAATGCTAATATCAAAATAGGTAGCAGCACTGCACACTTCATGACGGACCTCGTATATATATTTTCGTCGACCTACTAGATCCTCCAACGGCCATTCCGTAAGCATGCAAAACTCAGGCGCAACAAGGCAGATCTCTCCGGTCCGCCTCCAGACCACAGTTGGAGTGCCACTGTAAGATATCAACTTCTCTAGTTCCTGTGGCGTTGTAAGTACCGCATGACCATTTCGAATATGAATTATAGGTACGGACCATCAGTGACCTCTGGAAGCATTTCTCGACAAACACCTCATCTTCGTCCGTCATTGGCATTTGCAAGGCAATGAGTGAAGGTCGGAATATTGCCAGTGCACGTACAATACGCAAGATGTCGTTTTTCTCAAAACTTCACATCCCATATTGACAACAGAAAGAATCAAAGGAGTTTCGACATCAGATCCCGACCATGTAGGCCACTTAGTTGCAGAATCCGAGTACAGTTATATACGTACCGAGTAGGCAGGTGTTTCATGAGAAAATGATAGCCCTCCGTATAGTCATATGGCAGGGTCACACGATCATTGATACTCTGAGGTAAGGATGAGCAAACAGTAACAAAATGAGGTGGGGCTACTGACGAGATGGTCTCCATTACCAGGATGTATCGAACTCGACGACGAGGGAGATGGGTGTGACGGCGATGGTGAGAGCAAAGAGTGAGGACCAGCCTCTTTTGATGCGGCACGAATGAAGGCCGAGGTTGCAGGAACGGGAATGGAATTCTCGCGGGGATAGCGTGGCGCCACAGCATGTAGCGGGGGTGGCTGCGGCTGATGGTGGGGATATGGCTGTGGATACTGCAGTCGGTCCTGCGACGACTGACGTTGTGGATGATGTTGAAACTGAGTAGGCGGGGAGAAAGAAGACAGGAAATTGGGGGACATCCTTGCTGAGGAAAGAGTTGTCTCTGAGGGCGGAATTGACAGCTGAGGCTGGTCGCTATATGAGGAACCGTACCCGTTAGTCCCATTTATTTGCGATTGGCTATATGGAGGCTGCATTGAATCACTGGCCCACGCCGGATTAGTCATGGTTGGGGGATATTGCGGTTGGGGTGGAGAAGGTGCTGTCGCAGAGTCTGGAGGACTAGGATTGCCGAGAATGGCTGATAGGATGGAGTATTCCAGGTTTGCAGCTTCGGATCCGAAGGTGAAGTTGGGATCGAAGGTGACATTGAATAGAGGATCAGTAGGTTGAAAAGGTTCAGCTGCTTTAACGGAACCAATCAGTAAAATGATGTTACAGGAAATTGAGTTTGATTACACGCCGGTGGAGGCGCCGAGGCCGACTCAGTATTGTTTTCAGGTGCGGAGGAAGTATGCCTCTTCATTTGCTCTACTTAACTCACGTGATCAGCAAAAGACTCTGACGAGCACACCAGGCCAGCGCATACCTAGTTCGTCGTCATCCAGGAGATACTTGGCCTTTTTACGGTGACCTTCGGTGCAATTGCTAGCTATACCACGTTTGATACACCGTTGACAAGGTCGAGCTGTCGTTGGGTAAAGTCAACGAGCCTAGTCAAAGCTGACAGACGAGCGATACTCACAGTCATCGCACGTTAAATGGGCTTTCTGACAGTGGGCGCAGGCGCGATTAGCTTTCTTTTTCTTTGGGCCATCTCTGCTCTTGCGCTGCTGCGATGAGGAGTCACCGCTTTCGTCGGGTGTGCCAATGCGCTTTCGCTTCCCGTTGGCAGATACTTTTCGTTTTCCTTGTGGGTGTAAAGAGGAAGGACCTGCTTGCGCATTCTGTGTCATCTGTGCTGGATTAACATAGACAGGCGAGATAGTGTTTAGACCAGATAGAGTAGGAGGTTCTGATAATATGGACCCACTATGGGAACCAGTGAGAGTTGCCGAGTTCATATGCAACGTCGAGGTGCAAAGCACATATAACAGAAGATAGGGCGCTGGCCGTTGTGGGGAATGGCGAGTAGAGCTGGTCGTGACGATGAAGACAAGGGAAAGTGTGTCGGCTGTTCGCCCGCAAACCGATGTCCAGCTGATTCTTTTACACCATGAGTAGAAATTTCGTGCGGAAATAACAAGCTGATTACGTAAAAATGGTGAATTATCCTTAGCCGGCGGCTTCGGACGGCATGCCTGGGTTTGCCATCTGACTTGACTGGGCCATCGGGCTCCCCGCACGGCTGGCAATTGCTCCTTTTCACCATTACTTACAAGTGCTTATGTTGGGTGCCTGCCAATTTACTCTAGTACTTATAGCTTCATATCTTCGAGGTACTTCACTTGTCTTTGACGAAGAACCTAGGAGGTAATAATGATGGACGCCACATAACAATCATCATCACTGACATTGGATACGACATAAGGGGGGCCATCGCTTGAAGGCCATGCCCATCACCACTCGCAGCCTAGACAACAGGCTCAGATTTGACAGCATTTTTTACGTTGGATGTCCCATCCTCATGCATCCCAATAGCATAAAAAGCAGCAAAGATCTCGAGACAGGACCCTATGAGTAGCGTTAGATTCTAGGGTATGGCATATCACTCTCCCTCGTGCTTCCAAGTCATGTCGACGTCTTCTCAGCGGTATGTATGTAAGGCTGTGGCTTTTCTGGGGTGCTCCAAAGTCAGACCTTTTCGATGAGCCCATTTTCCGCGACTCTTTCGCTATTCGTGGATTCTATGAACGGCCGTTTGGAACCTTTGTTCTGCTCCGTAGAAAGCGCGTCTGCTGCACCAATGTCTGCCGTCCGGTGCCGGCGCGTTTTTCGTGTCAATTTCGGCCGTCACCGATTAGGCTGAATTAAGCTGTCGAGTGGGATTTGTAGTTGTCTTTGGACAATCACAGTAACCCAAGCAGCTGTCAGTAAGTCGTACGCTGACACGGACATATTAGAACAGGGAACTCGAAGTCATGATATCTTATGTTTGACCACATGGCGCGATTATTAGCTTCGTTGTGCACGCATCTCGGACGTGAACAAGCGAAGCAGGAGTTCAAATGGATGAAGCAAGCTTTGGACAAGGGTTTAATTTACGCTCCTACTGATTTATCAACTATGGTACAGCGCAGATTGCGAGGAGAGCCTTTGCAATACATCTTAGGTATACACTCTTTAATAACTCTTACTCACAGTGAGCTGATACAGTTTTACAGGAACTACACCTTTTGGACCGCTGGATCTTCTTACTCGCCCGCCCATCCTTATCCCTAGGCCCGAGACGGAGGATTGGGCCCTTCGACTGGCAAATGGTTTTTTTCCCAGTCCCACGAGGCCTTTGTCTGTTTTGGACCTTTGTACTGGCTCGGGTTGTATACCATTACTCTTGTGCCATCTTTGGCCTCCAGGCACCACACGCGCTATTGGCGTGGATATATCGCCAAGTGCTATACAGCTAGCAATTGATAACGCAGTTCGATGTAATATTGCTACGTATGACGAAGTGCCACGTACATTACCTCAAACAAACACATTCACTCCCCTCCTTGGAGATATCCGAGACTCAGCTTTTCTAGGTTCGTTAAAGCCCCCTTTCGACATCGTCACAGCAAATCCACCCTACATACCCAAACGTGAATATGTCGAGCTTCCGACTTCTGTCAAGGACTTTGAAGATCCAGTCGCTTTGATAGGGGACCCTCCTGAGGCTGCACAGCAGGATGGGCTGTCTTTTTACCATTGTATTGCCCAACTTCTCAGTATCAAGGGCATGCTTAAAGAAAGCGCTTTCGTGGCTCTTGAAGTAGGTCAAGGGCAAGCGGAGAGTGTGGAGAGTATTCTACGCGAAGTGGCTGCATTCAGGGAAATAGACATCTGGAGAGATCCGTGGGAGAAGAAGAGAGTGGTTGTAGCTCGCTGTTGATCGATCCTGATAACGTTTACCGGAGGCATTCTCACCTTGGTTTGGTTTGAAGGCCAGAAGCGCAACTGTCTATACATATACTGACGATCAAAATACCAACGACTGGTGGAAGTTACAATTCTTTTCGACCGATGTCTCCGATGGTATTGATTCGATGGCATGCGGTGTTCGCAGTCCCTTCGGAACCTGACTACGGAATATGTTTTCCATGATCATGAGAGACCCAGTCCGGGATTAGCGGGCCTGCGTGGTATATGTTGTTTTCTTCTCGTGGTGCGTTCGGGCCCTCCGGCCAGCTGAGAGTTTCTATCTTGTCGTGTGCACTTTGATATCGAAGGGGGGGGGGGGGGGGGGGGTTTGTAAGTTCACCCACTCTTCACAGTTCCGCTTGGAGACGCGATTACACGTCGATTGTAGTTGTCAGGGGCGATGTCGCTGAAATAGGAACAAATGAACAACGTATACTAACGGTGATAATCAGATAAAACACATATTATACTTGTTGCGTGGCCGGACAAGCAATGAACCAAGATGCTAATAATTATCATGATTCGATATCTTTCCACGTGTAGATTTATTCTTTTCAATTAAAGAGTTGTTGACTGATGCAGTATACTTTATCTAGGAAGGTTTCAGAGTGCTCCATTTTACCGCAGGTAGCCAAGATCACAAACAATGGTTGGTTCCACTTTCCTTCAAGCTATTTTACAACAACCAGAAGTCAGGTATTACTTTTCAATGACGGAGACAGCATAGGAGATTTGATTTCCCTTGCTGAAAATTACAGTTGCCAAATATAGCCTAAGACACCCATGTTTTCTTATCTTTACTAGTCGGATGCTCGAGTCGGAAGTATCGGTTTGATGCCCGACCAATGGTCCATGAGGAGAAAACGTCGACCGTGTACGACAGAGATTAGGACTCCCAACATTTTCCCTCACAACTAAAGCTCAATCAAAATTAACTACAAGATGTCCAATTCATACGAGGCCATCCCCTTGCAGGAATTTTCTAGCTATTTCTCTGCTGCAACTGGTATGGAAATTAGTACAAGGCGTGAGACCTTACTGATGGTATACGAAGAGCTCTCCAGTGTGGCACTTGGGGGAAAGATTGTGTCGGTATCCGATGAATTCTTTGCAAAGGCATTTAATCTACTTTTGGTAGAGGTGAGAACCTTGAATAACAGTTGCTGCACCGACTGATAATGATTTCAAGCCCGCACCCAGTCTCAAAGGCCAATTCGGTCCTAACGGTGCATTGTTCAGTGGATGGGAAAGTAGAAGACACAACCCCACATATGATTGGTATTTGATCTTTCTGCGATTGCTTTAATCGGTCTTCATTTCATTCGTGAAGGTGTATCATTAAACTGGGGACTGCCGGCACAATCTTCGGTTTTGATATTGACACTGCTCATTTCAATGGTACATGGCCTGTTTTTGGTGTTCATTTGATGGATTGATTAGTTAATAGGCAATGAGGCACCGGAGGTTTCTGTTGAAGCACTTATAACCTCTGCGAGTGAAGACCCAAAGCATGATGATGCCAAGGTAATTCCACGTGATATGCTCTCGACCAAAATGTTCTAACAAAGAACAGTGGTTCGAAATTCTACCGAAAGTACCTCTCGGACCGTCCGCAAGACATCTGTTCACGATAGCTGAAACTTCGGGTGTGAAATATGTCAAGCTGAACATGTATCCAGACGGTGGTATTGTAAGTTCGTTCTCTACCAAGGCAAGGCGATCTCTACTAAATTGTACTTTTTAGGCTCGCTTTCGAGTTTATGGGCATGTTTCTCCGATCCATCCTTCTGATCCCTCAGAGATATTTGATCTTGCTCATGTCTTTGCGGGGGGTTGTGTTGTGTTTACATCTGATCAACATTTTGGAGTTGGGTCAAACTTGATTCTTCCTGGAAGAGGTATAAAGTCCTATATAATGATCGGCACTAATCATAATCCTGATTAATGTTTTATGATGCACTGTTAGGAAAGGACATGGGCGACGGATGGGAGACTAAGCGTAGCAGGCAGAAGGGTCACAAGGATTGGGTCGTGATTAAATTGTACCGTATCCTCTCTCGTACTTCTTTTTCTCATCAAAGCTTGTGGATGCTGATCTTGATCGTATTTTCCAGGGGCGCAGCAGGACTTCTCAGTACTGCAGAAATAGACACAGCCCATTTCAAAGGAAACTTCCCGGAAAGTTGCGAATTAGATGCTACCACGAGCACGCATGATGTGCCAACTGATCAAGAATCTTGGACACCGATTTTATCTCGAGTGAAACTGGGACCGCATCGACAACACTTCTTCCAGCTAGAAAATGTTGAAGGTGTATCCTACACGCATGTAAGGCTCACGATACATCCTGATGGAGGGATCAAACGGATCAGGGTCAACGGAAGAAGGGCTGGCTCTCAACTACCAAACGTGACTACCAGCACTGTCGTAACCGCGACAGATGATATCCCAGACCAGGATGTCAAGCATGATTTAGTCTTCTCAAAATCCGAGGCCGCAACTGAACCTGAAATATTCATTCCAGTGCTCCCACTGACACCGGAGGCATTTTCTCCATTCGGTCAAGTCGTGCAGGCATATGGAGACCATACCGCTGCCCCTCGAGGCACAAAGATAACTCCTGCGAACCAGGGAACTGCAAGTAAATTCCACAAACTTGCACTAATTGAGTCGTCATATCCGCCAGAATCTGGGGAAACAACTGGTTTGTCCGTGTACAGATGTGAACCAGTAAACGTCTTAGACGGGGAGGTTCGCCTGAACATGTTGGAACGTCACCCCTTTACTAAACAGGGCTTTATTCCTATGGGAGGACGATATGCAGGGATACCCGAAGCTGAAGCGTTGAATAATCCTGGAAAGGCATATTTGGTGGTGGTGGCAAAGACGGGGCAAGATGATAAGCCCGATCTGTCGACGTTACGGGCCTTCATTGCGAGTGCCGCACAGGGAATTATGTACAACACAGCCGTTTGGCGTGAGTGCTCTGCAACTGGATTTTCTTTAACACCTTCTAATGTGTTCATTTGTAGATCAACCTATGACTGTTCTTGACAGAGTAAGTACACATTTGACTGAGATATAGAACATGTATTCACGATAACGCACAGCCCATGGACTTTACGTGCGTGGAGACTCAGATAGGGAATGGCGAGAAAGCGGACTGCGAAATCGTAGAAGTGGAAACAATCATCAAAATGAAACTCCTCGGTTTATGATCACGCCGCTCGTGACAAACATCAGATGAGTTCCTCTCTCTGTGGAACAGTCAAGAAATATGGGGATTTTGCCAGCTGTATGAGAAAAAATTATGTGAGGAAAGAAAGGAAGCCAACAAATTGGGGACTTTACGATAGATTGTAGGTTACTAGATGAATGTGCACGATAGTCATATCCTCGTGGACGCTAAGCACGTCCTGCGTAAAGGGTTTTCGGAACTCGAAGGACTCACGAAAAACGTCTCTCGTGAGTCTGAATCGGAAACAAATGGAATGGGACGGTTTTAAGGTATAGAAAACGGCAGCACCTCAGGAGAGCAAACGACAAGTTAGCGATTTATTATGATATCATCCATGAACTACTTGTAAATCAATGCTGAAAGTTCGGCAGTCCTTGCAAGACACTTCGTTCTGATCGCTACCCATGTATAGTAGCTGTATAAGTGGTTATGCCGCAAGAGTCGTCCTTTATTCTGAATGAGTGGAGTTCACTGGCAAGTACTTTCGAGTTGTGATTCCATTCAACTTGGTTTGTGCGGTGCCACAATAATGAAAAGGTCTGCGGAGTTTGAACAATCACCTCTGCCGACAAATCACTCCTTCCCAACACCAAGTTCAAGGACCACTCTTGTCCTCACTTGTACTCTTGTTTATTCGGCCCTTTGGCATATAATGGATTCAAAAAAGAGACCATTTACTGACGATGGAGAGACACAACAGCACAAGAAGAGGATATTGACAGGTGTGAATGGTAGTCCTCTGGTAAACGGTACAGACCTGAGTGTCGAAGAACCCACCGACACCGACAATTTGGAGGTGAAACTACCTCCCACCCATTAACCTTTACAATCTGATGACCTGGATCACTGTGCCATAGCTTTTTCGCAAGGAAGCTATCTACAGGCGAATGAAGCACTACTCTCGAGAGCATGAGAGGAGCCAGCTTCGCATAGTAGAACTTGAACAACGCAAGAGTACGTGTGAGGCAGGTTTAGTCGCCATCGCAGCATGCTGGGAGCAGGTAAATACACTCACCAGTTCGCAGAATCTGGTCTAATTTTCCCTGTGTAGCTAGTCGACACTATCCAGACGTTGGCGCAACCTGAACAATTACCCAAAGTCGAGGTGGAGACCGCTGGTGTGTGCAATATTAGATTGGTGGGTATTACTTGGTTAAATGCTCCATTATACAGATCTTTTCGATCTAACTCGGCATGTGTCCGGTGAATATGGGCTTCAAGCCGCACTAGAGAAAAATATGCATGCCACTCAAAAACTTGTGACAAGCTTCCTTCAGCTAGGCGGCGACTCGCGTTCTGCGACAATACAAAACGAAGCGTATCAGCGCTGTCAAAAATCACAGACAGAGGTGAGTACTAGGATACACATTTATCACACAGGCAGATGAACGTTATCAGTGCTCTGCCTTACGGTCAGAGATAGAATTGATTCGAGCCAGACTTCGTGACCTCGAATCTGAGAAAGAAAAATATCATGAAGATTTAGTGAGGTCAGAAATTCGTGTCGACCGGCTGCGAAGTAGTAATACCGTTCAAGCAATGCAAAGTCAAGCACCTGTTGAGAAGCTGCCAGTGAAGGATGAAGAGACAAGTGATGTAAAAGTAAAGCAAGCATCTCCTCCTGTGAGTGGTTTAGCTAACTGGTGGGAGTTTTGAATAGTCTAACTATCCGAGTGCTTCTTCTGATGCATTGTCAGCATCCACCAATAAATGGCCATGACCAACATCCACCGGACTTCGAAGAACTGAAAGATGCGGTGAAGGTTAAAGATAGTCGGGTCACAGAATTGGAGCAAGAGAACGCTCGCCTACTAAGTGAAATCCATTCACTGAAACTCGAGGTACGCACCTAGTGAAAGAATGAAACTAAAATTATTCTATTAACCTAGACACGTTCAGGTGAAGTCGCCTTCAGAGGAAAGTATAGCCGAGACACCGTATTTCAAGATACTCTTGGACCATGCTTCTAGGCTAGAGAATGCTATCGCCGAGAGTGCAGTCGAATTCGGGAAGGTTAGCGACAGCCTGAGCCAACTGCAAGCTTCGCGAAAAGATTTTGAGGAAGAAGCCCGTGTGAGTCACCACAACTCCTTGACAAGTTATATAAATGCTCATTTCCTGTAGGCTGCAGCTGGATTGGCAAATCAAGAGCTCAAAACTATGCTGGCAAAACGAGATAGCGATAACGTGAGACTTCGAGATCAAAGAGAACAGCACGCTGCTGAGATCAGTGAACGAAAACACAAGGACAGTGTGAAAATGACATCTTACCAAGAGCTCAAAACATTGTCCGAATCCCGCCTGGTCTGCCTACCGTATTTATCCCGTTTGACGTCCGATAACTAATGGTTCGTGCAGGAAAGAATTCGTGTATTGGAATCCGAAGTGAAAAGGCTTAAGGCGCAGCTGGCAGTAGGCACTGGGAATGAGGATCTTTTGGCTTTTTTCTTTGGCGACAAGGTCGATGATACGAGCTACATTGACGATATGCAAAGCAAACTTCAGTAAGTAATTTTCATTTGATACATTGTCTGCATACCAACGAGGAACAATAGGAATGCAGAGGCCAAGGTAGCTGCTTTAGAGAAGTCCCTTTCCTCTTTGCAAGAAGACCATCCGGATATAGTACAGCATGTGAAGAACGAAACAGAGTTACGCCAGGAGCTGGCTGGTGTTATGAAGCAGCTTGAACAATACCGTTCAATATTTGGTCACTCCGCTCCACCGGAAGTGCGAAATCTATCCGAGCAGCTTCAGCAAAAGGAGGAAGAGATTCGACGTTTAAAATTATCGGAAACTCAACAGAAGCAGGTATGTCTATGTATTCGTGTGATACATGCCGGCTAAACAGTTACATTTACACACACCATCTAGGCCGAGACATCTCTTTATGCAGAAATTGACAGGCTATCGTCTGCTTGGGAGGGCTTGGATCTCCAGCTTTCCAGCAAGGTATCAGACCTTGGCGCTTTGGAAGAACGGTTGTCTAAGGCCATAACCGAAGTACGCTCGTATGAAGATTATCCTCTTCGTTCTCTAGTTGATTTATTATCACTAACAGAAAGCGAAGTCGGATAACAAGTATTACACTGCAATGAGAGCTAAGGAAGCTATCGATAGTGAACGCAAGAATATTGCCAGAAACTTGGAAAAGCAAGCAAAACTCATAGATAGAGCTCTTGAATCCGAGAAGAACCTAAACGCTCAAGTGGTTAGCTTGTTCCTTCTTCAGCACGAATTTGGATTTTTTTTTGAATATTTGAGCAGGGAGATCTTGAAAAGGAGATAGTCACTTTCCGTAAAGCGGGCAAAACATTTACTACTCAGATTGCTGCTTTAGAAAAAGATGTTACGGAGTGGAAATATCGCGCGGAATCTGAGAGGAAACGTTGTGCTGAGGTATGTTCCAGTCACATGTATATGGTTTGTCGTTCTCATCGATTTAACGTTGTGTCATAGGCGCGCGCGTTTGCATTGCAGAAAGAGCAGGGTTACCAGGGAAAGCAGTCCGAGGTGAAGAAGTTAGATGAAGAGATGCACCGTATGAGGAAGGAATTCGACCGGCAAGCTACGAAATTGAAGTCGATGAGTGCGGGGCCTAGCTCGCACAAGGAGGCGGAGCTACAGGCTGAAATTGAGAAATTAATGGTGTGTCCAGTGACCCATTCAGTACACCAGTTTTTCACACTCTGATAACAGAGTGTTCTCAAATGCTCAACTTGCAAAGAACGCTTTCGGAGCACGGTTATTACCAAATGCATGCATAGTGAGTGTTGGCCATTTTGACATTGTTTTGGAGGTACTTATATGTTACTTTTTACAGCCTTTTGTAAGGAGTGTGTTGACGCTCGTATATCAACCCGTCAACGCAAATGCCCTACTTGTAATCTAAGTTTTGCGCAATCCGAAGCCCAGCAAGTGTACTTCCAGTAACTTTTGAGGTGGTTTGCTATGTTCCTCTTAATGTAGCATTTTGCTTTTTCTGAGGGTAGCGTTTCTAATGGTGGACTGTTAAATCCTTTTCAAGTTGTATCTGTCTGTCATATTTTTATTCTATTGTTTTTGTTTTTGTTTTTATTAGACCTTAATCAAATCCTTAATCATGAATAGTGCAAGGTTTTCACGCGTGAAATAACGGGCATTAGTGTATTTTTATATTCAAGTGGGAAGTGTAAATGAAGACAGCGAGGCAAGACAATATTACCGCTTGACCCAGGTATACTATGATGACAGGGAATGAGTAACCCAAGGGCGAGAATAATTTTTAAAGAGCAACACACCCGCTTGCGAGCCTTAGCCATACCCGTTTTCTTGCGCTCAACCATACGAGGATCGCGTCTCATCAATTTGGCTGTTTAATAAAGTATCAACCCGAGACAACTCTGTAAGAAATATAAAAGACATACCTTTCCGCAGAATCATTTCAATTGCAGGCTCATGTGCCGCAAGTCCTTTTGCGATACCATGAGCTACGGCGCCGGATTGACCGCTAACTCCACCTCCACGAACGATGGCAAAAACGTTGTATGCTCCAAGGAGGCCTGTAAGCTTGAGGGGTCGAATCACTCGCTCACGGTCGGCTGGGATTGGGAAGTAATGTGCAAGAGGAACGTTATTGACAAGCACAGTGGCAGGTGTCACGGGGATAGTGGGCTTTGCTTTTGGATCACTGAACACGTCCTCTAAACCGGTCAATGTGAGATCCAACTTGTCTGGTTGTTGCTCTTCAGGTGTCTGGGACTGTCCTTGCGGAACAGCGGAAGGCTTCGCTATAGGTATTATCCAGACACGAGCAGCACTGGTCTTTCTTTTACCCAGCGTGTAGGATCGACCATACTTGTCAAATTTGACAGGTTTTCTCTTCCCCCTTGCCAGAATAGCCTCCTGATTTTTCTTCTCGAATAACTTGACTATACTCTCGATCCCCTCTCCTAAATCCTCGCATCCTGCCGCATGAGCAATCCGCCTGTGGTCGTTAAGCTCGTTCAGTAGTTGCGTGACGCGACGGTACCGCGAAGTCGTCAACTTCGAACTGAGAGCATCACCCATTTCCCTCTTATCCATCCAAACAGGGTGAAGATGAGGTAGAGAATCTCGTGCAAAAGCAGGCAAGGGTAAAAGCTGGAACTTTGTCAAGGCGCTCCTTGAGTACTGAATGGCCGACTCCAGTGAGTTAAGTTGGTCATAATAAGGAGAACGGGCGGTGTAGAAGGTAGGAGATTCAGGTCTGGGTTTTGTTCTCTGCCTGGGTGCATTGTCTATGTCCCTTAGAGCTGCAGGAGGTACGAAGGGTCGTGTGGTTGAATAGGTGCGCTTCAGCGAAGTTCGAATTGGTTGGCGGAGAATACTCATGGCCATCGCGAAAGGATTCCCGCACAACGAGGAGCCCAGCGACGGATACCTCGTATAAGAGCTTCACCAAAAGGCTGCAATAGAACGAATTGCAGAGGTCCGCGTAAATTTCAGAAGTAAACTTGAAACCCTAACCTCAATCCACAAATGAGGTAACGGCTGTTAACGTTGTACATCCAACTGTCACGACCACATTCTGACTGCGCAAGCTATAGCGCTTCCTGTACCATTAGTATTGAGACTGAGGCCTTTCAAACCATGGCAACTCCTGAACAGAACTTCTCTGGTGCTCTGGCAACATGGAAAAGTAAAGATGCATTGTGGGCACCCAAAACACTCGAATACTTGCTGAAACGCGCTGTTTCTAGGTATAAACTTGTCAGAGCTGCAGAAGACTCTGGATGCTCAGGGTATCGAGCTTGTTGAGAACCAGAAGGAGAGTGTCGTGGGCCGTAAGGCACTTGCTGACCGGACAAAGGGCACGTCTTCACGTCTTCATATTCTGGCTTGCTCTTAACATTAGCTCTAGACTTTAAGAAAATACCCGACGAGGAAAAGGTCAATGCTTTCAAGGGCTTGCTGAAATGTTCGTTCCATGACACGTGTTCACTTTATGTTGTAGTAATTGATTTGCTGCAGCCTACCAAACGGAGATTGATAATCTTACGAAACGATCCAAATCTTCAGAGAATGCCTTTCTCAACGTTTATAAAGTCCTTGCAGAAGCGCCTGATCCATACCCTTTGCTGGAAGCTGCTATAGTGCGCCGTTTGCCTGTCTTTCCTCTTTCGTGACTGAATTTTTGTTGTAGGACCAAACTGTGAAAGCTGCTGAGGCTCGTGACCTCGAGGCTGAGTTGCAGCGGTTGCGTCAAGAGAACACCGACCTTAGAAAACGGGTGAATGAAACCACAAGTCTCGAGTCAGCCAAAAAGAAAGCGGAAGCTAAGGTGGAGCAGTTAGAGCAGAAGGTCAGTCATGGGTAGCATTGTCCCGAGCGTAAACGCATGACCCACTTTTGGACATAGATGGAAGATATGATCCAGGAGAAAGTCGTGCAAAAAGAAAACGAATTGAATGCAACTTATGACGAGAAAATGAGAAATTACGAAGAACGGTAAGTTTCATTGATATGCTTATACACGTTGTCTGCCTTGATTTAAACAATCGACTTAGCGAGCAGGACTTGCAGCGTCAGGTAACACTGTTCAAGAATCAGCTCCGCGACTTACGTGTATCCAACGATTCCAACCAAGCAAAACTCATGAATCAAAGCCAACGGCAAGGTATGTAAGCCATAGTACTTGGGATACGTCATTCTAAGAGCGCTGTACCAGACCAAGAGGTAGTGTCAAGATTGGCCGAAGTTGACATGATTATGGCAGACCTCGAACGCGCTAACAGCCGCGTAGCCACTGTTGAACAACGTAACGTCTGTATCCTTCCAGTTTAGCCTATACCACGCTTGTTTACATTCTGACATAGGAAGCTCTACGTGCAGAAATTGAATCATTGCGATCTGATAGCGAAACCTCCGACCGGTAAGTCCATTTATATTGCGGGTAACTTGTGTATTTGTATACGCTGGTGTTTAATTCTTGATTTTCGCAGTGTTAAGGGACTTGAGTCACGTACCGTGGAACTAGAATCTGAATGTGATCGTCTCTCGCAAACTCTAGAGGCACAGAAAGCGACTACTTCAGAGGTTCAACTGGCTTCCAGCAAGAAGATCGAAGAGATATCAAAAGATGTTCGGAACAAAGTCGGTACTATGCATTTCAGCCCATCATTGCTATAGTTAATATATGATAACTAGGTTAGCGAAGTTCAGCAACTGAAGCAACGGCTACGGCAGTATGCTGATTACGACGAAATCAAACGCGAACTGCAAATCATGCAAGTAAGCATACGTTCATGGCCTCTCGTAAACAAGCGCTGAGCTTTCAATATAAGTATGTCGAATTCGGCGGTATGGATGAGGATGCAGATGAGGATGGTCAAGTCAATGGTGATGACCATGATGTGGGTGTTCATCTGCCCAATCCCAATGCTGATAAGGCCAACGCTCAACGTGGCAAATCACTGGAAGCTCTTCTTGCTACAAAGAATAAGCGGATTCTTGATGAGCTCACAAAATTCCGGGTATGGCCATTCTTCTATTTATTTGTACACATGTTGATATTCAAGTGTTATGAGATCATGCACAACGAACTTGAGGAATCTCTTCAGGCAACTCGGGAGCAACTTTTTGCAGCAAGTTCGGAGTTGCAGAAGCAAAAGGATCTCAATGAGAAGTTGGAAAATGATCTCTTGTCAATGGACAGTCACAGACCTGATGGTGATGGTGCCTTGACTTCGGAAGCAAGCGCAGGCCAGAATGATGTCTTAGCTGGTCTGGACCTGAAGAAAAAAATCACCGTGCGTAGCGAAGTATCGGTCGCTATAAGTCAGGCATTAGCTAAACATGGTTCATCGCAGGATTCTCCTGCACGATCAACTCCTGTACCTTTCACTTCCTCAGCAGATACATCAATATTACCCATTGTCACGAGCCAGCGAGATCGATTCCGGCAACGTAATGCGGAGTTGGAAGATGTCAGTATTTTTATGGCAAGACGTTTGCAGTTGCGCTTACCAAGTTGCATGCACAGGAGCTTCGCAAGCAATTCCAGGTGATATCCGAACTGCGCGCCGAAATCAAGTCTCTACAGGCGGACAATCTTAAGTTGTACGAGAAAGTCCGGTATATGCAAAGCTATCGAGAAGAAGCTGCCAGCAGGCCTGTGTCGCAACTGGATCCGCTTCCTGCACCATCAGGTGGCGATGACATGAGCAAATACCGTGCACGATACGAGGAAGCCATGAATCCATTTGAGGCTTTCCGTGGCCGTGTAAGTGATCTAAAAACTGCCATCCTCCTTTCTCATCATAATTGGCTGCATGAGCAGGAAGCGGCCAGGGCATACCAAGCACTGAACCCGGTGGAGAGAGGAGTTCTTGGGTTGACCCGATCGATCCTTGGAAATCGTCGAGCAAGGACCGCTTTTATATTCTATGCCGCTGCGTTGCATCTTTTGGTTATGTTCACCACTTATGAATGCACAACATCATCAGGAACGCAATTACAAGTACAACCAGGACCTTATGGATATTAGCACCAGGATGCCATCTTTCTTGATTCGAGACTACATGATATGGACTCTAAGACGTACTATTCTAATATGTAGCGATGAGGTCGTGAAAGTATGAGCTTATGCGTATATGTTCATATGTCGTTGGATCACCTTTTTTTAACCAAATACTGAACACTATTTCAATTTTTGGCGTTATTGGTTCCTCATTCCACCGTCGTGCCTGGTCTCTCATGCACAGTTGTCCTGTCTTCAAATTGAAGTGTGACCAAAATGACTTACAGTGCAGGCCCAGTCCTTTATAAGACAAAAATTGTAATGTGCCCTACAGTTCCTGGTCCCGAAGCAGGTGTGTCAACTAACTGTGCAAAACATATTGGTTGTTCAGTGCGAAGTCCGAGCTTACCAATTTTTTTTTGGCACAATGTATGACCTATGTGGTTCTATCGACGACAACAATTACTTCAGCCCCCTTCAGCCTTTCCATTCCACCTCCATACCTCCTCCTCTTCTAGAATTTTGTGAACTGCATTCCCTGATTTGCCTCAAGGCATACTATATTTTGCTAACCACTACTAACAATCTTGTGTGAGATCTCGTACGGCTACATTTCCATCAGACCACTGAACCTGCTTGGAAAGATTTGTCATCAAACACACTTGAAAAAACAACAAAAAACCAACTCATATCACTCCAGAAGACTTGCCTTTAATAGATATTATCATTGCCTCATTCATTCACACTTAATCCTCTCAATCCGTCTAACCTGCTTTACCAGATCCATCAACTGTGGTCTTTTGAACTAAACAACTATTTATATTTCAATTTATTTACCTGTTGTGCTACCTTACTTACTTCTAAATTTTATTTTCTTAATGACTCTCCACTGCCAGAACTGTGACCTTTCGGAAGAATGGAGTTCGGAGTGCAGACATGGAGTGGTGAGTGGAACGGAGTACAAGGTTGGGAGTTGACTTAGCTCGTGTGCTAGGCCCTTCTGCAGACCTTGGTCCCTAACTCATCAGATGTAACAACCAAGAGTTTAGTTACTCTGGCGCACAACTCAGACGAAGCTGCAAAGGTAGTGAGGGGAGTGGTTACCCTTAGGATAGGACCAAGTTAGTTGTGGGTAAACAACAGGAGAACTCGCTGAGGAGTCTCCTTGATCTATTGGGCTATATATACTACTACAGTTTTTTTGTACATGTGTACTGTACAGTTGATGGAGGCAGTGGCTGATGATGTCATGGGGCACAGCCCATGTAACCAGCTCCACTGTGTGAGAAACTTGTATCTAAAAATAGAAAAGGCAGTGCAGCGTGAGAAGTGGAGTTTGAACAATAATAGAAAGTGCCGCATGGCACAGGGTGTGAAAACTACAAAAGAAAGTTGAAGAGGAGAATGAAATTTAAAGGTCCAAAAATTGTGTTATCGTAACACAGACAGGCAGTAGTGAAGTGAGTGAGAGTGTCTACCCCTTAAAATAGGACCAAGTTAGTTGTGGGTAAACAACAGGAGGACTCACTGAGGAGTCTCCTGGATCTATTGGGGTATTTATACTACTACAGGTTATTTGTACATATGTACTATACAGTTGATGGAAGCAGTGGCTGATGATGTCATAGGGTGCAGCCCATGTGACCAGCTCCACTGTGTGAGATACTTTGTAGTTAGAAATAAAGAAAGGCAGCGCAGTGTGGGAAAGTGGAGTTTGAACAAAATGGAAAGTGCTGCATGGCACAGTGTGTAAAAACTACAGAAGAAAGTTAAAAAGGAAAATGAAAGTTAAAGGTCCGGAAATTGTGTATTGTAACAAATGGATACTGCTTACATGATACATTACATAATCAAAAGTCGCGCATAGAGTAGCTTTTACCTTAGAGTTACACCTCAGTTCTTTACTGAAAGACTGAGGTGAGATATATTCCCTAGATTAATGTTCTACACCTTTACTGATTCTACAGTAGTCACTCATTTGTGTCTTATAGGTTAGCAGAATATAACAGTTCTTTACTGAAAGACTGAGTCACTCATTTGTGTCTTCCAGAGCCTTTTTGTTACAGTCAACAAAACTTATTGCCTATACCAAACAGTGCTTTCAGTCTGGCACCATTGACCTGTTAAATATAGTTTTAAAATGCTAAGAAACAAAGTCTATGTTTTTCAAGTGTTTTTCACATGTTTTCTTTGTAAAACACTTGAAAAACAGAAACTTTGTTTCTTAGCCTGTTTCTCTACATAACATTGGAGGTGTTTTGCTCATTTTTTTTGAACATTTTCTTGTGAAACATTAGGGAAAACATTGAAAAAATATTGAACCAAAAATCTCCAATGTTATTTAAACAAACATGCAAAAAAACAATGTCTCTATTCTTTGAGTGCTTTTCAAATATTTTATTATAAAACATAGGATTTTTCCCCCAGTGAAAGGGACAAAAAAGACAACAAAACTTTGCGAGGAAAAGGAACACACTGGATAGATCTCTACACAGAGCCACCTACAATTTATACCAAGAACCCAACACAATCTACCTAAGGTTATAGACAAAGTCTGCACAAAAACAACTTCTAAGAATATGCAACAGATAGCAACCTGATACCACCTCCCACATTGCAGATACTCCTAACCTTATCAAACCCACATCCATCTCCACCACCACCACCACCATACAATATGTGAAAATGTTGCTACACCCAAACCTACCAAATTTGGTCAGATAGATAACTTTGATGGCATGCTAGACCAAGCCAACAGATGGATGCTGTTGGCCAAAGCATACTTAAATGGCACCATCTACAACTCAGACAAAACAAAAGCCCTTGAAGCTCTCCCACACATGAAAGAAGGAGCAGCCCCCACATGGAAAAAAGTTAGATTTAAGGAATATACTGGAGCAGCAAAGTACCCTAAATAGGCAGACTTTGAAGCAGACTTTAATATAACATTCATAACTGCAACATAAAAGGGGTGGCAAGTGCTGCCCTCCCAATAATGAAAATGGAAACAGGAGAAATAGCCCTAAAATTTAACTCTTGCTTTGTGGTCAAAGCAGGGAAGAGTGGCCTAAAAGTCTAATTCTTGTATACAAAAGCTCTATACAACCATACCTCCTTTAAAATGTACTCTGCTCCTCCACACAACCCAAAAATATAACAGTGTTAGAATAGTCAAGGTCAAAGCCTGTTAGCCTTGTTAGATAACATATGTCATGAGTGACATTAGTACAAGGGCTGGTAGCTCAGTTGGTTAGAGCACCACCATATACAGGCAGAGGTTCTCAGTTCAATCCCCGGCTGGTCCACTTTGCTTTTATAAACTCCCTGTGGTCAGGTGACTATATGAGGTTGTATGGCTAAATCCAATAAACAGTGTTTCCTGTGCAAAGAACAAGTGCACATCTCACACTTATGTCTGGAGAAGAGGAAAGGAAAATAACTAGATAGAAGAACCAAATCTGCAAATATTGTAGAAAGGGATAAGGCAGAAATAATAGTTGAAGATGGAAAAGGGATTTCTCACATTCTTAAAATGTAGAGAGAGTTAAATGAATCTGATTGTGCCAGAGCCATTGACAAATTGGAAAAAGAGGGTTTTAAAAAGGACAACCCACACCAATGTTGGTATTGTCCAAAATAACCATTGTAACGATAGCCACAATCAACTTAAACTCACTATGAGTTGATACCATGCTATGGCAAAAAAAACCATTGGAACCAAAGTGCTAATAGACTCAGGAGCAACAGACAACTTTATGGATACAAAGTTTTCCACCAAACATTGCTAACCGCTAAGCAAATTTGCTACATCCATCACATACAAAAAGGTGAATGGAACTATCAGTCATGGAGGAAAAAACAAAATAACACATTACACCTACCAATGAATAGAAACAGGCAGAAGAAACACCATCTGCAAGTTCCTGATCACCGGATTAGGAGGAGAAGAGATCTTTCTTGGATATGCATGGCTCCACAAAGTCAATCCAAAATAGATTGGACTTCCAAAAGCATGGATACTAAACATACTATCTGTACTATTAGGTCACACACTGACTGCTTGTTACGATAACACAATTTTTGGACCTTTCCTTCATTTTCATTCTCTGCCTTAACCTTGTATACTTTAGCTTTCACACATGGTGCCACGCGACACTTCCCCTTTTGTTCAAACTCCTCTTTCTCGCGCCGCGTTGCCTTCTTCTTTTTTTAGATACAACTCTCTCACACAGTGGAGCTGGTCATGCGGGCTAGGCCCCATGACATCATCAGCCACTGACTTTATCAACTGTACAGTACATAAGTACAAACACTCTGTATTAGTATATATACCCCAATAGATCCAGGAGACTCCTTAGTGAGTCCTCCTGTTGTATACCAACAAACTCTCTGCAGCTTCAGGGGTAACCACTCCCCATTCACTACCTTTACAGTGTGTTTTTGTGTGCGCCAGAGTAACTAACTCTTGGTTGTTACACTGCTCTCTGATTTGCTCATCCACAACCAAACAACCAGAACTAATGATCAATTACATACATGAAACAAGGATCTTTGCAAAAACTAACATCACAATGGACCTCGTCATCCAGAGCAACATAAGGAAAATGATTTTCCCAAAATCTTTCTATTCATAGCACAGCCCTGCAGGCAAACCTGGCCCCTGGGTGGATGTCATATCCATGCTGTTATGCACGAAGTGCTTAACAAAGTCTGAGGGTTTGTCAAGATTTGTAAAGAGACTTATCCGAAGACAAGTTTGAGAACATAGTTCTGAGTAGAGGTATTCTAACGAGAGTTAGTCTTCTTCCGAGTGGAAGTCTGATCTTAGGAGTCTAGTTTTGTAAGTGTAAACTGCATAGAATTGTATTAGAGAATACTACTACAGTTACAAGTGTATTTATAGGAAAAGGAATTGGTGATAGGAGTTAGGTCCTATCTAGGGCAGGTTCGTCCGTTGAGGACTTAGTACTATACAAGGTAATATAACTGCAAGAGAAACGGCAGTGTACGTGAAGGAGATGAGTCATTGGTCCAATGGTATAACCAATGAGTAAAGGAAAATAAGTAGTCCGTAAATGTCTTGATAGAAATTGTAACACATGCCAGAAGGCAGAACTATGGAATTTCCGAAGAGGATATTTCTCAAGTCTGAACCCCCCGGATCTTTGGTACTCTCAGGATTATGCTCCTCATGTCCTGCCAATTGGCATAACCCTGTATCCCACCTCCACATGGTACTCCAGACATCCACTCTGATAATCCTGTGCCAGACTTCTAGTCCACCATACATTTTCCTATGCACATTTTCATACTCCTCATGGACTCTGTAGTTTAGACCTTATGGTACAGGTACACTCCTCCAACATATGATTTCCCTTTGCTAGATAATTGTCTGCATGGAACTCCACACCTACATTATGAGTTACTAACCTCACTACCTTTGCAGCTTTGTCTGAGTTGTGCGCCAGAGTAATTAAACTCTTGGTTGTTGCATTAGGACTTGCTCTTCTTACTCTCTCGCACTTTGTGCAAACCTGGTCCCCAGGGTTAAGGGGTTATTGTTTTGGAATATCCTGTATAGCAGAATGGTGCCCTCCTAGCGATGGCCCTGTAGTGCTCAAGGAGAAAGGACAATTATCTACACACGGCCCCCAGTGTTAAGGGGAGTACCTTAGCTCAGCAATTGGTGTGGAACCACTGTTGATTAGTTTTAGAATACCAAACTTCTTCTTCAAATACCTCTGACCAGGCCGGGCACTTGCCTCCGCCAGTCTGGAGAAGGGTTGACAGCTTAACAAGCGGGCCACCCCCTGACAACCGTTCGGACTAGGGTTTATTACGTTTACCTTTTATATACATTTCAAATACTATAGTGTGGGTAGTTGGAGATTGAGATCCGATACTCAGCTGGGAAGAGGTTGATCCGCAGAGCAAGAGGGGACCCCCATTTACCTCTTTTTTACATTATCAAAAAGAACAAGTCGACATGTCGTTGCAACCCAATATGAACAGTCTGCTACACAACATGCATGCACAGATTCAGGTTTTGACAAATCAGCTCGCCAAGGTTCAGGCTGCCCCAGCAGCGGAACCTACGGTTGACCAAAAGTTCAACAAGAAAGTTGAGATCATCACTGACCCTGGCGCTTTTGAAGGAGATAGGGCTCAATTTGCCGAATGGTGGATCAAGCTCCAGATTTGGATCAAGGCAAATTGGGGCACATTTGCCGATGCTTTTGAGATAGCAACCGCTGTGCTGTCTCGACTAAAAGGACCTGTGGCGGGTTGATACACCCAAGTAAGACTTCAGGAGTGCTACACGGTGGGTGTGTGGCCTACCTGGGACAATCTCAAGGTTGAGATTGAAAAATATTTTAAACCATGGGCTGAGCGTGACTGGGCATGTCAGCAGATCCGTTTCTTCAACAGGGAAACATAAGGATGGATGATTATGTTACCTGGTTCCTGGCCCTCTCCATCCAAGGAGGGCTTGGTAATGAACACGCAGTAGAACTGCTGGAACGCAATGTGAACCCCCGCATTGCCGAACAGATCTATCTGCAGGACACCCAAAGCAACAACCTAGCCCTGGCGGCTGAGGAAGTTCGCCGAGTTGCTAGAGCCATGGAGCTCTATGTGATGCATCAAGGTGGCAGGCCCACCACCAAAAACAACCAATCCAGAGGCACCCCGGGTCATCAAACCACCATAATCACTCTCACGGGTTCAAGCTGTTCGGGCTGCAGCCAGGACAGGGTGCTCCTATGGATATCGGCGCCATCCAAGGCAGACAGATGCGCAGATTCAAGGGCAACTGTTACAACTGTGGCCAAGAAGGACACATGTCCTGAGATTGCAGAAATGGGGTGCAGGCCATTCAACAAAAAAATAATCAAGGGCGCCAGGCATGCCAATTAGAAACTGAAAAGCCGGACAATCAGCTCAATACTCTGGCTGGTTGTTTGTACGACAAAATCCGGGCTTTCTTCTATGACCAGCAGGTCAACAAAATGAAAGCTCAGGGAAAAGAGTTCAGAGCTTAGGTCACTTGGGTGCCTTTGCTCCTCAAAACAATGGAGTAAACCACAACAAAGTGGCCCCTGCTCCGGGGTGTTGCACAAGCAATAAAGGAAAGACGGGGGTGGCTCCCCAATTTGTAAATAAATTTCTCAACTTATCAGAAGTATGTACTTGTATGCAAAACTGTAAATATAATATTTATGATACTACCGCTGCACCAGCGTCTCTCTTGGAGTGTGGCCCCGGTGAGACAAATACTAGGGTGCTTGATTCTGGTAAAAATAAAAATAAAAATCTAGAAAATCATTAAGTAGAAAAACATGTTTCTCTTGATATTTCTTCTTCTTGTGTGTGTTGATGCGCACATATTTATTCCAAAAAGAGATCTGTTTAGACGTTGGTGTGGAAAACCTTGCCCGGGGCATAATACACCCAACCAGTGCACTGCTTGTGTAACAACCAAGAGTTAGTTACTCCGGCGCACACAGGAACACACTATAAAGAAGATGTTGAGGGAGTGGTTACCCTTTAAGATGCAGAGAGTTAGTTGGTATACAACAGGAGGACTCGCTGAGGAGTCTCCTGGATTTATTGGGGTTTATATACTACTACAGGGTTGTTTGTACATGTGTACTATACAGTTGATAGATACAGTGGCTGATGATGTCATGGGGCCTAGCCCGTATGACCAGCTCCACTATGTGAGAGAGTTGTGTCCAAAATAAGAAAAAAAGCAACGCGGTGCGAGAAAGGGGAAGTGCCACGTGGCACCATGTGTGAAAGCTATAGTACAAGGTTAAAGCGGAGAAATAAAAGTAAAGGGAAGGTCCAAAAATTGTGTTATCATAACAGCTTGATTCAGGCGCTAATGGAATCTTCATAGATCAGGTCTGGGCAGAGCAAATTGGACTCCCCCTTGTAAAATTAGATATGTCTATTCCTGTCCATAACATTGATGGTACACTTAATGTGGGTGGCTGTATCACGCACAAATGTTCTTTTGTTGTTGAGTACCAAGGACACAGAGAATGAGTCACCACTGAAGCTACCCAACTAGGGAAGATTAATTCAATCTTAGGCTGGACCTGGCTATTTAAACACAATCCTGAGATTAACTGGCAGACAGGGGTTGTCACATTGTCACATTGTCCTCAGGAGTGTGATGACTTAGGTAAACTGAGTCACATCCGTCAAACAGAGCTGGATGAAAGGATAAATGCTGGTCACGTTTATGCCAAGCTCTGATCTTTAGATAAGATCAACAATAATAATGATGAGGTAAAACCTGAGGAAGAGATTAAGAGGCTGGTACCTCCCGAGTACCATGACTTCTGGAAAGTCTTTTCAAAACATAAGTCAGAACACTTCCCAGAGGCTAAACCTTGGGACCATGCTATAGATTTGAAGGACACCTTCAAACCTAGAAAGGGACATATGATTCCCCTCTCTGCTCCAGAAAGAGATGAGGTCTCAAGTTTCATAGATGAACAGCTTAGGAAAAGTTACATCAGACCTTCCAAAAGCCCTATGACGTCCCCAGTGTTCTTCATTCCTAAAAAGAATGGTAAGAAGCACATGATTATAGACTATCATTACTTAAATGAGTACATGGTGTCATGCACCAAATTTGATTGGTAGCATGGACAGGTGTCAATAACGAAGCGAATATTCAAAAAGACTCACCTTTGCGCCACACAGGCACAGTGCCATGTGGAATAGTAATTAATATTGCCCTTTGCGAACTTGTGGCTGATCAGCACCACCTCTATTAGGCAATCCAGTCACGCTCACCTTTGCTTTTCCATCCGGTACTTTCCGCATTTCGGCATTTTGGCAAATTTTCGCGTCGCCACTGGCTACACATTGCATTGCGCCCTCGCTTTTGTCGTTTCCCTTACTCCCTTTCCTTTGCCTAGCCCCACCATGGGCCCCTTCCTCTCCTTTTTATTCTCACCTGATGGTCGTTTCTGGATCCCCATTCTAATCCACTTTTCCGTCACCTCCACCCTCCTCCTCCTCATCTTATTTGCACCCCCACCATTTCTGATGTCACCACTTCCTATCCGCTTCCATCGCCGATCCGTTGACTACCACGTGCCACTGCTGATACCAGCAAAGCCCCGGCCGCCGGTCCAAATAGGGCAACAGGTCCATCTTCATGACATCGATCTGCCATCATATACTATCAAAACATCAGTCACTCGTCTTGCCTGGTTGGAGCGTGGGTGGGTAGTTTTTGAGCTGGAGAAGGTTCATCCCCTTGCGTCGCCCATGTTCATCGCTGTCCCATTCACTTGGGTACACTTATCTTTTGTCCATCGTCTTCGCTACAGCTACACCTACCACACACTGCCTGGGACTCACTTGTTCCAAATTGGAACTACTCCTCTCCCTCCCTCGTTTGACCAGGTAGTCCAGTACAACCAGTCCATTGGTAAGGCCATGGAACCGTCAGATTTGGACTAGGTGGTGGACCGGTGGCTCCAGTTTCTTTTTCTTCAGCAGAATATTCATTTACAGTGCAATTATTTTTGATTTTTGAATCATTTTTATGGACACATATTTTTTTAGAATGCCTGACTGACAATAAAGGAACTGTGTTGATACTGATAGTGTTTTGCCTTGCCCTTTTTTTACTGCATCTTCCCATGACATCATGATTTTCCTGCTCTCTTTTTGCTATTGGACTTTACTTTATGGCTATACAAACCTGTGACATCACTCACAGCATTCATTGTTCTATCCCTTTCTTTTCCTTTTTTTGACAATCTTATCCTGTACTACCTACGCAGGATTCGTCAGCGTACATTCCTTCCTTCATATTCTTTCTCATTCTTTTTGCACAGCTATACTGTGCATAGCCTACTTTTCTTTTACTATATAAACCCCTGTATTTTACCTTGTAAAAACAACAAGAACTCGAATCCAGACTTCTTCTCTAATCTCAAGTTCACTACTCTGCCACTTGTGATCCAGTGTGGTCACAACACTTCCTACTGCTACCACTGTCAACTGCTGTCATCGTCACTCGTCACTTTTGAAAGTGATTGTCATCCCTTTCAATTAGAGTCCTTCTGAGCACTACAGTCTGTGCGTCAGGAGCCTGCTATCACTGGGAACCTTGTCACCTCGTTATCTTATCGTTTTCAAACCTACCTTGTGCTACAATTAGCCAGGTAGTGCTTGTCCATACTCATCACAAAGCCCCTATCTTTTATCATCCAGCTATCCCTCCTCCTCAAAACCCACACCCATACATCTTTGGGTTTTACTTTGAAGGATTGTCATACATACCACCCCACGAACAACCAGACCACTCCACTGTTCTAGGAGGCAAAGCCCATACACAAGTTCCGTGGAATCTGGGAGGATTGTGTATTAGTTTGTTTTGTGTGTGGTTTTCTAATAGCAGTTCTTGTCATCGACAGCGCTGCTTTCCTTTATTTTAGACACAACTCTCTCATACAGTGGAGCTGTCAGGCAACAAATACGAAGCTATATAACCAAATACAATGCCTGGTCAAGTCCTTGCTGGAAGGCGGTGAATCAGGGTATGAGTTTTGAAGAGTATTGGTATAGGCACAAATCCAAACTAATATTGAACTAAAGAATAATACATCGAGTATGTACTTCTTTATATAGTGAACAGCGAGGGTCAGACCGAGAAAGGGAAGAATTAAGAAAGTGGTCTGACCAACTGACTAACCAATAGGAAAAGAAAGAGAAAATGGTTTGATCTATCGTATTTACTAATTGTATGAGAAAAAGTATTGGTAAGAGATGTGCGATTGGCTGTATCAGTAAGCCCATGAGAAGGCGCTGACTCACAACCTTCTTCGCTTATCAATATCCCTCCAAAGTGTGCCCAGACATAGCACTGGATCGTTGCTATGTCATTTGGATATCTTCTCGAGGGTCTACAACAGGTCTCCTTTGTTGTAAGTACGATAGGACGTGAGTGTGAATAGAGAATAAGGAGAAAAAGGATAAAAGTAATAAGATACCGGCTGTGATCTCTAGTCCAAGAGCAAGAGGAGTGACAGGGATCGAGTCTGTTAACCACGACATGACGGGAATGCGATAAGAAAAATCGATTCCTCACACCTATGACATTAGCAGCCATTGCTTTCATCAACTGTATAGTACACATGTACAAACAGCCTGTAGGAGTATAAATACCCCAATAGATCAAGGAGACTACTTAATGAGTCCTCCTGTTGAGTACCATCAACTAACTTGGTCCTAAACCCAAGGGAGTTTACCCACTCCTTCATTTACCCTCTCTGCTTGTTCTTACTGTGCACCAGAGTATAAAAAATTTGTAACAGCTACAGACTGTTTACCTATATTCATATTAACTGTACGGTACCACATGTATGTAGGTATAAATACCCTTGCATTAGATGGAGACTTCTCAGTGAGTCCTCCTGTTGTATATCAACAACAAACTTGTTCCTATCATCTTGAATCTACCAACTCTATAATCCCTTCATCATTACTCCTTGAGTTACTGTGTGTGCACCAGAGTCTACAAAATTTGGGTATTGTTACACTACCTTTACATAGTAATCATCATGTGATGTGACAGTGTGTAAAGGACTGGTTTTGGGTTACAGAACTATAGAACTTTTGCTTTGTTGCCAATTTTGCTATTTTTATACTTAATGCATGCTTGGTTTCTTTGAATAATTTGGTAGGGTACTTAAACAACACCTACTACAATATTATGTGTTCTGATTCTTCTAAAAGTCTTTCTATTTACTGTAGGGCATGTTACAATTGTTGCTGTATAAAGGACTGGGCCTTCACTGTACCACTTATTGGATGTGAAAGCTCATGTTTATAGGACACTTCATTAGCAATAGTGGCACAACCATGCACTATGGCTAGAGTGTTTTTGAAGGCACAAGTGATTTTGACTCTTGAGGTTTTGATTATCCCAGTCAAACCAGCTATTGTTGAACCCATAGAATTTGTTTTCGTGGCTATCAAGACTGCTATTCCAACTATTTCCAGCATATAAGCTTGTTGGATTGTGCATAGAGTTTGCAATATGAAGAATATTCAAACTGTATGTGACCTTTTCCCTCTTTATCATACTATTAACTCACATATACTTTTTCTGTCTGTGTTACTCCCCTCAGCTGCAAATAGAACAACTGAGGGTATATTTTTATGTTTTTAGTACCTCATCATTGTTGGCAATTTCAGACATTGCTACTTTGAACATCTAAGACCACTAGCACCAGCTCAATTTTGTTTGCGTAGTTCTTAGAAAATCAAGGAAGTAATGGTGGTAGGGTTTGGAGTGGATAGACTTAGATAGTTAGGAACAAGTTTGCAGTTTGTATATAATAGGGGGACTGCTGATGAGTCTCCATGTAACAACCAAGAGTTTGTATACTCTGGTGCACAACTCAGACAAAGCTATAAAGAAGTGAGGGGAGTGGTTACCCTTTAGATAGGACCGAGAATTGTGTTACCGTAACACTACCCCCCTTCTAAGGCCCGACTTCCAGGCTTGACCAAATATTAGAGGTAGTAGTTAAATTTTTGGGCATAGGTTGAAAAAGGGAATTGAAAAGGTTCAAATCCATGCCTCTAAGCTTCCTAGGAGCCGAGGGATTCTTAGAATAAAATTTGTGAACAGTGTTGCAGAAATTGTCCAGATAGGCTTTTGGTTCCCACGTTCTGTCCTCGTCTCCATAGCCCTTCCATAGGACTAGAAACTCTAACTTTCCACGCTTCAAGCGTGCATCCACCACCCGTTCAACTTCAAATTCTTCTTCACCTTCCTGGGTGACTACAACCGGTCCGGAGCAGTCTATGCGCTGTCCCACCAGCGGCCCTTTATAGGGTTTTACATGGCTAATGTTAACCATGGGTATTACCCTCATTTGTTTTGGGAGTTCCAGCTCCACTGCATTGGGTTTGACCTCCTTAATCCGGTAAGGACCAATCCACTTTTCGGTCAGTTTTCTAGACTGCCAATCTTTCAATTTTAAATTGTAGGTATCTAACCAGACCAGGTCGCCGACCTTGTAATCAGGGGCCTTGGAGTGTCTACACTCTGCTTTGTCTTTCATCTGCTCTGCAGTTTTGAATAGCACCTTGCGCACTTTGTCTAAGACAGATTTCAAGTCCTTAGCCATGTTCCCTGCAGCCTCATTTTTGCTTTTACCAGACTCTACACCCATTCTGGGGAGGTATGATCTTGTAACCTCAAATGGTGCCTTTCCTGTAGCCAACAACTGTTTAATATTAAATGAGAACTGGGCTATCTTTAGCCACTTGGCCCAATCTGTCTGTCAGTCATTAATAGATATACGGAGGTATTGCTTCAATTCCTGATTGAGCCTCTCCATTTGTCCATCGGTCTGTGGATGGAATGCCATTGATAGTTTAGGTTTGATGCCCAACATCCAACAACGTTCTTGTGTAAATTTGCTAGCAAATTGGGGTCCCCTATCAGAGATAACCATTTCTGGTAGCCCGTGGTAGACCATAAAAAATCTTTAAATAAGTCTGCCGTACCAGCAGCTGTAATTGTTTTGTTGGTGGGAATGAATACCACTTATTTGGAGAAGCAATCTACTACCACCATTACTGTAACAACCAAGAGTTTGTTACTCTGGCACTGTCAATGACAAGAACTGCTATTAGAAAACCACACACAAAACAAACTAATACACAATCCTCCCAGATTCCACGGAACTTGTGTATGGGCTTTGCCTCCTAGAACAGTGGAGTGGTCTGGTTGTTCGTGGGGTGGTATGTATGACAATCCTTCAAAGTAAAACCCAAAGATGTATGGGTGTGGGTTTTGAGGAGGAGGGATAGCTGGATGATAAAAGATAGGGGCTTTGTGATGAGTATGGACAAGCACTACCTGGCTAATTGTAGCACAAGGTAGGTTTGAAAACGATAAGATAACGAGGTGACAAGGTTCCCAGTGATAGCAGGCTCCTGACGCACAGACTGTAGTGCTCAGAAGGACTCTAATTGAAAGGGATGACAGTGACTTTCAAAAATGACGAGTGACAATGACAGCAGATAGCAGTGGTAGCAGTGGGAAGTATTGTGATCACACTGGATCACAAGTAGCAGAGTAGTGAACTTGAGATTTAGAGAAGAAGTCTGGATTGGAGTTCTTGTTGTTCTTTTTGATTCAAAAGTCAAAATTAATCGCACTGTAAATGAATGTTCTGCTGAAAAAAAAGAAACTGGAGCCACCGGTCCACCACCTAGTCCAAATCTGACGATTCCATGGCCTTACCAATGGACTGGTTGTACTGGACTACCTGGTCAAACGAGGGAGGGAGGGGAGTAGTTCCAATTTGGAACAAGTGAGTCCCAGGCAGTGTGTGGTAGGTGTAGCTGTAGCAAAGACGATGGACAAAAGATAAGTGTACCCAAGTGAATGGGACAGCAATGAACATGGGCGACGCAAGGGGATGAACCTTCTCCAGCTCAAAAACTACCCACCCATGCTCCAACCAGGCAAGACGAGCGACTGATGTTTTGATAGTATATGATGGCAGATTGACGTCATGAAGATGGACCTGTTGCCCTATTTGGACCGGCCACCGGGGCTTTGCTGGTATCAGCAGTGGCACGTGGTAGTCGACGGATCGGCAACAGAAGTGGATAGGAAGTGGTGACATCAGAAATGGTGGGGGAGCAAAGAAGATGAGGAGGAGGAGGCTGGAGGTGACGAAGAGGTGGATTAGAATGGGGATCCAGAAACAACCATTGGGTGAGAATAAAAAGGAGAGGAAGGGGCCCATGGTGGGGCTAGGCAAAGAAAGGGGAGTAAGGGAAACGATGAAGGCGAGGGCACAATGCAATGTGTAGCCAGTGGCGACGTGAAAATTTGCCAAAATGCCGAAACGCGGAAAGTACCGAATGGAAAGCAAAGGTGAGCGCGACTGGATTGCCTAATAGAGGTGGTGCTGATCAGCCACAAGATTGAAAAAGGCAATATTAATTACTATTCCACGTGGCACTGTGTCTGTGTGGCGCAAAGGCGAGTCTTTTTGAATATTCGCTTTGTTATTGACACCTGTCCATGCTACCAATCAACTTTGGTGCATGACAGTGCAGCATGAGAAAGTGGAGTTTGAACAAAAGGAAAGTGCCACATGGCACAGAGTGTGAAAACTGAGAAAGGAGTTAAAGTGGAGAATGAAAGTTAAAGGTCTAAATATTTGTGTATCATAACAGTAGCATATTATTGTATTCTATATGATGTCATCAATGAGTAAGTAAAGGTATGATGTTATATCATGTGACTGGCCACATGATGGGTTTAGACATCGGTCACATGACTTCCAAAAGTAAAAGTCCAAAAAATTAAATAAATAAATAAATAATAAATAAATGCCAAAAACACTGTCCTAACAGCTGATATTTACTAGTTGGGTGATAAGATCTGTGACCACTATATAAGCAAAATAAGATTTGGAATCATCTTACATGATTGTAGCACAAGTTTTTGTTTATCTTCACCACACAACACCTTGAATAATCAATGTAGGGAGTAATAATATCTCTAGGAACATGCAAAATAACCCTACACTATCAGTTTGGCCCCAAATATTTGTTCTACAGTCCACTGGGGCCAAAATTCCATATTTTATATAAAAACATTTGAAAAACACTTGAAAAACAGAGACTTTGTTTTTGAGGATATTTCTCTACATAACATTGGAAATATTTTGCTCAGTGTCTTTAATATTTTCACATAAAATATCAGGGAAAACATCCAAAATGTATTGTCGCAAAGTATTTTTCCACTCAGTGTAGATGTAATACTAATTACCAATGTTTTGCAAAAATACAATCAATACATTTTCCCCAATATTTCTTGAGAAAACATTGAGAAAATATTGAACCAAAAATCACCAATGTTATTTAAAGAAACATACATCAGGAAATCACCAACCTGCTTAATCTGTCCTTATTACAATCTTAAGGTCTTAAACATGTCTTATACCGGCAAATCCAGTAAAACAAATCAGAAGGTCCAATTTCTTATTTTGGGCTTAAATTTGTCTTAAAACTGACTTAAAAGTGTCTCAAAGCACAGTGAGAAAATAATAATAATCACTACTTCCTACTTCCTTGTCTTGATCCAAACTTGAAGTTTCATGGTATCAAGCCACTTGACTTGCTACATGACATAATCAATACACAAGTACACCATACCGCTACACCATGGCAGCTCATATTAATATAGACTCATCAACTTATATATATGGGAAGTGAGTAAAAAGATTTGAAAATTTGTTAATTCCAAAACCTTTATGTAGCTATTGAGCTAACTAGTCAAGTAAGCTTGTTACACTCATTTTTTTGAAGTAAATAATAATTTTATATTTACATTGTTATGGTAGCTTTAGTGTTAGATTTATTTTTCCAGGATATTTGTTTTTACCTTGACAAGCTTACTTGTCTTAACCAGGTCTTGACTACCTTGGTAACCTTATGTGGCTTGAAAATCATGAATAAGGCCAGTAAGGCCTCAAGGTAAATCTATGATTTGCTGATGTGCTAGGAAACAAAGTCTCTATTTTTCAAATGTTTTATTATAAAACATAGGATTTTACCCCCAGTGAGTGTAGCCACATTTTTCCAACTGACCAGCATTTAATTTGTAATCAAACACAGATATCACCATGCTCTGGCCATCCATATACAAGTTGCACTTGTTGCAGCTTTGCTGCAACTGTCAGGTGCCTGCAGCACCTTCCACACCCGTGGTGCCACAAAAAACCACACAAGTGAAACTAAGTGAAATAACCAATGCAACTTTTGGGACCACTGTCCCCTTCATTTTAGATGCATGGGAGGTTTATTTGTGTATTTCTCACTTAAATGTATGTAAAAAATCCAAATGAACTTTTACCGAGACCATGTGAAGGAGTGGGTGTGTGTAAAGGACTGGGCCCTCATTGCACATTATTGGTATCAGTTCAGCCATTTACCTTCCTACTGAACAACTCATCAGTTCCAACTTCACTATCTATACAAATTATTGAGCTCAATGATCTGAAATAACTCTATAGTACAATTGAGGCAACAAGCATGATAGAGTAGAACATATACCTAGAAAGCCCTATTATATCTATGCTTTCATACTACTCCAAAGTATGTAACTTTTTGAGTGTAAGAGTTAGTAAGAGATGCTGAGACACCCAACTGTATACGGCGTGCTGACTCAGCTTGCGCCTCAAAAGAATGACTCGACATGGGGGAGACGACAAAAAGGCCACCTCTCCTCCAAAGTCCTAACGCAAAGCCCAGGTCGATGGTATCCTCAACGCCTACGACTGATGCCCCGCTGTCTCCGCCCCCAGTGACGCCAGGCGGGACATACACCATCCAAGTGAGCCTGGTGCCTCCCCCCCATCTCCTCGCTTGCTTGCTGACTCATCACGACCCCCCAACCCCCTTAGACCGTCTCCGTAGGCTGCAAAATATACATACGCCGCCCAACGCCAGAGGGCATCGAGGAGCGACTGGCTGAGATACTCTCCATCCGCGACAAGCCCACCAATCCCTACGCTACCACACGTCGCACCAAGGCGTCAACCGTTGTCAAGGACGACGACGCCGGCACGCCGAGGCCGGAGGACAAATGGGAGTTCTTCGTGCACTGGGACTCGTTCAACAAACGTCTGGACGAATGGATCCCGGGCTCACGTCTTGTACTTACGAGAGATCTTGAGTGGCCCCGTCCAAAGGCACCTCCGAGCAAGAAGGCTGCCGTCCAGAAGGCGCCTGGTAAAGCACCCCGCTCGCAGTCCCTGCTCAAGAAGGCGACTACCAATGCCGCCGCCGCCGCCTCCTCACCTGCACCTGCCACCCCCGGACCCGGCACTCCAGCTCCCTTCGCCGTTCCCTCCCCGTCCCCCGCTCCGTCCGGCTCCCTCAAGCGCAAGAACCTGCACGAGGATCTGGAAGAGGAGGAGGAGGAGCTGGACGACGAGGATGCAGATGCAGAGGGCGAAATGGACGTGGATGCGGAGGGGGACACGTTTGAGCTCAACGTCAACGGTGCACCCACCGAGCAGCCCCCGTCCGTCTCGTCGTTCAGCAAGGAGCAGGAAATAGAAAAACTGCGCACGTCTGGCTCTATGACACAGTCCATCTCTGAAATCGCACGCGTCAAGAACCTCAACCGGCTTCAGATTGGCAAGCACGAAGTCGAGTCGTGGTATTTCAGTCCCTATCCAAAGGAGTATGCCCATCTGCCTGTACTCTACCTCTGCGAGTTTTGTCTGTCTTTCTTCCCCTCTCCTTTCATGCTGTCGCGGCATCGACAGAGATGCAATCTGCTACACCCACCCGGTAACGAAATCTATCGACACGAAGACATCTCATTCTTCGAGATCGACGGTAAACGCCAGCTAACGTGGTGCCGGAATCTCAGTCTGCTATCAAAATGCTTTTTGGACCAGTGAGTCAACAATTCACCCTATCTTTCATATCTTCGCTAACCATCTCATAGTAAAACTCTGTATTATGATGTAACGCCATTTATGTATTATGTGATGGTACGCCAATGCATGCACGCACATGCCCTCCTTCCAACTAATCACCCAGCCCCATCTCACAGAGCAAACGAGATTCCGCAGGGTGTCATATCATCGGCTACTTTTCCAAGGAGAAAGAATCTGCCGACAACTACAACGTCGCCTGCATCCTCACCCTCCCGCAGCACCAACGGCACGGGTACGGCAAACTTCTCATCGAATTCTCTTACGAGCTTAGCAAAAAAGAAGGGAAGCTTGGTAGCCCCGAAAAGCCACTCAGTGACCTCGGGCTACTGGGCTATCGCGCGTATTGGGCCGAGGTCATCGTGGAGCTGCTGATCAACACGAGCGATGAGCTCAGCATCGACGATATCGCACAGAAGACGTCGATCACACATGCAGACATCATGAATACGTACGTCCTCTTGCATCGTTCCTGATGATCTTTCTGCTGAGATTATTAATTGAAATGGCGCCATATCGTTTTCTTTTTACTAACAGGTGTACGACGCTGCAGTTATTCAAACATTACAAGGGGCAGCATATCATCTGTCTGTCGGATGCTGTCTTGGAACGACACGAGAAGACACGGAACAAACGCAGACGACAAATATACCCAGAGCATTTGATATGGAAGCCCCCTGTGTTTACACGAGATCAGCTCCGGTTCTACTGATCTTGCGAGGAACACAGGTGCTGAGTTGGGCGGTCCCTGTCAGTTCTTTCTATCAGATTGCGCCAGATTCACTTTTTGGGACAAGTTTATCTTGGAGTATGTATTGTAGCATCATAGTATCTGTAATCTGTACACGCGAGGGTGTAATAACGTGCCATTGCCAAATTTGTAATTGTTTTGCTTCGTGAAATCGAGATTCCAGGGGGGGAAGAGGCGTTGATAGTGGTGAAAGCACCCGTTTTTAGCTCTCGTCTTTCTCGTCGTCGTCATTCGCACCCTGTTGTTGCCGCCCTGCTCTCCTCCGGAGTGTAATCCCCCGGTCCACCCGTTCGTCCCCCTCCTCGCGCACGCTCTCCACGGTCGGATCTTGGTGATGCAGCTTTGCGCGGCTCTGCACGGGCGATGGGGGTTGTGATGCAGCGGGGGAGAAGACGCCGACGCCCGAGAGCTGCGACCCATCCTCGCTCGCAAAGAACGTCTCCGGCCTCGCCTCCTCCTCTGCACCCCCATCGTCCCTCACGCCCCTCCTTGGCGACAGCCGCCCCAGCACGCCCTGCTCGTCCGCGGAGGGCACGTCCTCCGAGAAGGAGGGGGACAGCGAGACGTCTTCGACGAGGACGATAGGCGTGGAGGGCGCGGAGGCGGACATGGACGCGGACGTCGAGGCTGATAAGGACGCTGAGCTGGGGGGGTGGTGGAGGTAGAGGTGGGGATGGGGCAGTTGGGCGGTGGTGGATACTTTGACGACGTCGACGACGCCGAGGGTGCGCGCGATGACGTAGGAGGTGATGTCCTGTAGCGTCGTTGACGGCCGGAAGAAATGAATTAGCGGGGTGTGTGGGTGTATAGAGTGAATGCGATGACAGGGGGTGTTATAGATGGACATGCGGGGATACGGGGAATGAGAAGGGGGGCTTGGTAAGGGAGATTTGAAAGAGAGAAAGGATAGAAGATAAAGAGTGAAACATACCAATAAGGTGAGGACGATGACGGGGAGGACGAGGAGGACGGCGAGGATGCGGAAAGAGTATGCGAGTCTGGCTACCCCAGAGTCAGGGTGGTACGCCCAGAGGAGGTCGAGGTACGAGTGCCATACGAGGCGGGGTGCAGAAGAGAGCGAGAGTTGGGAAACACGCTCCATGTCGCCTTGCTTGCGTTGACAATGACAATTGGGGAACTGATACTGAGTGGGGGGTAAACCGATTTAGTGCGAATGAATGGTAAGAGATGGCCGCATGCACGTTCACCTTGTTTGGCCATGTGGCCACACACCGGGCGAGGCGGGTAACATTCCTCAGCCTATCTCCCTCTCCCTCCTGCCCTCTCTCTTACGGGAGCACCTCCTGCATCTTACATAGAACACTCTCATCATCTGATGGATCCAATCCAAATCCATATCCAATCATTCGACTGGCTCACTGGTCTCCTTCCATTCATTACCGCGTACAATAGCACCGCCCAGTTTATTCTTGACTCTCGCCCTTTTCCTCTTTCCATATCCAATTCGGACAATGAGCTGACTCACAGCGATACCCAGACCCGCCCTACCTTTTTGTATTACCAGTACCGTAACAGGCGTGCCGTAAACGCCATCTGTTGCGGTTTCATACCGCATACCGGTTCATCACGCTCACCTCTCAGGCCATCAAGGATCCGGAGGGGGGGGCCCACCTTGGTCCCTTCATTCCCGGGAGTTGATACCCTGATACCGTGATGGCCTTGATCCTGATGATAGTGTTCATAACTTTACCGTCGTTCCCTCCCAAATCAAACTAACCGTCAGCGCACAACGAAAACCGGATATCTCACATGGTCCAGGTAGATTTTCGAACGTTTAGTAGAGCCGCATCGCAGAGGGTGTTTTTTATTTCAAGTCCATGAAATACATAATAGTATGTTCAATAATAAGAGACGAAAGTAAAAGAGAGCACGTCGACGGACGGGAATCGAGCACGAGGGATTATGAAAGCAATATATCCAAGCCAGACAACAATGCAAGGGGGCCAAGGGACAAAATATACGCCGGTATACTCAAATAACGCGATGGAGAGAGTGAGAGGAAAATAAGCACAGGGAATATCGAAACAAATAGTCGCAGTAAAAATGTAACGAGGAGACGAGGAGAGGAAGGGGATGATTTTGAAAGAGAAAAAAGTCTACTAGGGAAACATGATATTAGAAGGGAACACCACCCCATCCGCCCTGATCAAAATAATCGGCCTCCTCTTCGCAACCTGGTTTTCAGGCGGCAAACACCCAAGCACCTCCGTGCACCTCACCTCCACATACGGCGAAGGCTCAGACCCAAAGAAAACATGCACAGGATCAGCCTTGTTAAAGTTTTCGCCGTACACCGTCAGCATCTTCGAGAGATGCGGGTTCGGCTTGGAGAGCACCCCGCGCGATTGGGCGCAGTTCGATTTGGGGGCTTCCGCGGCACGGTCGGGAGGGAGGTATTTCACGACGCCTGGAAAGGGCGTCACGGGCTTGGATGGGATCGGGAACGACCCAGTTTGTGGTGCATTCTGGTTATCGAACAGAACGGGAGGCACGTAAAAGTTGTACCGGACTTGATCTGTTTATCACGAAAACACATGAGCGGATGCACGATAGGTGCGGGAGAATGTATTTACCCGTGCCAACGATAGTCCACACGCTCGTCTCCCCAATGTCGACTTGCCACAAGGCGCCCGAGGAGGCGCCAGCGTCGCTTGACGAGCCGCGGCGCGAGGACGCAGAGCCGGCAGACGTCGGCCGCCGCCGTCCCTTCACGCCCGTGTTCTTCGTGATCCCACCCGCACTCGACGTCGACCGCTTACCCTTCTTCACGCGCCCGCCATCGTTCGAAAAATCGTTCGACGACGAGGGCGAGGCAGGCGCACTATCGGCGCTTCCGCCGTTATTGCTCTGCCCGAAATAGTCCGTCCCCGACATCGACGCGGGGGTCGATACCAGCGGGGAACCGGGGAGCACGGGCGACGTCGACGAGCCTACGATGGGAGAACTATTCCACTGCCTGCCTTCGATGGGACGGTACGTGTTCACCTTCTCACCCATGCAGGAGAGGAATGCACCGGTAGCGCCTGGCGTGCCGGGTTCGGGCATGCCCTTGGCAGGGTCGAATACCTCGAAAGCGATCTTGTGCAGCTGGGAAACAGGGTCGCCGCATACCTCCCCAGGGGCGCAGTAATGATCGGCAACACCCTTGGCACCTTCTTGGAGTCCGCCGCCGACAACGGTCGTCTGATGATCGACTTTGCGGATGATCAAGACAGGGCTGACTACACCCGAGGTTAGACACTGGAGAACGACGGTTTGGTTGTAGTAGATGGGGATCTGCGACCCGTTGTTCGTAAAGGCGATGGCGTTGGGTGGCGGCGAGGGATAGTCGGGCTGTGGTGGCGGAGGGGGAGGAGCGTCGATGCCGCCTGCGGGCTTGTTGACGTCAACGATGTACATCACAAAAGGATCTGTCAACAAGGTCAGAGACGGAAAGGGTGATGAATGACAAGTTTGAATCACCCCAGCTGGCTGTACGCGCGATGAAGGACGGTGTGCTTGATCGTGCGCGGCTGTCGATGCCCATGAGGGGAGCACCGTCGGAGCCCTTGAAAGAAGAGCCCGAGCCTGAAACGCACAAATATTTGGTGGAGACGGTCTGAGAGCGCAAGCGATGGAAGAGACTGATCGTCGAGCCATGATTGATACACACTGTACCCACTACGATTCAGCTGTAGAAGTACCAAATATAGGCAGGGTACTCACGCTCGAGATTCTTCGCACTCTGCCTCTTCTTGCTTGGCTTGCTGATGACCTTGATCGACCGACTGGGGAAGGTACCGATGACGCGCTCTGGCTCGTCATCGGAAGCAGGGGCGGTGATCTTGACGAGGGCTTCGACCTTCTTCTTCTTCTCATCGACGTCGGAAATGAAGAGCTGCTTCCCGACGCAACGACCGATGTAGGTGGTGCCTGTGGGAGCGTCGCTGACGTCGAAGATTTTACCAGAGGCAGAGGTCCATTCGATGGAGCCTTCCTGAGGGACGGGCTCGCCTGAGATGGAGATGGTGACGCGGGGAGGGCAGAGTTTTGGTTCTTCGCCTCTGCGAACGACGTCTGTCCACCAGGAATTGCCGATCATGATAGCGGTAGGGGGTGGACAGAGGAAGCGCTTTTCTGTGCCATAAGATTTTTGAGCGACCTTGCTGGACATGACGATGACGGTGCGCTCGCCAAAGGCGAGTCTATTGGGAGTGCGGACGTATTGATCGAGATAAGGTCTGAAGTAGAAAAGTAAGAGGCGGTGAACGGGAGTGAAAAACGAACATGCCTGA